ATTAAAGAGCGTAAAATAATTAAAAAAGCCTATAAAGGCTTAAAGTTTATTAAGGTCGTACGCAGCCTAGTTAAGGACTATATCTATAGCAATATAAAGAAAGAAGAGTTCTATAAAATAATAATAACTATTTATATCTAATACCTAAATATATATACTTACTTAAAGGAGGCATTTAATATACTTATTCCTAACCTTATTATAAATAATTTAGAAATTACACTATATTAAATTAACGATATAGTTAACGAGACCCGTCTTTTAACTACTAATAAGCGTAATATTATCGAGCTTTTTAATAATAATAAAGCTATTAAAATCCCGATTAAAATATACTATATATTATATAAAAATAAACTCACTATATATAACCTATTTATAGCCGCCTATGCCACTCCCGTAAATACCTAATCTAGTAAGGCCCTTACCTTTATTACAGTATTTTAAAACCGAATTATATACCTTATAAATAACTATATATTCTATAAATATATATTTAAATAGCTTTTTACTAGCCTTTTTAACGCTAGCCTGGTTAATATAATTAACTAGAATCCTAGCCTTTATACGTTCGTCTATAAGGGAGAGGGAATTATTAATATTCCCTATGTAATTATTATTCTCTATATTATTATCGGTTTATTTATAATTAATAATAAACTTATAAATAAACTTCTTTTAAATTAGATTCTCTATAATTTAAAAATCTTAATAAATACCGTTCGCTTTATTAAAATAAATACCGAAGCTTATAAGGGCTATATTACGGCTTATAAGATTACCCTCGTTAATATAGTTAAGAATAGATCGGCTAAAGACCTCTATCTTACTATTAGTACCGCCTATATATATATATAGTACTATAATTAGTCCTAGCTCTTTAATTTAGACCTAAATAAGCTCGTTAAATATATTAATAAAAAGGAATTTACTTTAGCTTATGTTAGTACTCTATTTAATATTAATAATATCAATATAATTAACGATGCTAGATAGGCGGTAGTAATACTTAGCCTATACCTCGGCTAAGAATATACGGAGGAACTATAATAATATAGCTAGTACTATTTATAATTATACTAAATAGCCGGTAGATTAATAAATTAAGGTTTTTGTTTAATGAAATAACTATCTATTCTATTTAATCTTTTATTTATATATATAACTTTCTTATAATTTTAATATATTATAAATAAATAATTTATAAAACGTAACTGGTATATTTCCGCTATCCTATAGATTTTATAAACAAAATAGTTTTTTTTAGCGAAGGGTATTTATTACGATTTTTTATAGATATTAGGGAGATTTTACCGTAATTTCTTTGCTACTATAGTAAAAGACCTTATAGTAAAACCCGTAAGAATTTATTAGGAATTCTTAATAAAAGGCTATTGGATATTATAGAGATTTCCCCGGGATTTCCATATAAAATCTTAAGGTATTTTTTAGAGATTTTACCGTAAAGGTATAGTGAAATCTTAAAAGGGATATCTTAATATTATTACTATTTTACCGTATATAAAGCGTAATAATTTACCTTTATAATAAGACCCTCCTTTAAGTCCATTATCTTTCTAAATTATAGCTTCCTATTATACCTAATTTGAGAAATCCTCTTTCCCCTTTTTAAACGCTATCCTAAACTTATCGATCCTAGGTAGCCTAGAGCTTATTATAAAGGCCCTTTTTAACCGATTTAATATATTTATAAAGGTTAAAGGATTTAGTATCGTAAAATAGTATAAATATATCTTTCGGATAGGTTAGTTTATATGATATTTATTTTAATATAATCAATTTAATAAACCCGGTCCTTTAAAAAGTATAAAAATCCAATAGTAAAAGTCTTAAAAATACGGCTACGAATAGTAAATAATTATAAGAATATAAGAAGAAGGTAAATAGCTTTTACGCTACTTACTAGACCCTTGCTATAATTAATATAATTATTAACTAAACCTTAAAGCATCTACTTACCCTTTATACCGAAAGCTTACCTAGCTTATTAAGGATTTTATTAAAAATATAAACCGTTATATTAGTATTCGGGTATATAACGTCCGTATTATTATATAAAAGTAATTTTCGGATTCTATATTTACCTAGTATAATATCTATAATATTAAAGTATACTTAAACCGGGAAAAGCTAAACAGTTATTTATTAATAGCTATATTAATTAAGTTATTTAATAAATAGGAAATTCTTTATATTATTAAGTAGGCTAATAATAAGCCGGACCGCCTTATTAGGCTTATTTAGACCTTTCTTTACTATCTTTAAATATAAAAGCGATTTTTAGAAGTAATTAGCTTCGATAATATTTATAATATTAATCGCTTTAAGTTTTTATTGTTCTAAGTAATTAGGTAGACCTACTTTAGGTCTATCTATAATATAGTATTTAGTTTTATCGATAACGAACGGTTAGAAGGCTTCTAATTTCTCTTTAAAAATATTAAATAATTAGTTGAGTAATATTTAATTTGTCGCCCTATAATTATTATTATAGATTATAAAAAATAAATAAAAGCTATATTTAATAAAGAGTTTCTAAATACCTAGTAATAGCTCTATATTTATTATATTAATTCTAACATTATATTTAAGGCTAAGTAGAAGTGGTTTAAAACCGGTGGTAATAATAGTAAAAATAGTAGGTCTAATAAAGAGGATCCTTACTCGGTAATATAAATAATAACGGAACTTAGTAATAAGGACCGCATATATATTAATATAACGGTAGATTAAGTTATCCTATATACCTATCGTAATATATTTATTATATAAAAGTTTATTATTTTTTTTATTAAAACTAAATACTCTTTTAAAAAAGCGTAGAAAAAGCTTTATAAAGAGTTCGATAATTAACGCTTAATTTTATATTATCTTTATTTTATATACTTATTTGTAAAAGTATAATAGGCCCGCTATTTAATTTATAAATATTAGAACTTCGGTATTTGTATTACGTTTAGTATAAAATTAAGTAATAATAATATTAAGGGCTACCTTTTTAATAGTTTTAATTACCTATATCGACTTATAGACGTTATATAGGATATAATTAACGATTAAAAGCTATGTTTTTGCTAGGCCTATATAAAGGACGAGGTATTTACCGGCCAAAAGTATATTAATCCCCGCTTAAAATATCTTAATAAACTTTAGACTATAGTTTTATTAAAGTATTTTAAATTAATTGCTAAATAATACCGGCTTATATATAAGGTAATACCCTCTAGTAAGAGGCTATTTCCGCTCCTTATTAAAAAGTATAATAATAATTATTCTATATTAGTTAAACTTAATATTTTATATTACTATAAGATCTTTTTAAAAATAACCAAATTATCGACTTTTAATAAATAGGAAGTTTATTTATAGTAGCGGCTTTAGAAAACGTCTTTTTTTAATCCTTATTATTAAATTTTAAACCTAAAGATTATAACGTTACTTTATAATAAATTAAAGAACGTAATATAATAAGTTCTTATAGAGCTTATACTACCTTAGTAGGGCTAATAATCTCGATATTAAACTATTATAATACGTAATAATTAAAGCTCGACCGGCCGTAAATAAGGCCGCCTATTAGAAAGTCGTAATAAATCGTCCTTAATTAAGGGTTTATAAGGGGCCAGTTAACTAAGTTCTAATTAGATTTTAGATCTATCTTAATAATAAATAAAAAATTAGTCCGGTATTCTTAATAAAAGAAAAATAATAAAAAGTCGTATAAATAGACGGCCGTTATAACTTAGTATTTAAAAGTAATAGAGTAAATAGAAAATAGTATTAAATAACGGTAAATAAAGAATTTTATAGCTAGGTTATTTTACATATTATCTAGATAATCTATTATTTATTATAATCGGACGCTATAATTAAGGTATAAGTAATTAAATATTAATTAATTTATTACCTTTAGGACTATTTTAACGACCTATAAGGAACGGTCTAATAGATATATTATTATATAAGAGTTCTAGATTTATTAACTAATCGAAATATTATTATAACTACCTTTAACGCTTTTATAAAAATATACTAAAATTTTGAGCTAATTATAAGGGCAAACGTGCATGCCGCTATAAGGTATATGCCGCTGTATCAATTCTGCATACCTCTATATCAATTCCTATAAATATTTACCTTAATTCTCACTTTATAAAAATATTACTTATCTCTTTATACCTATCGTACTAGAAAGTTTCGTGATTGATAAGAAAATAAAATTTAAAGCTGTCGCCGCTTATATGTTTATTTTAGTTTTCTATATATAATAAAGTAAATTAAGATCTGATAAAATAGATAAAACACTAAAGTCTAACTTAATTTCAACCACGCGAGTTTCTAGAGAATTCAAGTAAGGGATCTTTTCGCTAACCGACTTTTTAAGAAGTGCATGTGAATAATTGTTTTCCCATGCATTGGCTATATAGCTGTTCCGGGGTTGGTTTTCGCATTTGGCCGGGTATCCGACGAGAACTATCCGTAAGCGCCTACACCTCATTGGCTTAGTTGCCTATCAACAATGCTGCGGAGCCTAACAAGACACGAAACAGCTTTCTGCGATCTCGACTTGCGACCAATCTCAGCATCTTTGGCTGCAGATTTTCTCCATTTTGATGCATTTCTGAGGCACAGCACCAACGATAAGGAACAGATATGTCTGCAGCAAACATGCCAATTTCGCTAAACCAAAGTGAAAACGACGGAGGATGGAGGGGTAATTACAAAAAGGCTGGACAATCGCCCGGCTCCCCGACAGATGAACTGAGAACTTTGCCCATCATCCAGACTCATCAACTTCGACTCGGCAGCCCTGTGATTCAATCTTGACCGTAAAACTAAATCGTAACATTTGCGCTTACGATGGCTGAAACGACGAATAGCCAGAGTCAAGCCGCGACGCCACCACCTGCACAAGCCGCGTCGCCTCCAGCTCAAGATCAAGCAAGCTCGCCCGGTAGCCCACCAGCTAATATGCCACAAGTCGTCAACAACGTGACTGTTGAGGCAGATGAAGGAGAGACCGTAAGTCAAATCTGAGCACTGTCCTCCAATGTAAAATTCTCCGCGGTAACTTGGAAGCTTTTGCTAACAATGTAACAGACTGAGAATGCGTCAACTATTGATGAGCGGATGTAGGTTCGGACATATTCACTTGACAGATCGCAAAACTGACTCGGGCCGCACACTAAGCTCCAATTACACTGCCTCTTTGTCTTCAAGTGTCATTGATTACCCTATGGAGTATGGCCGGCGATACCATGCCTTCCGGCCCGGGTGTATGTTCTGCTGCATTCAATACCTGGCAAATCTTGCGAGCTAACCCATTTAGCTTATATCATGCCAAACGACGAAGTAGAAATGGAGAGACTTGACATGACACACGCCATGATGGTCAAAGCAATCAAGAACAGGCTGTTTCTTGCCCCGCTGGAGAAAGACAAGATTCAGCGAATTCTTGATGTTGGCACTGGTACCGGTATCTGTAAGTGCTCAGCGTGAAAAGACCATGTTCACATTCGGCGCGCTTCCGCGTGGCTAACAACTCTTCCAGGGGCTGTCGAAATTGGCGATATCTTTGAAAACGCCGAGGTTATTGGTGTTGATCTCAGTGCTATTCAGCCGTCTTGGTAAGTTCATGGCTAGCTTTCCAAGCAAAGTTTTGGTCATCCTGTCGCCAACATCGTTTCTAGGGTTCCTGCGAATGTAAGATTCGAAATTGACGATGTCGAAAGTCCGTGGCTTCATCAAACCAAATACGACTTCATCTTCTGTCGGTTCATGGCTGCTTCTATAGCGGACTGGCCCAAGTTGGTCAAGAACATTTACGAGTAAGTCGATGCTTCAAGCAACCCCAATCACTTCTGTAAAATACTTTTCCTTTTTACACTCGCCAATCATGGAATGAAACTAATGGAGAACGAAAGTCACTTGAACCCAGGAGGCTGGGCCGAGTTCCACGAGATGGACCCCGAGATTTACTCAGATGATGGCACATACACTGAAAAGCATGCCACCTGGCCCTGGAACCAGACTTTCTTGAAGACAATGAGGAGCATCGGGCGAGAACCCTCTCCTGGACCGAAGCTGGAAGGTTGGGTGACGGACACTGGCTTTAAAAATATTTTCCACCAGCGTCTTAAAGCCCCCCTGGGCCCCTGGCCCAAGGAGCCACATTACAAGGACTTGGGTATGCTCAACTTGGCCCAAATGCTCGAAGGCCTGGAAGGGTTTACTCTCAGAGTCTTTTGTGGCGTCCTCGGTCGAACCAAGGAAGAGGTGTTAGTTGAAACTGCGGAGGTCCGCAGGGAGATGAAGGAAGGCGCCTACCATGGCATCTATGACCTGTGAGTGACAATTCTGACCAATGACTGATTTTTGAGTTATTACTGACAGTTGAGAAGCCATGTGGTTTATGGACGGAAGCCTCTTTAGAGGTGCCCTCATCCACAACGCCATAAGGAGTTGTGGGTGAGGTTAGTACTGCCTACTAAGAGTGGTTCGCTATCTGCAACAACATTCCTTTTGTGCGAACAGTGTCATTTCGTCGGTATCAAAAGGTCTTTCTATAGACAAGCTGCTAAAATACAAACACAAATTCTTCATTCTCCAAATCCGTTAAATTGTCAAACGCCCTCGCACCAACGTTCTCTTCAGCCTGCTCCTCCCCAGCCGCAGCCATCTCATGCCCATTATCCCCAGCAGCCTGCGCGGCTTGCTCTCGCTTAGCTTTCTCGGCCTCAGCGGCAGAAAACAAACTTGTGTCGATAATAACAGCGCTTTTACCCATGGCCACGCGGCGCTTGCTATGCGAGCGGTTGAGGAAGGCGAGATACAGGCTCACGAGGACGACAAGAACGACGATGACGCAGTATAGCACGAGGTTGGACGTTAGACCACGGGTGTACCTAGGTGCCTCGGCGGGCTTGTAGAGGAGGGGACCGACGACGTTGCCAACGGATTGGCCGATGAAAAGAACGGCGGAAGTGCACTTTCGCTTGGTGTCGCCGGCTGTGTTGGCAGCGGACCAGGAGTAGATGAGGGGTGCTAGGCAAGTGTAAGTCAAGCGTCTTTATGCTGATAGTGTGCGGGCTGATGAGCCTTACTAATTCCTGGGTAGACAGAGATGAGGTAGTATCCCGCCAGACGTGCGGCCTGCTGACCGCTGGTGGGAAGGACCATCAACATGACACAGCCCGCGATGGGTGGAATGCAAAGACCAGCGATGACTGGGCCCTTCTTGTGGATCTTTGTAGCGATCCAAGAGCCGCCAACAGTGGCGACGAGCTGGACGAAACCAAAGGGGATGTTGAACAGAATAGTCTGGAAGGAGTCGAAGCCAAAGGACTTGATGATCAGAGGGCCGAACGTAGAGATGCCTCCAGAGGGAATCCTAGCAGACGTTAGTTCGTGTGAAGGTCTGTAAAAGGGGGCGAAGGGACTCACGAGATGGAAAAGACGAGAGAAAACCAGCACCACGTCTTGATATCACCAATGCTTTCCTTGAGATGATCCCAGCGCCACTCGCGGGACATGACACCCTGTTGATTCATGCGGAGACGTTCGATGGCGATCAGCTTATCATGGTCGTTGAGGAACTTGGCCTCGACTGGAGAATCAGGCATATAGAGGAACATGATGATGGAAAAGACCACTGTGATGATACCGAAGAAGATGAAGATGATCTAAGCATGTTAGTCAGTACTTGTTCTTTTGGTGCGACTGGTTGTTCACTGTCCGAGTTGAGGGCTTACCTGGTACTCCTTGAGGGGAGAAGAGATGTGTCCCAGGCCATAGGTAATGAGACTGCCAAACTAGTGGACGTCAGTAAAGTTTTGAAGAGGCTCAAAGTCGACGCAACGCACCATGTTGGTGAAGCCATTCATAGCGTACCAATAGCTGATTCTCAGCGTCTGCTCACGTCGTCGCCACCACATCTGCGTAATTCCCACAAATGCAGGCGCAACACTAGACTCGAACGCCCCAAGAAAGAGTCTCGCGGTCAGAAGCCCACCAAAATTGTGCGCTGCCGCCATGCAAGACAAGGTGATACCCCAAAAGGCAACCATGCAACTGGTGAACTTGCCAACAGGCAACTTGACTAGCAACCATGCAAGCGGAAACTGCATCACTAGCTGGGCGAGGTAGACGACGGACCCTAGCCACGAGTACTGGTCCCCGACGAGCCCGGTGTCCTCGATGAGACCAAAAACGGAGGCGTAGGCGAGGGTGGACTTGTCGATGCCCTGGAGAAAGTAGACAAAGAGCATCAAGGGCAGGATGACGAGGTCAATCTTGCGCAGGACGCGGGCGTTGTCTGCGGGCATGACGACGACGCGGTCCTCCGGCGAAGCGCCAGATTTGCCCAGGAGTTCTGCGGCGGCATCGCGGCGGTGGGTTGTGGTTTCCTGATGGGCTGGTACGTGTTCGACTTGGTCTACTGGGGCCTTGTTCTGGTCCTCGTTTGTGGCCATGTTGCTTAAACTTGTCAAGGGGTGCCTCTAGTTGTAAGTGATGGAAAGGTCCTTCTTCAGACAGAAAGGCAAGTTACGACGAGAACGTAGAGCTTCAGTGGAACATGAAGATGATTCGGATAGAATTGGAAAGAGAACTCGGGGATTATAGATATGGGCGGCACTTGTCCCAAAACATGTCGGCTGATGTATGGGCTGCGAGTCGGTCGCCGAGAAGGGGGTTGACAAGGGTACTTAGTGCCATTTTCTTCAGACATCGGACCACGGCCTTGGTAATGACAGCAGGGGGAACTCAGCCAAGGTGGCTAGTATGCCGTCTTTGAGCCGCCAAAGGCTTGTTTCCGTGGGTGACGCCGTGGTTTAATTCCCCAATTGGCCCTATTCTTTTTCGTATTGCAGCTTTTTCGATACGACGGGACCAGACTTTGCCAAACCAACTTCACACGGTCACTGCTGCCATGATGGATTTGAAAGTAGACTTCGAATAATATACCTCTCGACGCGGGGATTCCACCTGGTAGAATTGCCATCTGTCATCGGACTACGGCACAACGATACGCACACTAGACCCCCACGGGCTCCGCGGATCTCTTGAGATCACTGAGGGCGGTCAACGAGTGGTGTATCGTAGAGGGAGATGAATAGGAGATTTCACGAGACCGAGTGGCGGGGAGAAACCCGAGGATTGAAGCATCACGAGTGGCTGGAATGGTTGGCTGTCTGGTGTCTGGGTGGAGGTTATTAGCTCAACTCCCCACATGGAGAGGGATTTGTACTCCGCGCGGGGGAAGTTGGGGGATTTGTTGGGGGAACATTGGGAAGCACGGGAATATCGGTGCAACAAACTGCCCCAGATTGTCCCCCATAGTCTCCAGATTTTGAGATGAATCGCGTGAACGATGCGGAGGGAGGGAGGGGGAACAACACGGAGTTACGAACGAGAGAGGAGAGTTGATGACAGCTGGAGACTAAGACAATCAGACAAGAACTGGGACCGACAACGCGGCAACAGACTCGGAGGTTGGCCGACGTCGCCGTCTATTGGCCGCAAGAAGTCCGTTTTCTCCGGCTTGTTGCCGTCCCCCGCAGCGGCTCGGCGGTGAAATTTCTTCTTTTGGGGCGGCATTGTCGTCGGCATCTAACTACTTTTGGGGCGGCTCATGACACGATGCACCGCCATGAATTTCCACCACGAGTCAGAAGGCTACAACATCATTGGTCTTGTCTCTTGAGATGACTACGATGATCCAGCTTTTCCCCGTTCGTATCCTTGGTCCCGTCTGGGGGATGTGGATTTCGGGATGGTTTCGGGGAAAGCTATTCCCCATTCCCCAATGACATTCTGATGTGCTACACGTAACTCGGGACACCATTCGCACGAGCTTGGTGGGTTCAATGTTGTAGTCGTTTACTCGGATGCCGAGTCCGAGTCCTCCTCACGATGCGATTCGCGTTGCCAAGTTTAGACAAAGTTGTCAGATATCTTCCGTTTAGCCAAAAGTGATGTGTACTGCGACATCGGAAATCCTCAAACTTTAAGAATACGTTCATCTGCACCGTTATCCCATAGCTTAGAAGTTAGAACACCTCCTACCCCCCACTTCCTTCGATAGCAACATCACAGGTCCGCCTTCATTTCTCCTCATTGCATTAATAAGGCCGCCCGAACTCCAACTTTCGCCCACTGCCGGGTCAATTGAGAGAAGGTTGACGCATCACAAAGAACACACATTGCTGAAGATGCTCCTCCAAAACGAAAAGATTCCCACCGGGTATGCGCCCCAAGAGGTCAAGGGTGCTGCCTCGGCATCCTCCATACAACTCAAGTCCTCAGGAGGCCACCCTGAGGACTTCACCTTCACATTCGAAATTGTAAGGTCAAATGTCTTCCGTACAACCGTCACCTCGGAGACGCGTCCTGTCCCACCCTTCCCCAGCGCACACAAGCCCAGCACAGACCTGGCCCCGAAAGATGTACAAGTCAAGACGTCAGAAAAGTCACAATCTTTCACCACCTCCGACGTCAAAGCCGTCGTTGAATGGTCAAACACGCCCATTGTATCCCTATACGTCGGCCAAGATGACTCCGTAAAACCCATCCACGCCGACCTCCCCTTCCGCTCCTACGCCGCGGACGGTCCCGGCATCGCTCACTACTCCTCCTACAAGAAGCACACACTCCACGTGGGGCTCGGAGAGAAGGCGGCGCCGATGGACCTTGCGGGCCGCGGATTCATCATCTCCGCGAGTGACACCTTTGGATACGACGCCTACCGCACGGATCCGCTATACAAGCACATCCCGCTCCTCATCAATGTCACGCCCGAAGGCGCCGTCGGCATCTTCTCTACAGCCCACTCCCGCTCGACGTGGTCCATCGGATCTGAGCTCGACGGCATGTGGGGTGCCTACAAGGTGCATCGCCAGTCTCACGGCGGTCTCGAGGAGTACACCATCGTCGGCAAGACCGTTGCCGAAGTCGTACACTCTTATGCGGAGCTCGTTGGCTTTCCACTACGTGTGCCGCGGTACATGATGGGTTACATTGGCGGTGGCATGAAGTACAGCGCTATGGACACTCCGCGGGCCCACGAAGCGATCATGGGGTGGATCAAGAACTGCGAGAAGCACGATATTCCGTTCTCTGCGTTCCAGATGAGCTCCGGGTACACTGTTGCTGAGCAAGAACCTAAGACTCGCAATGTCTTTACGTGGAATTACCACCGTTTCCCTGACCCGAGGGCTTTTACCCGCGAGGCGCACTCGCACGGTCTTCGCCTGTTAGCCAATGTCAAGCCCTACGTGCTTGCTACGCATCCCGCGTACAAGAAGCTGTCTGAAGACGGTGCTTTCTTCAAGGATCCGTCCACTGGAAAGACTGCAGTAACGAGACTTTGGAGCGCTGGTGGAGGTGAGAGCGGAGAGGGAAGCCACCTGGACTTCACCAGCAACGCCGGATATCAGTGGTGGTATGACGGTGTCGTTGGACTGAAGAAGGTCGGTATTGATGTCATGTGGAATGATAACAATGAGTATACTGTGCCCGATGATGAGTGGCAATGCGCCCTTGAGAAGACGGATCTAGTACCGATTCCCGAGGGCCTCAGCCGCAAGGATGTTGGCATTTGGGGCCGCGCGATCCACACCGAGCTCATGGGCAAGGCTTCTCATGATGCAACGATCGAGGGCAAGCCTGAGGAGCGACCTTTCGTTCTCACGCGTAGTGCCACGGCCGGAACTATGAAGTACTGCGGTGCCTCTTGGAGTGGTGACAACGTCACCGCCTGGGAGTCCATGAGGGGCGGGAACTCTCTGGCCCTCAACGCCAGCTTCTCTCTCCTCCACGTGAGTAACCCAAGAGCATCCCAATCTCATAATTAGACTAACATTCGTAGTGCTACGGCCACGACATCGGCGGCTTCGAAGGACCCCAACCTACCCCGGAGCACCTCGTTCGTTGGATCCAGCTGGGCGTTCACTCCCCGCGGTTCGCCATCAACTGCTTCAAGACCAGCGAGGCAGATAACCTCATCGGCGGCGTCATCGAGCCCTGGATGTACCCCACTGCAACGCCCATCATTCGGGCTACAATCAAGCGCCGTTACGAGCTTGTCCCCTACACCTACTCCCAGAATCTCCGCGCCCATCACACCGCAACCCCACCCCAGCGTTGGACCGGTTGGGGCTACGAGGCTGACTCAGAGGTGTGGACGAAGGCGATCAAGGACGGTGACACACAGTTCTGGTTCGGCGATGCGTTCATCATTGGTGGCGTTTACGAGCCCGGTGTCGACACCGCAAAGGTGTATCTCCCGAAGAAGGGCGACGGCAGTGACTTTGGATTCCTCAACACAAATGCGCCGTATGAACACTTTGAAGCGGGTAAGTGGCACACAGTGCTCTCGCCTTGGTACAACTCTATCCCCGTCATTGCGAAGATCGGCTCGGCTGTGCCTGTGGGTAAGCCGCTCGACACGACATCGCTTAAGGAAGCGGACCCGGAGTTCCCGAACCAGGCCAAGGACGACTGGCGCGGCGTGGAGATCTTCCCTCCGCTTTCACTGCGTGGAGCTGCTGCCCAAGGCTCTGAGACGAAACTGGGCGGCGAAGACGTGAAGGGTGTGGTCTTCGAGGATAGCTGGTACGAGGACGATGGTATCAGCCGTGAGGTGCCTGCCGAATTCAAGTTCACCATCCGATATGAGATTGTGGAGCAGAGGATCTCCGTTGAGGTCAAGGCTGTTGTTACTGAAGGCTCAAAGGAGAAGTGGAGTCCTCTGTGGCTCGAGAAGGGCGTTGATGTGTTGTTGCCTGTAGGAGAAGAGCGGACGGTGATTGTAAGCGGAGCCAAGGCTCAAGAGAAGTCGTTGGATGCTCGCGGAAGAAGAGTGTGGACTGTGCCCGTCACTTTGTAATCGAATTTGGTGCCGTTTGGTGTTGAGAGGATAGGCTTTTTCTGAATCATACGTGATGCCCGGTGAAGCGATGCCAGCCCGGGGAACAAAGCACTCTTGTCATCAATGGGGCATTCCGATTTACTTGAGTATGAGTTCAGGTTGCAAAAGCTAAGCTACGCCCGAGAGCAGAAGATCGTTTATGAGAGTGGTAGTTGTATTGGGGATTGTGCAATGTGGTATCGATGTTCTATGAGGCGATGTGTCCAATCTAGCCCAGAATCATCCTTCCTAAACAACCTCGTACGCGAGCCAGCTCGATGTGTGATCCATCCAAAACCATCTCCTCAGAAATAGCACCTCAATAATTGGAACGCAAGAAGACCCCTCCAATTTAATCGCTCCACATCAATCCCTGTGTCAATGTCAATCTATCCGATGACTTGACAACAGCAGGTCTTTGTAGTAGGAACACGAGCCAAGGATGTAGTAGGGACATGAGCCCAGTGCCGCTGGCTGTCGTAACTATTGTTTCCGTTGCGTGTTAAAATGTGTGACAAGCTAGAAATATACGGTCTCCAAGGACTTGAGACCAGAGACGACAAGGCGCTTTTTTCCGTTGCGCTTCTTGCTCTTGGTCTCGCATGTGACATCGATAGTCCAACGAGGATCCTCGTAGCCAGTATACTCAACAGTAGCGTGCTCAATATTCTTGCACCAGGCCGCTAGCTCAGATGAGACGCTCATTCGGTACAATGGAGCCTTCAAATGCAAGACGTCGATGGTCGAGTTGAGGTAGGCGAAGTCGGGATATCGGGAGGTTTGACGATTGTGAACCGCAATATCGAAACCTAGGCCCTGGCCGGTGTCTTCCAAGCGTGGCATGTGGTCCTTGTGGCGGATAGTCCGGGCGATCTCGCGAGAAAGGTAGTTGATCTGGTTGTCGATGGCCTTGTAATGGCTGATCGACTCGTCCTTTCCCCTGAGATGAAGTTTTGAGATTTCGCGTTCCTCTTTGTCCATTCTGTTGCCCTTACCCTTGATTTGGCGGCGATGATCGTGGCTGACTGCGTCAAAATGGTGAGGCTCGAGATAGAATTCCTCCCAGACCATGATTTGGACCTCGCACGGGAACCTGGCGAACTGATGGACGCTATCCGCTGTCATGTAGCCATATAAGGCAATGATACTGACCTTCCACTATTGTGTTCCACAAAACCTCTTCATCCTTGCCCGGCATCATCGGTGGCCAAGCAGCAATGTGGATTTGCTCCCCTTGGGCATACGTGCGGTATTTCAGAAGAGGCTGAGTATGCTCCCAGCAGTTGAGTCCCCCAACTCTACCCACGCCCGGGACGCTCGCAATATTGAGTAGAGATGGTCCACTACCTTCGCCAAAGATTGTTCTTTCCACGTGGGTGGGCTCAATCTTACGCCAATTCATTCTGATCAATCCATCAGAACCGATATGTGACTGTGCTATGTAGAGAGAATCGTCCTCGTTCTTCGAGTATCCGGGACGAACTTCGATATTGTTCTCTACGGCCGCAGCACATATACGTATCATCTCTGGCGAGTCTCGTTTGAGGGAATTCTTGATGTAGCGCTTGGTAAGGTCAACATCTATCCCACGTGACCTTTTGAACTCGATTACATGTTTTCGGTGCCAGAGGCAAAGGGCAAGAATTACATACCAAATACAAAAGGGATAGCCTGGGATGAAGGTCTCCGGGAATCCAATCAGCTGTGCCCCTGCACGGCCAGCCTCAGCAATAACGTGGCATGTCTTGTCGACACTGGCCTGGAGGTCGAAGTCAATCGATGCCTCCTGGGCCAGAGCGACACGAATGTTCTTTGAAGGAGTCATTTCGCAAGCCAGCGAGGATCTAGAAGCCAAAGTTGAAAAGTCTGCTCATCTTCTTCGAGGGCCATGTAATAGTCAGACTTGCTTTACGCTACAACCGCACACTTTATATGACTGGCGGGATTAGATAAGGACATCGTACCCATCAATTCAGCCCTAGAGGGATAATGGATTTGACGGACATCTCATTCAACAACAATTGGAGCGTTGATCGCTTTCCCGAATCAGTAAGCAACTGGTTGTTAGTAGCTCGCAATTTAGCCTTTGCCTTTCAAATGCCGAGAATCCTTGAAAGTGGGTCGAAATTGTCTCTCATGCGGGTTGAATCTTCCTCTTTGATGAAATGCTGTCCCAAAACAGTAATTCTCAGCCGCCACAGTCCTCCTTGCAGATTTGCCTTGTATCCAATGCCGCCGCACGGAGCTAGCTGCCATGGTTCTGTACTGATTCCATCACCCACTAATGCACACGTGCTTAACCATAGTAAGTACACTGGGCTGCTCGATTTCGATGGCCGATTTAGAGTCAGGAGCATTGGAAGATCTACCAGCTTGTCTCTGGCTATGCACGTAAACCCTCGTCAACTTCACTAGTCACGGTCCAGATGAAAAGATCAATGGATCATTATAAGCTCGCTAACTCGGCCACACGGTGATTACTTTTTACGGTGAAGAGATGCCCTTCTTTGCCATGGTCTGTTTGAAGGCTTCGAGGGCAACCTCTGGTTGGTAAGCTGGGACCTCGTGACCCGCTTCATGGACTCTCAACCAACTCAAGTTCTTGACGTTCTTGTACTCGCCCATCTTCTTGCCGTTCATGTTAAAGTCTTTCATCTCCGCCTTTTCGAACTCCTCGCCACCAATCTTCTTGGCCGCATTGTAGTTGCCAATGTAGTTGCAGATGAAGTCTATGGATGGCAGTCAGCTACGTTGCAGATACCACACGAGGACATGCCTCAAACTCACCAGCGTCACCGGCCCAGATGAGAACTTGTACATCCTTCTTCGTGATGTCTTGAAGCTTAGTAAGGAAGGATCGCTGGCCTGTGAGAATACGGTCAGCTCCAAATTCTTTGGGCTCAGCTTAATCACGCTTACCGTCACCAGTCGAGGTGAACTTGTCGTAGGGTGCTTGAGGGCATTCCTGATACTCGGATTTGGCACCGATGGCCTTCATGACCTCAGGCTTCTTGATGTATGCTTGATAGGTTCCCGGCGGGAATTTGTCGTCCTTAGCTCTGACATCGTAGACGTTGAAAGTTTTGGCCGCTTCAATGGGCGCTTCAACGGCTGCATAGCACGCATTCTCAGCGGCCACACAAGCCTCATTCTGTCCCTCGAGACCAGTGCATTTCTCCATCGCAGGTTTGCAATCCTTCTCGTAAGCTTTGGTGAGCTCATCAAACTTGGGCTGGTCGATGATTTTGTTGTACGTATTGTTCACTGCATACTCCAAGTAGTCCTTGTATTGGACGACTATCACGAGTTGTCAGCATCTTTCATCTCAACTTACGCCAACGTCTCGGGACCATCGCGTACCTGGGTCAATCCAACCGTTTCCAATACCGAGAGCGACAATCTTGATCTTTTCGCCCTTCACAGTGCCCTTGTCGATAGCATCATTTTGGGCCTGGAAATGGTCGATAAACTCCGGGCCGTAATGGCCGCCGTACGACTCAGTGAACAAGCCGAATTCACGGCCCTTGTAATCGGGGAATTTGCTGTAGAAGGACTGCATCAACGCCCAGACTTTTGGCGCGGCCTTGACGGTGCTGTCTGTATCACTCGTGCCGTAGCTGAAACCGGCCCCGATTGGCTGGTCCACATAGAGCTTTTGATGGGGTGTGCCGCCGTCAGCATGGAACATGGGTTAATAGCATTGATGGACGATGCGGAGGCATCAAGGTAAAAGGACGAGCGCGGTTGTGTTAAGCTTGTGGGGCCGTGTCAATCACACGCCGGGATGGACGGAGACTCACCATGTTGGCGACATTGTTCCACGAGTTGGGGTTCAGAATGGGGTCTGCGCCGGGGGCTTTGTTGAAGGTGCATGGCCCGTTTTCTTGGAAGAGACCGAGCATGGAGCTGCAGCCGGGGCCACCGTTCAGCCACAGAGCTACTGGAGCGGTATTCGCATCTTTACGAGCTTCGAAGAACCAGAAGAACATATTTTGGTCGGTACCTGCGGCATCTCGTCAGATTGTCTGGCGTCATCGCAAGGATGGTGAGAGTTGAGATGAGGGAGGAGACTTACCAACGTCGAAGTAGCCAGAGTATTGCTTGACACCCTTGGTTGTCTCGCAGATTCCCGAGTCCTGGACATATCTCGTTCTGGAGCTTGTTGCCGCGTGCTCATAAACCGTGAAGTTCGTTCCCAAGTCAGACATGAGGCTGTAAGTTCTATCGACAGAGTAGCTCTTGGGCGTCGCAAGCGCAGCAGCGAAGCTGGCCAGGCCTAGAGCGGCCACAGAGTGAGGAAGTAAAGCTCTCATGTTGGCACCGCTTTTGCGACTGGTTGATAGAGACGGCAAGAAGACGTAGATGAGATAAGATTAAATCGCCGCGGGGTGACGAACGAGCAGTAATAGGGGCGGCAGGTGGATGGTATTTGAACTCAGCACGATGTGTGGGAGCACGGATTGAGAAGGGTGTAGCGCGGGGACGTCAGGTAGGACAATCTTAGCCGATCTACGCAGCTAGAGTTTGCCGTAGGGGGACCTCTAGCAGCTTCAGCTTTTGCTGCTTGGTTACCAGATAGGCAGCGAAACCCGTGTTCTTGGAGTCGGAAGTATTATTAAACAGATAGAGTTGCTTCAATACAACGTAAGAAGGAGGAAAGTCTGTAGGCTACTGCAGCGCGCCGATCGCGTCTGTCGTCAAACCTCTTGTAAAGTTCTCGGGAGCCGGCAGATCGAGTGGATGCAGCCGGGCGGGATAGACCACAATTCGATGGGGCATCGCGAGCCGGCCAGCTCTACAACTGCGTGCTTTTTTCCCTGTTTGAGGTTGTGCAGCAACGTGCAGCTGCCCGTGGTGTAGCCTCGGCCAGACTGTCTCTCAACTCGTCGGGTGTTTCGTCTGAGCGCGCCGTCTGATCAAAGGGAAACAAAGTCACCATTAGACACTGTTTCGCTGGCGAACGGAACAGTTCTGTCCCCAAATTTGAGCCTCGTTTTCAGGGGTGAGCGCGCTGAATTGTTCGGCAGGCTTACAGAACAGATAAAAGATTGCCTACTAGAGTCTTGAAATCTGGTAGTCGAAAGAGAAGAACGTTCAAGAGTGAGTTGAGGATGTGAGATGAGGTTCCGCAGAAGAGTCTCGTGGAAAGTTAAGCCCCTGGCGACGATCACCAATCACGAGAGCCCACGCAAAAATACGGTTATATGCACAAGCCGCCCTATGGCAAGTTCTTCAGGATCTACATGCTAATTGGAGGATGCCTCACATTCATGCAAGGAAGATCCCTCCATTGTCCAAAAGTCAGCCATCACAACCGTCGCCTTTGTGACGTTTAGGAGCCCTTGGGACGTTCTAAAATATGCTGCGTGAAAACTTGATTTTTAGCTTACGATACCTCACTAAACCTTGAAGGGGCGCCGATGGTAGACTTTCGGAGCCCTTGAGCCCGTCGGTTAGAATCCAATGCGCTGGCATACGAAGGACGCTGGCGCCAAAAGCCACGCGATTACATCCAGGTCACGAGCAGACGGTAAGAAAAGAACAGGGAGTTAACAACAGTCAGATATTATCATTACTATTCTTCTCACGTATCATATACTGACCCCGTTTCATGTACTCATGTCATGCGATCGTCGTGAAAATATGTACAGAATGGGCAGATCTAGGTCTCAAACCTTAGATGTCTTTTCTCTTTCTTGAACAACCGGTTGCAAGTCAGACTTTGCAATGCTGTTCCTCTCACTGTCACTGTCGTTAGGCACCACACCATTGTTCTCCAACTCGGTGATCCTAGCAGTTTGTTCGCCTCGCCAATCTGCTCTTGGGTCAGTACTGCGATCTAAGTGTCGTCGAGGTTTAAGATTGATGAACTTACGTCTTGACTTCCAGGCTGGGACACCAGCGGCAAACATCTCATCAATCTCCTCGAGAGATTTCTTGGACATCTCGGGCATGCAGAACCAGCCCCAGACCAGTCCGCAGGCTGAGATCGAACCGTATATTAGGCCGACTCGGGAACCAAGGTTCGCCGGTTCCTGCAGCAGGTAGGGCAAGGTGAAAGATGAGATAAAGTTGCAGAGGTTGGCAGTCAGCCAGAAAAGCATGACCGACTTGTCTCGGAGGGTGATGTGGGGAATCTCGGTCTTAGTAAGTTGCAAACTGTACAGGACGTCAGCAAAGTTTCTTGTAGTCGCTGTGTGCATGAGTGGGGGTAACTTACGGGCCACCGAAAGACACGAAATGGAAGATGGGGAACATCATCGTCAATGCTACAATGCCCTTGTTGATGTCGACCGTTGGATGTGAGATCGTACCCAATCCACCCATGACCATGAGAACTGCCGTTTGCATGAGGCCCATGTATAAGAAAAGTGGACGTCGACCAGCCTTGTCGATGATGAACATGAAAGTGATTGCAGTCGCAAGCAAGAGCCCTCGCTTGACCATGGTTGCCATGAACGGATCAATAACTTTCAAGCTCTTCAAGAATATTGTGCCGTACAGGTTGGAGAATGATGAACCAGAAAGCTGAGCCAACGCAGCGGCGATGAGACCGTTGACGGTACGACGCTAAATGGCTTATTAGCGGATGGAGTACACCACGGAAGAAGCTCGCTTACCAGATTCGTGCCCTTGACCAAGTCCTTCCACTTTCCAGTGGTCTCACTTGTGTTGAGAGCTTCTTGGAGAAGCTTGGCCTCCTTTTCAGCATCGTAGTTTGGCATTGCTCCGTAAAGATAATCCAGGTTCTCAACTGCCTTGGCATATTGGCCTTTCCGAAGTAGCCATCGCGGGGATTCAGGAATGAGGACCCAGAAGAATAAAGAGAAGGCCGGGAAAATGAAGCCAATACCCACCGGAATCTTCCAGCAGTTGTCATCCGTGAGCTTGCTCGTAACATCGGTGATGATGGACGCAATGAATGCTGCGAAGACGCCATTTACACCGTAAATAGCTGTAAGTGAGCCTCGAACAGCGGCTGGTGCAATCTCGGCCTGGAACATAGGAATGAGAAAAGCCTCCATGCCGACGTGGAAATTGACAATCATCCGGCCAGCGAGTAGCTGATTGTAACTCTTTGCGGTGTAAACGATGATCGTTCCGGCCATGCAAACAATATTGGTGAGAATGAATACCAGTCTCCGGCCCCATCGCTCGCCGATCTGAGCTCCGCATATTACACCGACGGCGTAGACGAGAAGAGGAAATGAGTTCATGTAAGCCAGCTTATTAGATGTGAATCCGAAGGCCTTCTTGGCTGGAATGTAGTCGCCGAACCGTTGTTCAAACGCTTGGAGCCAATTGTCAGCTTGGGCTTTCTGGTGCTCGAATTAACATGAGATACTTACGTGTCATGGCCTGAATGGTGTTGAGTGTTGAGCCCTCATATCCAAATGTGAATACACTCATGCCAAATACCAAGGTGACCATCAACAGATTAGATGTGATGTGACGTGTCACCTTGTAGTTGTGACGGCGCAGGTAGTCGAGCATGATGGGCGATTTGTTGTTTGTGTCCAAAAGAAGGAATATTCAAGACCAGCTCAATTACTTCGATCTCTTGTCTTGGCATTTGCCTTTCGCCCTCGTGGAAACCAAATCACAAAACCACCCGAAAGTGGGCAGGGAGGCTTTCTCTTTTATGAGTTGAATATCTATCTCCGAGTAGGAGGCCAGTGGGAAACCCTGGTGGATGGCGGTCTTACACCTCTGAGACTCACGGACAACCAGGAAAACCCAACCCAAGCCCTCAGACCCCAGCTTTGGACCTTGAAGTTGGTGGTGCGAGCTTAAACGCCTCCCGTCGGATGCCGTCGGGGCATCACGGCACCACCAGAACGCTCTGTCCGCCAAGTGTACTACACATCGTTTCAATTCAGGCCGTCTCCTTGCTCCTGAGGCAAACAACACCCAAAATCTCATTCTATATGACGGTCAGAAGACATCAGATCTCCCCTTGCCATTGTCGAATCAGACCTGTATGCGCTGATCATGGCAACCAAGTGCCAAACGTCTTCCACGACGTTTCGGTAAAATGGAGACTTAGTCTGCCCCCCTACCCTCCCTCAACACTCGCACCTCGCGACCCTTCGCCAATGCTTCTTGGACAAAGGGGCCCAGGTCTTGCCTTGATCCTTTCCGGGATGCCCGCATGATTCAACTGATCATTTCCATGCAGATGCGATTTGACGGGATCGGGCCGTATGTATCGCCACTAGTATCCACGCCTAGAAGATACGCGGGGTACATTAGTACCATCTGAATTTGTCTTGTTTTTGAGTTAATGCCGAGAAACGCATCTCCAGCAGAACCCAGCTAAACTTACCCAATCCCACACTCTGACGATGAGGCTTTGCCCAGCTACAGCCAGTGCAGGTCTGACAATGAGCCGAGCTGGACTTTACTCCGAAGTCTAAGCTGCATGCCAAATCGTAATTCGCGAGAACGACTTGGGTTCTGCCGTCCAGACTTCTGGGCCACCGTGGTGATTACTACGCAACCTAAATGCATCTTTCATTGCTCTAATACTCGCCACAACAGACTCGGGTCTCTGTCTGGGCAAGCCTCTTGAGGCAGAGTCTTGATGGAAATTGAAGCCAGCCATTCACACCAGTCCACGAAGAAACCTCATTTCCTCCTCTTTTAGTGGCCACAGGTTGATGCACATTTGAGATGAAATGAGCCCCATCAGGAAACCACACCGATGCTCAGCGTCACAGAACGCCGACTCTCCCGTCTCAGGCCCCATTCTCGGCCGACACATTGGGAGGAGGTCTAGCCATTCACCGCTTTCACCACCCACCATTAGCAGCGTCCTATATTAACACAACTCAATATGCCGTTGAGATTGGTATCCACACCAAGAGCCTCATCCTTCGAGATCGATGTAACCTGACACTGAACCCGTGTGATTAGCATCCCCATGCCTAGGACGTCAAAACAACGGCAGTGCATGATTGGAAAGGCCGTAATAAGATGTGCCGATCCGAAGTCGTACCGGAAGATCTCCCTGTCACCGCTTGCGTTGTTGCACGCGGGATGTTGAAGATATCCGCGCGCATACAACTCGACATACCGACGAGATGCAGCCTCACCGTCTCCCAGCACTGAACCTTGACATAGCCCAGGGCATTCTTCTCGGGAATCTCCAACTATTGTTTCGGTCTTGGTAGCTCGCGTTCGGTAAAGAAAGCCTTGACCTTGTCTTGCTTATCCACAAAGAGGACGGATAGGTGGCGCTTTGGCCCGCCGCGAAACGCCTCCGCGTTTCGGCGTCAAAGAGGGGACTACCCGGATTCGGGGAGCTCGTGGCTCCGCCTGCCCGAGTCTTGTTAGCCAATGGGTTTCATCCCTCGATCGCAAGTTGTTACGAATTTGAAGAGCTCAGCGAAGCTACTTATTGTACAATTGTCGTTTGTTGATAGGGAAATCTGTCATTGTCTGGGGCTGAGCTCCATAAAGCTCTTTATTGAGACCATATCATCTCTTATCCGCTTATGATGTTGTCTTTGACTTTGCCTTTACTTCGACAAGTTTCTAGGTATGCTGAACCTCCTCATGCTTTCGTCTCTTCGTAGCCAAGCTGCAGTGAACCGTTGGAAATTGAAGATGAACGGCCCCCATTAACATATCCTGAGACGTTACTGAATCTTTTCTGTGGGCGAGAAGCTCTGAGGTCGTATGACGAAACATGCAAAGAAATTGGGTGACAGCCACTCGAAGGATCCAGGTCGTTATTGACGGGTATACCGATGAAGCTCAAAACGCCGCACGTCAGATGAATATTGAGAAATGAGCTACCCAGAAGCAAGAGATGGCCTCTTCTCTTGGGACCTGATATCGTGATCAGACGTAGTAGGATGCTGCGGGCACTAGGAGATACTAACCGCGCCCCCCGCTTCCGTGGCACACGAGACTAGGCTAGAATGGAACAAGAGCACGAGGGCGCCAGGGATACTGAAGGTAACATTGCAGATGTCAACGATCAAAGTCTAAGACCCCGCGCAGATAGCCCGTGTATTCTTGCCTTTTGGAGGGGTTGTGCTCCAGAAAATGGCAGGGACACTGTCTTGACCGATGGCCTTGGGCAGGGTCTCGCCTGTGCACACAATATTTGAAGCTTCGGGATTTCAACACTAACATATACCCAGCATTCTTGGTGGTTGCATCTATGAGCTCTTGTTAGAGGCTCTCGTTAGCATCCTATGCGTAGTTCTGTGTCTGTCTGAGAGAGTCTCACTTGGGCTAGGGTTCTTAGTCTACACTCGGGAGTCGGAACTCTCGAGTCACGAATCAAATAGCACTGACGCAGGTTAGTACGACTATACGAAATGGGCTTGCGACATTGTCGACGAAGCCGCCTGTATGCTTGACTCCTTTCCAATGTTGCATTCCTGGGCATTTATTTCGTGTATGACATCGATAAATCGACCAAGGGAGATCGTAGCATCCCAATGTCTGCAGCGTCTGATGCCAAGCCACCAGGAAACATGTTAGATCAGAACCCCACTGCCAAGACCTTTGCAGCTTTCAGTGTGGAGGTCAAAGAGCTGTCATTTGATGACATCCAAAGCTTCATTAAAGCAAGCTAACACTTTCCTACTTCCCGCTCTTGGCCAAAAATGGGTCTTTGATTGATCGCTTCATAATCAAAACTTCGGGAAAACTGGATCAGAATCCTATTGCCCAGGACAGCTCCTGTGGATCTAGTCTTATGGAGGCGCATGTCTCTCGCGCGTTTGACGACGAGGGGCAGGACGGAGAAACAACCCCATGAGGATACTTCGACGAGCTGTAGCCTAGCAGGTTGATTTGGGAAAGAAGTCCTATTCCCCGCGGATCATCGTCAGCCTCACGATTTGCTTCGATTTTGGGCCAAAGGAGCACGTCTCTTAAGCCGAGGAAGATATCTCAACCAGGTTGGAGTTTGCATACCACCTCAGATTAAGAGACTAGACTGCCTCGTGAAGCCGTGGCAACTGAATAACACAAGGAATCTGCTCTGCCACCCACTCTCTTCAATCCATTTCACTGCCAAGCACTTCGGTCACATCAAACAACTGGTTCTAAACAAATAATGACCATGCCAAGCTCGTCCATGGTGGCTAACAGCGATCAGTGTCAAACTGGGTTCGGGCTGTGTAAACATCAATGAGATGATGGGAGTGAAAGTAATCGGATTGTTTCTTTTCGATTTCTAAAGCATCACGGGTGCCAGTACCAAGCAATGACGATGTTATGGTTGCTGCTGGGTGTCGAGATGCACCCTAGTGGCGTCTTTCAGATGACCTACTTGCCAATGACTCGCCTGCTCAATGCGACCTAGCGAGAATGGGACCATTTCTTGGCATGAATGAGGTACAGATAGGGAATGAGGATCAAAAAGCTTTCGGGAGATTTTCCAAAAGGTCAGGGAAAGGAGAACAGGCGCCCAGGGCCGCCACACCGTAGAGGAGAGTCTCGCCACAAAGGCAAATTCTGTATTAGTGTGTGCCTGGTCTCATCTGATGTGTGATACACCAACTGACTTGTGCGACGGACCTGACCCCGACCTTCAATTGACGTCACTTTTTCAATGGAAAGCGGCAAAAAATAATCCGAAGGTGGCATACACTCTGTTATCCTCTCTTCGGAGATCGGTGCACTGAGCGAGGCCGAGCGTAAAGAAGAAAAGGCCGAATTCACCCAGTGCATGGTCATGACCAAAGAGCAGTTCCGATTCGCCAATGCATTTTGGCTATGGTTTCAGCCCACCGGGACGACGGTCATGCTTCCGGTTCATGTTCAATAACGATGAATTGTCCCATCATACTGTTGCCACGTTGTTCAACGCTGGGAGCCTCTTTGTGGTGAACATCACGACTTTGGTCTCATAATCCGGAGAATCCGGCCGAATATTTTCGAGACGGATATTACGGCTGACAGAGATGTGATGATATGCCTAAGTAATATCAATACCGAGACCGAGAGTGATCGGTGCGTTGAGTTCGAGGGACTGAGGTATACTCAAATGTCAAGGAGCATGGAGAAGGTATCAAATTAGTGCAAGTGAATACAGTTAGGAGCGCCGGAAGACGGATGCAACGGCTGACCGGCTTCTTCAGTGTTCTGAAGTCGTCCATTCTTGTAAAATTTAGGATATCGACAAAAATGAGAATCTTGGAAGTGTCTGACCGCAACTCTAAGAGAGGACAATGGGCATAGTCCTGGAAGTCGCATTTCCGGCCACAAATCAGACAGTTGCTCTATAAGCACACAGTTATGCTTTGGGCGTAATTTGGCTTCTCCATGCAAACTAGCTGGCATTGCAAATATTCTAATAACTTTGTCGAAGGGTCTAGCTGCGTATTTCCGTCAATGTCGAGGACATTTCTCCGTTGAAGTCTGTGAACTCCTAGACTGAAGCTTTTCGAAACCCTGGAGGCTAATTTTCGGCTGCACAAAGGGCTGTGCCATCGACAAAAGGCGTGGAAGGAGACGTCATATCCCGCAAGCAAGCTGCAGCAACTGCGACCTTACCTTAACTACAATGGCCCCAAAGGCAACGGAAATATAAGTTTCATTCGCGTTCCTTTTGCTTCCCTCTTTATCTTTCCCAATTCACATCATAATGCCAATCAAGGCGATCTTGTCCATTATCGAATTAGTTTACTAATGGTACCATATCTGTGCCCTCAACTACACTACGCGGCGGTTGCTTGTCAAGTGGCTGATGATACAAAAGCACATAAGCTATATGTTGCCAGCCTAGTATCTTCTTATGAGAAGTTCTTTTAGTCTCCGAAGAAAAGAAATGGCCAACCTTCCCCAACCCGGTAAATTTCCCGCCCAGTCTTTCATAGCCACTACATGGAGCAAGGGTAGCAAGGGACATTTCCGGGCTCTTAATGACTAAGTAAGACGACTGCTCCTATGGACATTGCGCGGTCTTTACGGAAGTGAGCCGGAGAAGGAACATCTTTACTGCCTTGATGCAATCAAAAAGCTGGTCTTCTCACCCTGAACCTTTTCTTCGCTGGATCCGAACGGCGAAGTGGCCGCGGCGGTACTTTGCGGCTCAAAAGTAAAGGAGCCACTTGGGCTACCCCCGAACCCACCGAAAAGGGGTTTGGACTCTGTGACTCCCAGCCCTCCAAACCCCTTCGCAAAGCCGAACGTTCCTGGCTGTTCCGGAGACCGTCCTGGTGTTCCGTTTGTACTCACAGGACGAGTTGGGACTGAAGCAAACAGGTTGCCGGATTTGTCGCCAAATTCTGCGGGTTTTCGGTACGTGTTGCCCCAGAGTCCGCTGTTCTTAGTTGGAGAGCTATTCTCAGGCTTCACAGTAGTTGGAGCATAGCTTTCGGAAGGAGGTAATTTGACCACCGGGCTCTTCGTCTTCTTAGGTGGGGGTGGCCTGGACGATTGCTCGGTTTCTGTGGGGGTTCTGACGATGGGCACTGCCTTTGGTATGGATCCTTGGGTTGATTGTTGGCCGTGTGATTTAGCTGCCATCGGAAGTCAGCACGAAGGTCCTGAACTTGAAGTGATCGAACTTTTTTCACCTAATTTTCCAGCAATCTCTTGCTGAGCGCTCTTAGTGGGATTGGTGGGCTGATCTGAGGAAATGGTCAGTCGGCCATCTTCTTTTGGTCGGCAAGGCATAGAAATTTACTTACTCGTCACGCCTCTGGGCCTGTATCGGCGGCATTGATCCAGGCCCTGTTTGAGTAGCTTAATGTCGCTCTGCAGTTGTGTACGCCGCGCCCGGATCTCCTCCGACTCGGCCGCGAGCTCCTCCAGCCTTGTGTCATCCATTTCGTTGACATCCTTCGGTGTTAGGATTCCTGGGAGCTCCTGTATGAGACAGCTCTCCAAAGCCAGGTTGATCAGGTTGTCAGTGAATGTGCGCAACGCCATCTGCGTCATGTCAGTAAGTTTACGGCCGATTGTTTGAATTGGACATCAAAACTTACGTCGTAGAATGTCTGCATTGTTTCTATGGCCCATTGGGTTCCGAACTCATTGCATCTGTGTGAAGTTCCGGTACCCGTATGCTGCGAGCCTTCTGAGCTTCCGTCGTTTGAGTTTTCATTGTCGAAGTCCCCTGGAGCATTCTCCACATCAGGGTCAGAAGTTCTGCGGTCCATAGCTTCCTGGAAGTCGGCATCAAGAGGAAGCGCGTATCCTTGCTGGACAGGTCGAAGAAGCTCCCGCAGCTTATTCTCGATAATCTCCTCTTTTGCATCAAAAAAAGGATCGACGCAAGTCGACAGAATGCTGGAAGTGGTACTACAAGTTCCCAAGGGTCCAGCGATGTGCTCAAATGCCTGATCTACGAAGCCCTTTACAACAACGAGAACCTTTTTCAAATGTAGCCTAGCGACAGCCTCCCAGGGCCTTGACTGTCTCCGAAAAAGCTGCACAATCAAATCCGTATTGGCGTATCCGGGAAACTCGGTCCCTTGGTTTGCAGCCGCTTGCCGCTCCAGTTGAGTGGCCATCTCCGACCAGGCAATTGCTTCGGGTATCTGAAGGTCGTATGGATGTTTTTCGAGGAACTCTTCAAGATGCAGAGGCATGAACTTCCGTCTCTTGGGAATAGGAACGGCAGAGGAAATTTTCTGTGATGACCCTTTCACAATGAGGATGTGACGAATGGCTCGATTGAAATTTCGTAGGTGAGACCGTAACTTCCGATCAGTGCCATCAAAGCCGCCGAAGAATGGATCATTGTAATGGCCCTGAATGCCGTCGCGAACAAGTCTCTCGAAGCCTCCTGCAATGTCCACAAGATATGCTCTCATGCTGGCATGACTGGATCTGGCCTGCCCTAAGCGTGTGAGCTCGGCCTCATTTTCAATGAGCTTCTCCTGAATTTCTCCAAGAACACCTGGAAGGCTTTTCTTGATGTGATCATGGAGAATGTGGCTGAGACGTTTTCGTAGAGCAGAGATGCCCCGATGAATCACCGGTATGGAAGCCCAGGACCCAGATTCGAAGAACTTTTTTTCGACCACGTCCCGAGAGTCAGGATCTGCCTCGGATTTGCCGTAGTCTGGAAGGTTCCGTAACACATGCCATCCCAGCTGCAAGTTGTGCACCACCTCGCGGCCTCTGACCACTTGGAGATACTCGAGCTCGTCAGGAGATCCTGGATGGAGAAGATCTGGCTTGGTAATGACCCCAAGTGTACGCTCCCTTGTGGGGTCGTGTTTCGCAGCCTCTTCTAGGACTCTCTGGTTGGCGAGCTGATTACTGGCTGATATGACGGCGAGGATGATGCTGTTTTTCTTTTCCATGTAACTTTCTACTAGTTCCATGACAGTTGTTCTGCCCTCCGCCGACTGTTTTGCCGTCGCGGTGTGGAAGATTCCGGGTAGATCGACCAGGGTGAGAGGGTACAAATTCGGGCCTTCGACCTCCAGACGTAGAACGTCCTTGGAAAATCCCCTGTTGGAATCCGTGAGGCCCATATGCTCTTTGGCGGCGGTAACGACTTTGCCAATGTCTTCTCCCTCAGAAAAGTCGACCCAAATTACCTGTGCAGGTCTAACATCGTTGTGGAACCTAATGGTGGCCTTGACGCGTCTTTGTGTGCCATTTCGGAGAACCAGCTCCGTGGCAAAACGTGTGCACAAGCCGGAGCTAACGGGAAACTTGACATGGGAGATCGCTTCAAGCACAGATGACTTTCCAGATGATTGGTCCCCCACGACAATGATTTGGGGGAGGTTCACGATCTTGCCAATGCCAAGTGAGGAAAGCTTGTCGGTGGTGTCGAATAAGATGCGAGTCTCGACGGAGTTCAACTCATCGAGAGCTCCGGAATCAAGGTTGGTTTGAGACATATTTGCCATAGTCTACGCAAGTTGTATAGAGCTGAGAGCTACGGAGAACTTCGTCAATCAAGACAAATTTCCGTGGAGGGTAAGGAAATTATAAGAGTCCTCAAGAGTCACCCCCACGGTCTTGTCGTTAGGCTTGTTGGTTCGTTCTATTAGTTCATTTCCGGAGGGAGCGGCGCAGCTCATGTATACCACCCAACCGCACGCAACCTGACACAGCTGGGAAATGCAGGAGACCCGGCTCAATCCTTGGCCAACAAGATACAATATGAGCCCAAACTTGATCTATTTACGGCACACAACTCCAACTGAGCAGGGTTCCGCACTCATCCCGGATCAGTCCTAGATAAGCCATTCTTGATCAATGTGTTTCAATTTCGTGTGGCCTCCAACCCTAGCGTCTCTTGTAGGCGCGCGCCAACAATTCGGATTGGCGAGGTACGTTGAATTTTGCTGCTTGAGATGAAAACAGTCTACTAGATAAATATTTCTGCAATTCGGAGTGCTAACTACATGTACACAATACTGCTCGAGCATCATAAGATGAACCATCATAAATGAGAACGCCTTGGTGTATCTGGTTATGTCATCTTTCATCTATTTTGAGATCGGCTTCGAGGTAGTAGGCGTTGACACTAAATTCAGTCTGGTCTCCCACATCCTCAGACAACCCATTCTTCTTTTTTCATATTCCGAGACATTGCTCACCACATAACTCTGGCAATCGTACCTTGCGCAAACAGCCTCATAAGCAGCTTTCGGATGTCATCTGTGAACATGATGCCCAACGTCAGATTTGAGAATGAGCCAATTGGAACAGAAGCTGTGCCAAAGGTTTCTGAATCCCAAGAACTTCGGTGACCAAGATTGCAATAGCGGGACTGATGATGGCGCTCGCAATAAGCCATGGACGCGGTCTCTTCTTAGTCATTGGATCTGCCTGGACAGTACTGAGTCTCTGGTTCCATGTCCGAACCGCGAGGATATTGCTCCACTGCAGGAACACCAACGTGACGAAGTAGACGCATTGGCCGGTTGCATTGAGTTGGCGAGCTCATCGAGCGTGTATCCATGATAACCCTCAGCATAGCCCTCAAACAAGAAGAAAGGCTCATGGATCGGGAAGCAGAATACTCTCTATCATTTCCTCAAAGTACTCTATAGCAAGGGTGAGGAAAAGGTACCACAGTAGCTCAACGTCGAGTGATGAGAAAGGCGATTAACTCGGATATAAACGGAAGGGATGTAAGGAAAACGCAATGCACCACTATTTGTTTCGCCGACAATTCGAGTTTGCAATGCGAGTTTCGTATGCGGATAATTTTCCAGTTGCGCAATATGCAGGCTGCCTCTCGACGTCCTGGATGTCACTTACAAGAGAGATGGGTGAGCATGCCAAGAAAAAAAGAACTAATACAAGAATAGGGCATAAGATACGCCCTTTCTACCTTTCAGACGCGAAGGACATTAATTAAGTTAGAATTACCTACAAACTCCAACTTCTCATGGCACACGGCGCAAATTTCCCCAGACAAATTAACGCCGCAAAGAACGCCCCAGGATCAGTACAAGCTCCCAGTTTCGGGACCTCTCCTTTGTCCGGCGCAATTCCTTTTCGCATGAATGTAACAGCATCATACACAGTTTCTGCTTCTTATTGCCGTCGGGTTATATCATAGGACAGCGTGATGGCTGACAGAAGCGATTTTCCTATCACTTTTCCTGTCCGCCTTTCGCCGGCTGCTTCGAGTGAACCTGCATGGGTAGTTTTGTTTCCCAGCCACGTACTCTGATATCCAATATTGTGGGATGGAGCGGGCAGAACAGCCAGTTCGTCAGATGTTCTCTAACTTCATCAATGGCATCGTTTGTAGCAGCAGGTCACCGTTCTGGCGCGTCGAGGAGACCTGTGCAACTCTACGTCTACGGCCACATCACTTAGTGAAGACCAAAATGAAAATAGCCTTGTACGCTGGCCGGTATGAATGTGCAGTGGATCAAGCGGGCAGTGGGGCAAATCAGCCGACAAAACAACGAAAGCTCAATTCTTCCTGTTTCCGGGATTGATACGCCAAACGCTGCCAGGCCTCTACTCTAATTGAAAGAGTAAGAAAGAAAGACATTTACTCAGAAGTATGATCAAAAGGTGTTTTCTTGAGACAGTCGCTAAAGATTAGGATAAGACGCAGGTGGCCTTAAAAGGCAGAGCCTTAGGTACCGGTTAATTTCACGATACCTGTCACTCGGCGAGGGTCCACCACATCAATCTCCGTCCATCAAAAACGTCAAAAACATACAACACCAGGTATTCGCTGGTCGTCACCGACCCAACTACTAATCCGGCCCTCATTGGTTTATCTATGGGAGAGCGGACGGGATCCCGAGTTTTCCAATGGGTATGGTCGTATGTGATGGGGTAGTGGCAACCAAGGAATTATAGCTCGATCCTACCAGAGCGCCAACGATGCAATATTGGTCAACTAGATCATAATGCAGAAAAGCGTTGTGTACTTTAGTTCGACAGCAGGTCATTTCCTTGACTCTTTGCTTCGTATGAGACATTGAAATAATATCCAAAGTTCTCGAGAGCTAAGTACTAGAGTTGTCCCGATCACGACATGGAGGCCCTGGCTCAATAACACAACGTTTGTGGTAGCAACGTTGACGCTCATTTGACAGCAATAATCTTCAGTACTAAAATCTCATTCATATTTGTTCATTTAATAAGCGTAGGTCACCAGATAATATCTTGAACGGGAAGGAACATTGGTGTTTACATTCCGTCAATCGGTGATGCTCATTTATTCATTTCCACATCGAGGTCCACCGCAACTGCCAGAGGCCAACAGCCACAAGATCAAGCTGACTTACTAGCTATACATTACATCATTCATAAGTTTTGTGTTTGTCATCTCCGGCTCTGAAGAAGGATAAATTAACAGCCCTAGAAGTGGTCGCAATGCGGCCAATGTTGAACCTACAAAGTTGAGACCGCAGGAGATCAGCCTCGCCGTCACCCTTGCATTATGCAACCTCAAGCAGACAATAATTCGCATTGCAGGACAAGAGAACTGAAGAACGATATCATACATAGTAGGTGAGTCATCCGTCACCATCTGACTTCCAAGAATATACATGTAATGTTATGTCAGTGGGTAATTGTGTGGAGTGGTTCGACGTAGGCGACAACTTCACTTCAAATTGCGCTATGGGAGGCATTCTTGAAGAGGCAGAAAGGCGAAGCAGGGGCCATCTACTTGAGCATACAATGATGTCTATCCTGTGACATAGACAGTTGAGAATGCATCCTGTCTGCCCGTACAGCAAAAGCACATGTTTCTATCACTGAGCTAAACTTCTTTTCTTGTTGTTGTTATTGTTGTTGTATTTAACACCGTAGCGGCCGGGCTAGAGCCCTTACCGTAGACCTCCTAAAGGGTATATAGCGTAGAGGGCCGTAAACTAAGGCTACCTATTTTATAATATATCGTCTCTTTATATTGTCCTCTAAATTATACTTTATAGCCATTATACATTCTATCTATCCCTAGTTCCCACTAATACCCTAGTTTTATTCTTTTTTAAATCGTCCTTTAGAATTAAGAAGTTCTTTATAATCCGTACTTATATTTATATAAATATAAATACTATTACCGTAAATAGATCTTTTAAAAGAAGTCCGTTATGTAGAGAAAGGCCTCGAAACCTTATAGATCGGTAATTAATCTTTTAAAATAGGCCTCGAAAGATCCTATAAGGCCTATAGGCTCGGGTATACTATAAGAATAAAAGATCGGCTACCGTTACCTCCTTACTAGCATTAATTAATAATAGACTAGGTAGTCTACGTTTTTTACCTCTCTATAAAAATATATTATTAAAGCGTCGTCGTAATTAAAATATTAGTAATATTATTTAAAGTCCCTATAACCTAATCGTACCGCTAATAGGTAATATAATATAGCCCGCAGTAAGGCTAGTTTAGGAGGGCTAAATAGAACTATCTTAAGCCTTAAATCTACATACTACGGCCTTTGCTCTTTATATCATTATCTCCTATAATAATCTTATAGTTTTTCTTTTATAAGCTACTTAATACCTACTAGTATTATTATTTAACCTATCTACGCCAGTAATATCGTTCCTTCTTTAACTAGCCGGTCTACGGCCTTATTTCCTTTAATACCTTGGTATTCTAGAAACTAATACGTCCGTATATTAAAAATCCTAATTCTTTTTTAGATTTTAAAGAACGCCTCTTATAACAAGTCCAGCGCCTTATTATAGATATCTTATATAATATTAATATTATCAATATATATATAGATTAGATAACTACGATTAATAAATAGAGCCCTTTTAAGGCCGGCTTACGCTCCTTTAACCTCGGTATTAAATATTTCTACTAATCCGAGTCGGCTATACCTTTACACTATATATTTAGAGTTTTAATAAATAACGAAGCCATATTCTATAGCTCTATTCGTTACCTTAGAGCTATCCGAAAAGACGATTATATAGCTTTCCGGTATTATCTTTAACTAGCACTCAAAATCTTTCGTAGCCTCTTCTTTATATTAAATTACTATTTAATTTTATAAGCTTAGTAAATACTATAATTAGAGGAACGTTAGTCTTCTATATTTTAATAAAAGTTTAGCCGTTCGTTATAGTCTTATCTATTACTATCCTTACTAAAAAAGCCGTATAATTAGCGGGTATTAGCAATCGATCTTTTATAATCGGACTACGGCCTATAAATAGATACCTTTTAAAACGACTTTAGTTAATAATAAGCCGGCATTTTAAAAAAGGCTACTAATTAGCATTATCCTTTAAATAAATAGAACGGCCTTTACCGCCGCTATAATAATACTATCGATCTTCTATACGAGCCCTTTCTAGTTTATATTAACAGGTTTTTTTTAAAAAGGCGGATTTATATCTATCTCTACTTAGCATCTCGAAACCGGCTTTATAATACTTACGTACTATATTTTAGCATTAAAGAGTATAATCGGTAATATATAAGAAACGACGGTTTTTTATATAGCGGCCGCTAATAGTCCTCTTTTTATATTTATAAGTTACCTTAAATATTAAGCTACCTTCTTTACCGTAGCTATTTTTATATCGATATAGTACTAGAAAAATAGTTTTTTATCGAACTAAATACCTAGCTAGCATATAGGTTTTATTAAGGCCTTAATTATTAAATCCCCCGCCGTAACCTCTAGTAGCTCTACTAGCTGGCCGTACTTTTTAATAAAGTAGATGACCTTATATTTACTTAGGTTAAAAAAGACTTTATTTTTTAAACCCTATTTAAGAATACCGGCTACACTTCGGTTAAGTATTACGACATTATTTTTTAAGGAGGGGCTTATAATTAAAATAGCGATATTGTCTATATATCCGAATCGTACGTCCAGGTCGTCTTTAAATATTTCCGTAATATAGAGTAAAAAGACGATAGGAAATAAAAGCGACCCTTATAGTAGCTTATATAATAAAGGAAAGTATTCCGTTATGCTTTTTTCTAATTAGACTTTAATAATACGGATATAATAAAAGTTAAAGATAAGTTTAATTAAGCTATATAGCTATCCCTACTAATATAATTTAATGATAAGCCGGTTCTAAAAGATAGAATCAAATACCCTTTTTACATCTATAATTAGAAATATCGCCGTAAGCCCTTTTAAAAAGGCCGTTTTAATATTATAGGTAAGGTAGGTCGTTAGATCGATAACTAACCTACCTTATAGGGCTCTAATCTATTACGGACTAACGATATACTTAATAATCGCTAAGGACGTTATTTTTTTAATTATTAATTTTTTAAATCCTTTACTTAAATATAAGAAGAACGCGATCGGACGCTAGGACCTAGGCTTAAAAGTATCCTTATCGGCCTTCTAGATTATAACTACCTTAATTCTATAGAAAAGTAAAGGAAAGTAGCCGGCCTATATATAGGACTAGAATAGCTACTTAACTAGCTCCGAAATAACGCCTTAATAGGCCTAAAAGAGGTATATAATGATCCCGTTTATATTAAGGGTCGTTATTTTTATTAAAATAGCCATCTTTACTTTTTTTCTATTAATATTATCCTACTAAATAATCACTTATTTTAGAACGACGGGTATATTAAACGGGTTACCCGGTACATTATCTTCTATACTAAACCTATCAAGAAGGGCTTTCTAGAATGCTTAGGCCTTTTTATTAGTATCCTCGATCGTTTAGTTATTTATAATTAATAAGGGTGCTCTAGTTAATAGGCTCGCTTTCTGTTAATTTATAACTTAATAAAGGTCCCGGTCTAAAGCAACTTTATCGATCTTTCCGGCCTAATATACTCGCTTAGCCTTCCTTATAATATTTAAGAATACTTTCTACTTTTCTATTAAAGAAGGATTTACGTTCTATTCTATTTCTTAGGTTTATAAGTTATAGGTAATACGGTACGTTTTATAGGCCTCTATATATTCCTTTATTTATTAAGCTATACCTTTTCTCTATTTTTCTCTCTTTTTACCGACCGCCTTAATAGCTCGGGAAAAAAGCTTAATAATATAACTTATCTACCCGTCTAGGCCTACCAGAGTAGGTTAATCCCCTAGATTAGGTATTATAGCTAGCCTCCTTTTAATTAGGTTTTTTAACCGAGGTAGTACCGAATTGGGTACTAATAATAGCCGTAGCTATAAGTGGCCCTCTCCTTATAATATTAGGCGTTTAAATAATAATATAATAGCTATAATAGCCTTATAGTTAGCTCCCGGGTATAACTATAGGCTAACCTATACGTACGTAAAAGGGATATTAAAAAAAGCTAGGTCTAGGATATATCCGTAATCCTAAGTTACTACCCTAACTTTATTAATAAAAAAGAGATTATAGCCATTTACCTAGCCTACAATATTATTTCCCTAGTTCCCGTTCTTTATCCCGGGCTCTTAAAAATAATAATACGCATTAAAATTACCTATAATCAAAGCTTGTTCCGGGGGTTTAAGTTTTAATAATATCCTTATTATACGGCTATAGGGGTTACGGGGTTATCTATATATATTAACGATAATCATCGTTTTATTAATTACTAATTATAATACGTCTCTTGTATAGATAGGCCTCTATTACTCTACTATCATCCCTATCCCTTTATATATATAGGTTAATATTTTTGGTCTAGTTCCTTTGCTATCCTAGAAGTTGACCGGGACGAAAAAGTCGAAACCCGGGTGCGTATTCAGTTATACATTTCCGTCTTTCTAGCCCGTCCAAGGTTCCTGGACGAGGACTATATCTATCTAAGCCTCTTAGTAGAGCTGTAGGAAAGCCGTATACGCTAGGGAGATCTTTCCGACGTTACCCTATATAATATATAGCATCTATAGGGTCGCCGCTCTCGGCTTATATTTCTAAATCGAGTTCGAGGTAGGTATAGGTATTTGCGACGTTATAATTTGGCTTTTATGCTACCCGTTAGCTCTTATTTAGCATAGGTAATATAGGATGGTCGATAGAGGTATTGTCGGGGGAGTCTTTGCCCTCGCCTTTATCCGCCTCGTTTTTATCTATACTACTATTATTAATACTTTCGTCACCAAGGTAAATGATCGAGCTTGTAGAGGGCGTTCTTATATGCGCGTACTTAGCGCCGGGTTATTAGTTCTAGCTAGTAGAGGTAAGGATGCCTGCTGCCTCTTAATTACTATCGGATCGAGTAGCCTTATATAGAGTATCCGATACTTTCTAGCCGGTCTTCTAGATCCGAGCCTGCTCCTTTTAACCGGGAAGGGAGACGACGCTATTTACGGCCAAAGGCCTTACTAAGCAGTCTATATAGCTAGCTTGGAAGGGGCCGTAGTAGTTAGTATATTAGGGCCTAGCTATATAGGGTCCTGTTTTATATAAATTAAAAGGTCTTCTACAGTTATTATAGATCGGTTATCGTTTATAGAACCGGTTAGAGTGGTAGCCCTAGTAGCCAGGATTATGTCGGATAAGCGTCCTTTATTTCTTAACGGGCAGAGATTTACCGTTTTAGTTAAAGAGCCTAAAGGGCGTAACCTTTAATATAAATAATATAAGCTAAGATATTTTGTTCGTAACTAGGTTAGGCCTAAGGCGGGACGGTCGAGCAAGGACAGGCTTTTATCCTATCTATATAAAAACCTTATCTTTAATAAGTGTAGTTGGGTCCAGGATATCCCCGCTAATACTGTATAGTTTTATTAGGTATCGCGGTATAACGTAAGTATACTACTTGATAGGCGTCTTGACCTGGTAGGCGCCGAGGCATTCCGCTAGCTTTGCCTTACTTATAAGTAATCTTTCTTATATTTACTTATTTTGCGGCTTTAGAGAGTAACCTATGCTGATATAGTAAACGTAGGGAAGGTCCGCTAGCCCTAGGCTAACGGCTTTATAAACGATCTATTATACGGCGAACGGTACGATTTTCCGAGCGGCCGTTAAGCTTTTTTCTAGGACGTAGGCAAAAATGCGGAGGTCCTCCTTTGGCTACGCCTGTAGCTGATCCTTAGCGGGGAGTATGGCCTTTGGGCGGGTAGAGCTCTAGTAGCTCTAGCCGCTCTAGGTCGCCGTAATAATATTACCCGCTATTAGTGCGACGATAGCCGCCTAACTCCGGGCCGCTATTAGGCTTATTTTGTAATTAATTAGTCTTTTAAGGGTTTAAATAACATAGGTAGTAGCTTCTTTCGCAATCTACTTTCTAGAACTATTAAAGCTGGCGATAATGCTATCGACGGACCGTATAATGGTTAGAAAGACGTCTTTCCGTACCTCGTACTGTCTAGCTTCTTCTATAAAGGTTATTAAGACGGACCTTATAGTAGATCTGCTCGGAGTAGATACGGTAGAGGCTATGGGCCCTTCGGCCGAGGTAGGGGCGTCGGTAGTAGCATTAAGCTGGCTTCCTGTTAAGCTGGGCCGGGTCGGCTATGCTTCGGTATTGCGGCGTCGCTTAGCTTTTAAGGTAGGGTTCGGCTCCGGAGGTATCCCGGAGCCTGATTCGGGGTCGGCTTGGTCGGCCGACATTAGTCCGGTACCTAACGGCGGCTATAAGGCCATTGCGGATATAGGCTCCGGTAAGGGGAGGTGAAGAGTTTTCGGCTGTTAGTAATTTAGTGGTAGGCTTACTCATTCACTAACAGCAGATGCCAAGAAAAATTAGGCGAGAGGGAAGTTGACTTCTTTTCCTGTATTAGGAGCTGAATATATCATCTACTAAAAAGCCCCAGGTGCACCTTCCTATTGCCTTGCTTTCGATTTCCGTTGTGTAATCTCCCAGCGCTAGAACCCGGTACGTTCGAAGATCTTGGTACTGAGTATTTTGCCGTGGGCCCCTGGGGATACGGATGCCATGACCATCGTCTTTGGAAATTTGTCAAATCCTCCCAACACAGAGCGTAATTTCGGGTCTCAGGGTAGATTCAGCGGCAAGAAAAGCAGGTTTTCGCGAACAGATAGTGCGAGAACCGACAACAACCTCGCACACATGGTAAATCGTGCGACTTGCATTCTACAAGGTAAGAATAGCCGTGTGAATTGCGTTTTGGTTGATATTTCATGCATATTCGAGTACTTTCCAGTTCCATAAATCTTTACCCCGACCTGGTGACTCCGTACCTGTCGTAGGATATCAGGGGCCTCCTGGGTGGCACCTACGGAGAGCTCCGGTTCTTCCAACTCAGTGTGGTTAGAAAACCACTTTCTGCATACCCATCACAGATTCCGGATTGAGCATATCGCCTATCTGAATGCCAAAATTTCCTCAGTCCCATTGCCGATACTTCACGCTGAGAGGAACAAGACTGGGGCAACTACGAGCCTCGGTCGAATGCTAGGCGAAGGCCTGTGAAGAGAAAGACATACAAATACACAAGCAATGAGACTTGAAGGCCCCATGAGATTGGCTTCTACTGGTTATCATGGAGCTTCAGCAGTATCCAGTCTACCAGCATGCTGAAGATTGCCATTCTCGCTTCTCTTGGTGGCCTCATCGCGGCCCTCGACCTGAGCAGCCAAGATTTCCGTATAAGTATCAACGGTAAGACCGGTGCCATCTACAAAATCACTGACCCTCTCTTCAATGATGTCGTAAACTGGGTGGTTAGCGGCTCCAATGCGCCCTGGCTCCCGACAGGCAGCCGCTGGTGTCTAGGGTACGCCGATCTGGGCCAAGATTACCTCCATCGCAACTTTTGGAACTTCCCCCAGATCACGAAGCGTGACAATACTGTAGAAGCAGTTCATATTGCTGGAACGCTTGAGCTCCTAGTCAGCCGGAGCATCACAGATGAGAATCGGTCCTTCACTGAATCATATACCTTCACGAACAAAGGCGCCTCGACGCTGAACCTGAACAGCCGAGGAACAACATCTTTGGCCATCTATGGCCTTTTCAACGACCATTACACAAACACAAGTGATTGCGTCAAAACTCACTCGCATGCACATGCTTAAGCGTTTGGAGGAGCTTCTTTCTAGGTTAAGCTGAGCCAAATGGGCGGCAACTATCGAAATCTCGGGTTTGTCCTGGCAAAGGGCGCATTGGTGGGCTACAGTATCGAGTCACGCGACCCCGTCACACTGTCTAACACGCGGGGTGTCTTCCTACTTCATCCTTCTATTCCCATCCTGGAGCCGGGCGCGTCGAGCACGATCGCGTGGACGTGGTTCTGGCATAGCGACTGGGACGACTTCTTCAAGCAGAGCGCCGCTCGATCCAAGCAATTCGTGAGAGTCGAGACAGATTACTTTACTTCCATCACGAGAGACAGCCTCTATCTCTCTCATCGGTGCTTTCTGCCAATACCAACACGAAGGTTAGTGGCCAAGTACTGCAATGCGACGAAAGTAAGTGTCACTACAACTTTACAGCCGGGCGTCCAGGCAGGACGAATCTTGTGGTCACCACGGACAATGGCTACAATTCTACACTTTCCCTCAACACCGTCCCGAAATATGACGACCTGATCTCCAGTCGCACTAAGTTCATGATCGAGAATCAGCAAGATACTACGCCCGACACGCCCGCAGAGGGAGCCTATCGCGTTTTCGATAACCAAGCCAACGTCCTCGCGAAATAGGACACATCTACAGATCGAAACCCTGGCCGCGAACGCGTGGGGATGGGCAACCTCATGGCACGCTGGCTGAAGAAAAAAGCCCCGAGAATGTCCAGGTTCGACAGTCGCTGGAGAAGTACTCCGCTTATGTCTCTACCAAGCTGTAGGAGAAGAACGGGTTCGTGCGTGATAGGCCGATCGGGATGGACGGCAGCAAGAAGCGCCTGTACAACTGGCATTGGGTTCTCCAATTTCGCATCACAGTTGCTGCTCTGGACCTCAACTTGAGGGGGATAGCCGCGGAGAAGACACCTTTAGAGCGGTTCATGCTCACCCTAGAGAATTTCTACCCTGAAGGCGGCGGAGAGTTGCACGCCATCGGCCTCCCTATCCTCGAAAGTCTACGCGCCCTCGGGAAGCACGGAAACGAAGAATTGCTAGAGAGAGCTCAAGGGCTGTTTCTCGCCCATGGACAAACATCGCGGCACGCGGACAAGCCTATCCGTCATTCGAAGTCAACCTTGAACAATCTATAATCGCCCCCGCTGCTGTAACTCTCCTTGAGCTCTGGCGCTATACAGGCAACGAGGATTGGCTGGACGCCGGCAAACTACACCTCAATATCCTCCTCCATTCTGCGGGCAAACAGCTCGACTACCGCCTTCACGACCTCGCGATCCGCCACTGGGACGGTTACTGGTTCGGTAAGGACCGCACGTGAGGAGATACATTTCCTCACTTCTGGAGCACGCTCAACGGCATCACGCTCCATCACTACGCCAAGGGCCTGAAGAACGATACCCAACGTCAAGGAGCGGCTACCTTGAAGACTGCTAACGGTATCACAAGAAACAATCTTGCTTTGTTCGAGGCAAACGGCCGCGCTTCGTGTGCCTATATTTATCCAACCTCCGTCAACGGCCGCGCTGAGAATTACAAAGATCCGTATGCGAATGATCAGGATTGGGCGTTAACTCACCTCTTGCGGATCGAAGATGATGCCTTTGTTGAGGAATGAGTAGGCACCAACCCACTGAAGAGATTTTACGACAGGTCGCAGAGTAAATATGTTTCGACGATGAAGTTAGTCTTCTTATACATATTGCTCGCAAAACTTTGAAAATAAGTGCGGAGTCTCAGAACAGGCAATAAGGAAGAAACTGGCTATGCATTGTTAGCAGCTGGGTGAGATTGCCTTGGAATTCTGACATGTGAAAACGAGCTAGCCATTGGAAGATTTCAGGACTACGGTTCAATGTTTTTTGTATCTACTGCAGCTAGAATTTCAACTATAGGTCGACAAGTCCAGCTCAAGATGCAAATATAAGAAGTTTTGGTACAAGAGCGTATGCCAAACTGAGATTCTCGAGTTGCAGCAAGTGTGACATGCCAGTCGGATCTTTTGCGATTGTCGCAATGACAAGATATTGCATCCAGACGGTTGACATTATTACCAGCAGGTAGAACACTACGATCGCCAGCTTCCATCCGAGTCTTAACAGTGCATCCCTCTTCTTCTTCTCGTCTTCTCCCGTAAAGGCACACTCTGTGTCGTCCTGCTTACATAGAGAACGTATTCTTTTGATGATGATGGTGCATACACCAATAAAAAGCATCACCCAGACACTATAAAAGATAAGAATATCCTTGGTCTGCCGCTGAAGCTCAGCACCGACTGTTTCGTGTTCTAAGATGACGGATAGAAGTTTGTAGATGGGAAGAAACATCAAGCCATACCCAGGCAGTAGATTAAGCATGGAAACCAACACCGAAACCTGAGTGTCCCGGTCCGGTAGGGGGATCAGGGAATCAGCTGCTGATTTCTTCTCTAGTGGTGCGCTTTTCCCTTTCTCATCGGATTCCGTCATTGATTGGACTTGTGCAGCAGATGTGTTTTTAGCGAAACTTGAGAGAAGGCTTGCGTTTTCCGTGCTTCTCTCGTTGTCGGAGTCCGCTTCGATTGAAACGATTGATTTTGAAAATGCTGAATCAGTTGACAATCGGTAAACAGTCTCAAGACCGAGTTCGGTTTCGTTGGCCCTCACGACTTCCTCGCCCACTCCTTGCTTAGCTTCTTCATCTTTCTTCTTCTTGGAAAATATGACGTTTAAAAGTCCTCCGAGCACTATCAAATGATTGGTTGCAACGGTTATTGTGCTTCCCGTCATTAGATCTCGCATGGCCCTTGACTCGGTAAGAGGCAGTTGTATGAAGATCATTAGAATTGGACTCGCTACCCAAGTGATGGCAAAGTAAGCGCAGGTAACTTTCTTCCATCGTAGCTTTCCAGTGGGATTGAGAGGGGGTCTCCCAAGGAGGAGCATGCAGCATATGTACAAGCTAACTGCTGTATTGACGAAGGCGATGTAGCCGTAACATAGATGATAATGTCGTAAGCTTCTCTCAAACTTAACTAAGTCTGAAATCTCGCTAGTTGAGTCGGCTGTTGCTGAAGTCGTCATACTGAGATTTGATTGAAAAGGACTTTTATTGAAACCCAGTGCTGCCGTTAAATGAGCGGCATCAATCAATCGAATAGAAGTTAACCAGTGCTCAAGAAGTTGTTCGTTGCGAGTCATCTGAGATGCATGCGCCAGAAGTAGATACATGTAGGAATGCCAGAGCTATTTCGTTGCTTTTAAGGTATGATATGTTGGTTCGCCTTACGGCGTAGCAAAATAGCCGAGGCGGACTATCTAGTCATTGAATGCCCAAACTTAGCGATGATCAGCCCATGGTCAATCCAATGAATAGGCAGCCATGCAGCCAAGAAGTCATCGCCGCAGAAAGAGTGGAATTTTTCGCCCTGCACCGCCCGTCCTCTCATTACTGTAAATATGCCTGACAAGAACTTCAAGATGGACCAGCCTTGGCTAAGGTAGTGGAAGCTATAAGCTGAGGCACTATCTGATAAACGCTGTATCATTAATTCGAGTCTTCTGAGACAATTTTCATCGACTTGATAAAATTAGGAACATGGATTCCTGCCACAATTCACCCAATTCCTCTAGTTTCGCCGCTTTGAGGTAGGATAAGTTATTAGACACGTGGCCATCCAGTCTTCGTAGCAATACCGGCTCAATTTTCACCCTTGCTGTCTCGTGTTCTCGCAGTATCTCTATTTCAAGCTAATTAACGTGACACTACTAACAGGCCAGTACGAACAACTTAGACAGAATCAAAGTCACCAGGCTGAAATTGGAGACATGTCCAAGATGCGCAAGCCCGTGGGTATCCTTCGCTGCCGCAGCAAGCACAAAATATCGACTCCAGTCAGTAACAAGCCCAGCCAGTACTCCAACAGCAAAAAATGCTGTTTCCCTCACTTTCTTTGCCTCTGCGGCGCGCCTCTTTTCTCTTTCCTCGCTGTTGACGCTCTCTTCGTCCCGAGACTTCGCAGCACTATGAGAGAAATAGTTGAGGATGCCGGCGATGTTGATGACGAGGATCAACCCATAGACAACGCCGAAAAGAATGAGGCTGTCTCTCGTTTCGCGCTGTTGCCTTGTGTCATTGTTTCCTCGGTCTACGAAGATGCACTTCGCAAGGCGTATGACGCCCCACAATATTATCTGGTGGCCGGGGGATAAGACTGCTAGACCCATGAACATACTGGCAAGTCCCTGTGCTACTGTTGCCTCCTTCTTTGGAGTTTCTGCACCGGTATGTTCAGTTGCGGAAACTTCTTCGGTTTTCTGCGCTCCAGGGATTCTGCTGGTGAAACGATCCAAGAACCCTGTCTTTTCTGATGTTGATACAGCTGTACTCGTTGAGGCGTTCGACCGTACGGACTCTGTGGAGGGACGAGCGGAAGCCTTGTCCTGAGCATCGGTTGCTATAGTTGTGCCGGGATTCCCTTCAACGATCTGATCTTCGCCGTTCTTCGTGTTCTTCTCCCTGTCGTCCATGGCGTTGCTCTGCATAATACAAAGAACGGCCCCCTGTATGATGACAGTAGCCACGACGTGTCCGATCGCAATGAGCCTGAGGTTTCGGTCTTTCATCTTAGGGACTTTGATAGCCGCAACAGCCACCAATAAAACGGCATACGTGAATCCTCCAAGACATACAAGTGTCTTGTGCTTGAGCTTCCGGTTTGGATTGATGGGAGCATTGCCGGACATGATGCAGAACCAAGTGTAGAATCCGATGACGTTGCTGAGCCACGCAATGGTACCGTAGGATAAGAAAAAATGAGGAAGATCACCATCAATGGAGAATGTGCTTCCCATAGTCATATTGCATTTGATTTTTCCGTTGTTGTCGTCGATGCAGATGGATTGATAACTGTCGGTTCCGCAGACCGTTACGAGTGAGCCCGCGTAGTCGATGGAAGAACACCCTTTGGTGCCGTCAAACATTTTGAATCAAATTTTATACAAGATTTCAAGTGACTTTAATCCAGAGGTTTGACCTGATGTGAAAAAGAAGGAGACTTGGGATTTTAAAGCAAAGCATTTTCCGCTCTGCTCCAGCCTTGGCACCGGGGGTCAGCAGCCTCTATCAATGCTGCGCCAGTCAGCCCATCGCCCGACAGTAAGAATGTGGCAATCTTCAAGGCAGAATCAAGTCTACTTTGTGTTGCCTAATCTGGATTCAAACAGCAGCCAATAGTGGGAGTCGGAAGACGACAAGTATCGGCTGTGGCGGGAGATCGACGACAACAAATTACCAAACTCGCTGACCAATGACGGGTCGCCCGACTTCACCAATCTGGTATAGAGTCCATCCTTCGATGCAGTTCGCCCTGATCCAAGCATACCATTCAGTTGAAAACCGACAGCTGGTAGCCCTAAGTACTTACTCGTAAGCATCAATGAGTTATTCAATGTCTAATCTGTTCTCGTTGCACGGCCACTGGTAAGGCAAAATGCGAAAACTACATTAGTTGGCAACGTCCTACCTATAGCAGGACATTGAAAGTAATGGCCAGGTCTAACTATACCGGGAGGTATTGATGGGCGCACAAGGTTACTTCAAAGAATCAGCTCGCATTCCACAAGTTCAAGTCGGGGGCAACTGTTCAAATGCTCACATCACAAGTTCAAGTCCCACACTAAATGGAAACACTCCCCCACGATACAGTGTTTGAAACAGCACCTTTAGGAGGACTTTTTGTCAACGGCCGATATATAATATGACTAAAGTTGAAGCAAAAGTGGAAGGGCGAAATGGCAACCCAATCGTTGCGTTCAACGTTGTCACTTGTGTATTGATGTATATTTTCGTTGTTCGTGTTTTCACTGGTCTCTTTAGAAAGCCTATCCTCTAAGGTTTACTCTACCACGTACACAACATGGTTCTCATCCCAAAAGCAACTTGCACTTACTGAAGAATGTAGTCACATGGACGGTGAATGAGAGCAACCTCAAGCTTCGTACATGTAACCGACTAACGTTGGAGACTGGAAACGCAAGACTGCACAACATCTTCTCATCGAATCAGCGAAAGACAAAAATCGACCAACCATTACAGCCACGACGACTCGGCAGTCCTGTGCTTCACTAAACCAATCACCTTCCCTTCCAGTTGTGCCTCTGCATGAAAAATTGCGCGTCGTTCTTAGTATATTCAGGCATACGTGTCATGGAGTAAATTGTGTGTGTGCGACGCTCCTGGGGTCACTTGGTCTGGGTTGTTATTTCTTTTATAACAGCCAAGGAAGTTTGCGGTTACCTAATCTAATATGCTCTCGCATAGTCTCCATAAGTTTCTTCATTGAGTATTATGTTCAATTGAGCAATGTTTCCGACCTGTCCAAAAGGCATTGAAAATCTGCCGGGAATCCGAGAACGACTTTGATGCAGCGAGGTGTATTCACGCAGCTGTAAGTCGGAAAAGTACAAATTGCCACCACGCTCTTGTGTCGAAGCCAGAAGAAATTTCCCTCTGGCTATGTACTTGTACTCATCGACGAATTTTCATTGGCCAACCTTGCCTCTCATATTTAGGCCACCATGAGACTCACTACTCTTCTCTTTACCGCGACTGCGAATGCATTCCTTTTGAGCTGTAACGGTGGGACCGCTGGCGACGGAGGCTGCGAAGCAAACGGCCTTCACACATACTGCATAAGTGCGGCCTAACTGCTTTTGGGCCCAAACAGCCTACTAAAACTCCTTCATAGTGCAACGAGTCTTTCGAGCCTCCGGTGTACATCAACGTTCGCGACTTCACCGTCCTGTCTAAGAATCCTCAAGGCAACAGTGACTACAAGCCGACGGGAACCAACACGGCCGGAAGGGTTTTCTGTGCTGCATGAGCTCGGCTCGGTGAATCATGTTGATTATGTGACAGTGTTCTCCAGCCTAAATGTAGAAATGAAGTGCACTATTTCTTTCAATGAACAGTGGTCATTGGACTACTGCTTAATCTACCCGTCCAATCGTCAATGGCCCCTACATACTGAACTGTCGTGACGTTGGTTGCATAAAGATGACAACATGCTTACCTATCGCCTGTGGGGTTAAGGAAACTTGATAAGCGAAGAATGTCTGAAGCCCATCAGAGTATTCTGCCATGCTAAGAAACAATAGGAAGGTAACATTACTACGAGCTCGTATTACTCTAGCCTCTCTCAGAAAAATCTGCACTTCTCGCTTATGCTTTTGCAAACTGTTCCAACCACGCCTTTTTCAAGAAATCCACTAGTCTCAACGGCACAGCAAACCAGGAGCGTGTGGGCCAGGACTAAGGCAGACGCAACCTGTCGTCAACCGCTTAGACGGCAACTAATCTAGCAAAAGAGGGGTTGTTGATGACTAATACCGTAAAGATCAGATGGACTAGACTTTCGAGTTGAACGTCAGTCTCACTTATTTGCCAGTTAGAATCAATGAAGAAGTTCCATATAGTCCACTCTCTAAGACAGCGTTGGCTATAAGGTGCAGCCAACTCGATACCTCAAAGCACTGTAATTCTGACTGCGGAACATTCCAAGGCTCTCTACCTTCTTCTGTGTCGGGAGTCAGTAAAGTTTGGTTTCTTCATCGGGAGGGAGTGACGCATTATTTCCCCTCCACAAAGATACTTGCGAAGCCTTCAGCACTTGGAGAGGCAACGGTCCGTTGACAGTTCTCGCTATGAACGGCGCTTGTATTGACATGGTTTTGAAGTAAGCGGGGTATCAGGCAACAGCGGACTGGACCTACAGGCTGATGGAGGAAACTTGAACTAGACGACTTCAAGCAGAGCCACTACTTAGATGTCGAATGACAAACGTGCCCTCATCCGCCTCGGGAACGGGCCGAGTTTGGTTTCCAGCTAAGCTTTTTACAGAACGAACCGATCCAATCGGTTGCAACCGACCTGCATACTTTGCTCTGCATAATCGCCCGATTAGCTAGAAGCAAACCCCCTGACACTTACTGCCTACATACGTTTTTTCCTAGTCTGTATCCATATTACATGTACATAATCTTGACCTGATCAACTTCGTTCCGCCCCATAGCGACAGGGACCTAGAGCAGGCTCTCAAGGTGTTCTTCGCCCATGCGGGGCTTCTAACAGAGGAAAAGTGCCATATCTTGACGATGAATGGCCCGTAGACTGCAGCCCGTGTTAGCCGACGTGCCATCGGTGGCCACAAAGGATTCAAGTACTGATGGACTGGGATTCGAAAGTTTTACCGGCTGCCGGTGGGCAAGTTCTGGATCCAAAGTTTGTCATCCGGATCGCCGAGCTTCCCTCTCGTCAGATGTATCAATCAGGTTCTTTTCGTTTTGGTCAATCTCACTCTGAAGCGGGGGCATGCCGGCCATCCCAGACGTGCGCAGCTTCGCGTATCTATGTTTGAACAATGGTGGAGAAGAAATCTATAAAAGCCCTCAACAACTCCAACAAAGAGGTTATTTTCTGTCTACCATCATCAATGTTCTCCAATACCAACTGTAAAACAAACATCGAATTCCAAAATGCGTTTCAGCCTCTTCTTCCTCTCAGCTCTTGTAGCTAGCTGCTCCGCCGTGGCGATCCCCGGCGAGCACTCTCATGATCACGACGTCGCCATGAACATGTCCCCCGTCCCCCGAGGCGTACTCGACAAACGTGACTCGTACGACTGCAAGGGAAGCTCCCTCTGCTCTTCTCTCAAGGTCGCGTCCTGCGACGATGCGGTGAACAACAAGCTCATCCGTAACAACGACGTCAACTATGGCGCTCCGGGGTAAGTTCCGGCTGTTCTCGATTATGTCTTTCGAAACTTTTACTTCACATCATTTCAGCTGGATTTATGAGGTCATGTACTCGAAACCTAATTACTACCGCGAACAGGAGTGGACGACCTAACACGGGAGCTTGCTCCAACATCTTTGGAGGCTACGGATGCGGCGTCTTCATCCAGGGCAAGTCCGGCTGTGCTCGTACCGGCAACCAGATGTGGTATGATTACCAGGATATCCGTGCCAACGGCTGCAGGGTTTGTGGCTCCAAGCACTGGGGCGACGGATGTTTGACCACTATCAACTATGTCTCTGGTTGCTAGTCTGTACATGCTTTGAGCATTTAGAGACAGTGTGCGTTGTTCAGCTGCTAGTTCGCGGCATACGATGACTCAAAGCAAAATCCCGGATGGCTTCTATTTGTAGCTTTTGCATCGGAACAGTCATTACTTTGCCAGTTCGTATAGGTTACGTAGAGAAGATATTACGCTCTTTACATGTACGAGAGTTGCATCCATTGTCAGGGTATTGCTCCCGTAGAGAGAAATGCTGGCCCTGGGCTCCTAGCGTTGGTTCCTCTGAGCGTGTCAGTCAACGGCAGCAGCAAGCAGAATGACAGGATAACCAGGGCGTCCAAGATGATGTGGGTAAAACAATGGCAAATGGTATTGGTGTACCTTAGTCTAAAATTGGTATCAACAGAAAATCCTCTGCATCCTCGGCGTCTCCCTTGGTGGTGAAAAGCTCCATCTCTCCCGCTTTCCTCATGCGCAATTCTCATCCATCCGTTATATTGCTAGAATTTAAATCGCAGATTGCATACTGAGCCGTATTCGGTCCTGCTGTGGTTCTTGGCGTCGACCATGTGTTTACACATTCATTTCTTCTTGGAAATAGAAGAACGCGTGGTAGCAGGATTCTCCTTTTTCGGTCGTCCCCGTCTTCTCTTAGGCGGGCTCTCTTGCAATGAGCTAGGCTCCGACTCTTTCTTGCTAGGTCGTCCTCGGCCACGTCCTTCTCTATGTTGGGCTTTGGTGGTCATCTTCGCCGGGGCAGGTTTCAGTGCCTCTTTTTCCGGGCGACCCCTTCCTCGCTTGGGCACAACTTTCGTCTCTTCTTGGGGCGGCGGTCGCGTTCTCGCAGAAGTCTTCTTCCTTGGGCCAGGCTCTGACACGGTAAGCTGGTCAGCACGCGAAGCTTTCCGGCCTCTAGGTCGCTTGCTAGGTGGCGCTTCTGTGGGGATCGATTCGGCGGGGCGTTTTGTGCCGGCTATCCTGGCACTACGCCGAGGTGTGTGGGAAGACTGATCATGATCGTGGGAGATGGTCGCCTCAGTTTGCGGCTGACGACGGCCACGTCGTGCCTTCTGTGGTGTGCAGTTCAATGCGCGTTTCTGCGGTTTCAGAAGTTTTTGTTCTGATGCATCTGCAGAGAGCGAATTCTTGTTGTTTATCTTTTCAGACGCTTCTTTTCTCGAGCCAAGAGTCCCAACTGGAGCTGATCGAGAAATGGGCATCTGGGGCGAGTGGTAATCGGCACTGTGGCTTTTCGGCATCTCACCAGGAAACCCAGGCAATCTTTCCAAGCCTTTTGGGGTAACCCAATAGGTCTCCGGCTGTTCATTCCAAGGGAGCTCGTTGATTTCCAACTCATCGAGCTCGGATGGAGTGAATTCTATGACCGAAGCGTCCAGCAAGTCAGACTCTGCCATACTTTGTATAGGCGTGAGATCTTCGAGCTCTGGGGCAGGAGACTCGTGCCTCCATTTCCAGGAGGTAACACCGTCCTCATCGTACTCATCCTTCCAATCCCCACGCTCTTTCCATCGCTCAATGACCTGCTCCGCGCATGAACCCTGGGGCAGCTGTTGCTGATCCTTGAGCGACACACGACCAGCTCGCTGTTTTTCTTCAGTGACTTCAAGCTTGTATAGGAACCAAGGCCTAGATGTGAGAAATGTCTCGGCCTCGGAGGCAGTGGCGTCTTGCACAAGCGAAGGCTGCGGCTCAATCGGTACGTGCTCGCCGCGTCGCAAGTCCTTTCGAGCGAGCAGTGTACGTGTGATGAGGTCCTCTTCCGCTGGCTGGCGATCAGTCTCTTCGCCAGTTTCCTGGTCCCATTTCCATCGCCATTTGAAAGGGTCATCGTTGGGCTTTACGTTGCGTCCAGAAAATCCCCAAACAGGATTCCAGATGCCAAGTTTCTCCCAGCGCTTCTTCATATTGTGGCGAACGACAATGGCTTGTCGACGGATACCCTTGGGCTTATAAAAGACTGGGCCAGGGCATTGGGTCCAGATTCGCTTCTCCTCACGCTTTGCTTCTACGCGATAGAGCTGTCAAGGGGTTATCTGAGGCCCCATTGCAAAGGAAATCCACTTGATGTCGTCTTCGTCGAGCGGTCGATCAATGACTTCCTCAGGATCTTCTGCAGGAGCATCATCTTCGTCATATTCCGATGAGGTCTCCGAATTATACTGCGGAGGTTCGTCGCTCTCGAAGCGCTTGAGATAATGGGCGTGCAGATTATCGTTGGCAGCAACTGCCTCAAGAAGAGGGTTCGCGTGGTCCCGCAAAGCCCTGCCCAGCTGGAGTCGGTCCAAATAGCGCGGCATAGCTTGAGAGGCGGCAAGTGGTCATGATACTAATGAAGGTATTGTGGACATGGATGTGGTCGTGAGTTGGAGATGGCAGGGTCTAGGGTGCGAAAGGTTGAGATGAAAGCTCGAGAGCTCGCGCCGGGAATTGGGGAGTTAGGTGAGCTGGGCAATTCTGGCTGCATTATCTAGGCCGATGTTTTGGATCTACAGTTTAGTGCCTAAGGCCCACTAACAGCCGTTGCCAGTACGGGTACCTTACCCACACTTACCCGACGGAAATAGAGCCGGCCCATCCGCGCGCTTAGTTGACGCCGTCTTCATCCTTGTCGTCAGCCAACGTGCCTCCATCACCAACTTCAAAGCGAGCCGCCCGGCTCGGCCGCGGTCTCGCCCACCTGCCGCGACCTTGGTGCTACTGTTGCACGATGTTGGTTGTGAATTCTAAGAAAAGAAGCAAAAAGGCATGATGCATACAGCAAGTTTTTGCCAATTCACCCGGAGGAATGATCCCACCGAAACGCTTCATCCTGTCTGCTTAAGATGACCAAGGTAAGCACCCAATCTCAACACTCATCTCACAGCCATATCCCATTCTCTTTCACATCTGATTCATTGCTGTCATACTCTTTGGGCTTTTTCCTCGTCATCTCCTTCGTCGTGTTATTTGTTGTTGGCCCAAATTGAGTCTTCGAAGTTCGTAGTTCAATTGCTCTCTTGACACTCGTGAGTGATTTCCATCCTCCGAATTTGTGACTGCGGCAATGCAGGTAGAATTCTGACTAATATGAGGGAAAGCGCTTCGATGTCTGTACCAAACGCAAAGACTCTGTTTCAGAGCCCATGTGTCGGGAGCACGTCGCTTTTGAATTCGAAGAATCGACAAAGCTTGCACCTGTCCGTTAGGTCAAAGAAGCAAGTGCCCACCGTCTCTGTCGGGCTACTTCTTCAAGATGCCAGGATCGAGTTGGACGCTGCACGCGACCCTCGACGAGGCTTTGAAGAAGGCACACCGGACAACAAAGTCGTCTATGGCGAGGCCGTCATACTCTACGGGCAAAGCTACAATATCCAGATCTCGTCTTATAGCTTCGCCCTGGTCTGGAGATCCATCTCTAGTACGCCTCAACATAACAACCAACGCCTCGCAGAGCTTGCAGAAGCTACCTGCAAGCAATCCCTCTCCTTGTTGAGAGCCATGGGATCACGCGAGATGCCTACAGGGGCCGATTTGTCCGAACTGCTATCACATCGAATCACGAGGCCACGAACATCGAAGCATGCCGTTGTCCGAGAGAATAAGCAAGCTCGCCGACTAATAGGCGAAGGGGCTTTTGGCAAGGTATACATTAGCCAGGATGAGGAGACTTCCGCATGGATTGGTATCAAAGTAATTCAATTACGTAAGGTTTTCAAAAACGACGGTTTCGACATCAACAGGGCTCGAGCTATCTTTCACAGAGAGCTCAGAGTCATGCAGAGCACAAATCATGTATGTCCTATCCTCGGTTATTTGGTTGGCATCGTTTCTTTTCCCGGCTTGTAACACTAGACTGACGCCTGGTTCAGGCGAATATCATCCAATATCTGGGCTACGGCGAGGTCGACACGATGGAGCCTGAGATTATAATGCCCTTCTGCGCGGGCTCTCTGGAAAACATGTCCAAGCTTCTTTTGACAGACAAACAACACCAGGAAACTTGCTGGGCCGTGCTGGAACAGATGCTCTGCGCCCTCGACTATCTTGCAAGCCTCGGCTATGTACACCGCGACTTGAAACCTGAGAACATCCTGTACGATGCTGACGTCTCCAACCCAGGCCGCTACATTTTTCAATTGGCCGATTTTGGACTCGCCAACCACCAGAAGCTCGCGCAAACGATGTGCAGCACCATCGCGTACCAGGCCCCCGAACTTTGGCCGCGTATTTCGAACCTCTTGCAGATGCAGTATGAGCAGAGCCATAAAGATGGATGCGTGGTCCCTATACGCGGCCTTCGTCGCACTTTTGACCAAAATGAAGAGGTTCCCCCCACGCAGCGCCGGTACCCAGGAACAGTTTTACAACCTCTCCAGGAACACGCTCTTAGACTCGGTCAAAACCTTCCAGGACCTGGCGCCGATGGCGGTGCTTGAACCCGAACGTCGCGCCTCCGCTGCATGGATGTTGCACGTTCTATTTGAAGGCAGAGGCTTGACAACGAAACCTGGCAAGACTGAGCCATACTATCCTCCAGGAAATTCTCCTCGCCGTCCTCAGCCTGTTCAACCACCTCCTCGCCAGTGGTCAAGTAGGATGGACATCGACGATCCGCCAGCTGTTTCATTATCCCGTCCAGTCACCCGACAAGGCGGTAGATTAAACGTTCACGTTCCACTTATTGTACACTCCCGTGCAGTTCTTGACCGGCGGGATGCGCAACTCGTACAACAAAAGATTCGCAAACAAGGGGGAGGAGTCGTCAAGCGTAGGTCTAAGCCTCGCCATCCTGTCACTATTCGGTAGAGTTTCTTTACGATTCGACTCAAAGATTCGAGAATGCTTTGCGGATGTTTCTGGAGGAAGAAGTAATACCAATTTGCGTGGACGATCTTGAGCCACTCAGCTATGTTGTCATTTTACGCATCGACCAGAACGGAATCTGGTCCGCGCCTGTACATTAGGAATCCAGGTAGCGTGCTCAGTAGGAAACTCATTGGTACGGCTGGCCCCTATGCACATACGCTGTCGGCCTACGATCATTACCATCACACGTGAATGGAAGATGGTACTAGTATTATGTGAATTCAATAAGGACTAGAAACATTTTTAATTACTAATATGATACGTTGATCTTAGAATATCCTCCACCTTTTCAGTATGTACTGTTCAACCATGTGTCCTGAAAATAAGGTAAAGCATGCCCGATGCCACATCTTCAGGCGACAAAACAGCTGACCACCTCAATTATTTCTCTCCTCCCTCCCAGGTGCGCATATCACCCTTCACCTCGCGGAAGATACCACGCCAGTTGCCAATCTCATTCTCCGTGCGCTTACGCCTACTAAATGCAGTACGTCTAAAGCTCACAAACCAAACCATGAACCAGTACGACGCCGCAGCCATAGACGCAACCGCCGCAACCCACGACATGGCCACAAACGGCCCACCAGTCTGAATCTGCATGCCAAACGCGGACATGGACTTGTTGAGCATGCTCTTGCCGCCGTAGATTAGAGATGTCGTGACGATGGCAAAGGCAGGGAGGACAAAGGATCCTAACAAGGAGAATACGAGCGACACGAGGACGAGGACGCGGAGGAAGCCGACGATTAGGATGGGGAGCGTGGCGAGGAGGACGATGCCGGTGGAGATTGTGCCGATGGCGAGGAGGGCTGTCATTGCTTTTGCGCCGCCGCTGGCGAGGTCGACTACTTGATCTAGGGTGCCGGCCATGGCGGCTACGAGGGGGACGGAGACGTTTGCGGTGCCAACTACGAAGGAGGACGGAATCGAGTTGGTGATGTTTCGCAGTCCTGTAACGTTGCATTAGCACATAATCTTCGACCTAAGAGGACTATAAAGGTATTTACCAGCCCCCGTATTATCGTAACTCTCGCATTTGCTAATGGTGACTTTGCTGTTCGGGTCATTGTCGTCGGCGTATGTCGCTTCGCACATCTTTGTCAGGTAGAGGCGGTAGTTATCCTTGACACCCAAAAGCTGCGTCAAGTTGCCCACGAGCTGGCCCTGGATATCCGAGACACCATCTCCGAGCGCGTTCGTCAAATTTCCAAGTAAGCCTCCCAAAGCATTGCCGAGGCCCTCCGTGATGCCGGTCGGGTCGTTGGGGGCGGGGATGCCCGGGACGCCGGGGATGAGGCTGCCGCCGCCATTTCCGTTTCCATTTCCGCTGCCGTTGGCCGCCTTGATTTGAACAATGTCTTGACCGATTTTCGATGTGTTAAGCTGTAAAGTCGAGAACATTAGTAAAAGATGACTTCGAGCATTCGCGGAAAACCGAAACATACCGACAACCAGTAGTTGTTTCCCCCATTACTTGTGTTTGTCCCAGCTGCGAGTAGCACAATAGAAAGTGCAACGGCGACAGCCGAAGCAATAATGGGGACGATAGCAGATAGCCGGCCTCCGATGCCGAGCATTGTAAATTTCGTTGGTGTTGTTGACTTTTCGATTATAGGATTTAGGAGTAGAGTTGCGGCGTTCAACTTGACATGTAAACTGGGCTTGGCCGCAGGGTGTCAAAGAATTTTTATGATTTCTTAAACCTCCTTTCCCACCTCCATAGTTATGACTCGGGCCCTACCTCACCCTTAATATGCTCTCCGCGGGCATCAAGAAACTTTTTCGATCGCGGAACCTGTCAGTACGTCATAAAACGTCCCGACAGGCAAGCATATTGGGATGAAACGCTGGGATGAATCTTGAAAGCCTCAACGGTGCGGTAACCGGTCGTCCAAGGGTTATCCACAGCATGATAATCTTTTGCAACGGCCAACGGCTCGTGAGAGGTGCAACAGAGTCCCAGATTTTGCCCTTCTCGCATACTGCGCGCAGGCAAGGTGGTGGTCCAACGGCGCTGAGTTGTCTGGGAGTTTCAGGGTTGTGGCTTGTAGTCTGCGACGAGGGTCTTACCGCAACGGGCATTCGATGAGAAACTAACGTCATGCCCGTGCCGGGGCGGTCGCATTAACGTCCAATGAATCGGTTGGCTCTCGTGGAAAGTGCATCAGCAACGTTCTGCTATGCATATCATACCGCCTAAGCTTGCGACAAGCGGCACAGCATATAACGGTGCCCTTTCCCACCCTTCTCACGCTTCTCGCTAGGCAAGGCCGGGATTGGGCTGTCTGCCAAACTCTACGGAACTCTAGCCCCCCTTGTTCTCTCATCTTCCCGTCGTTCAACGTGGTCGAATCACTCCTCCGACGTGTTCGTACCCGTATTATAGAATGGAGCCGAAAGGACGTGCTGCGATGCTGGCGTGCTGGTCTAGTGCACATCTTGCAGATCTTGCCCTAGGGTAGTCCTGCATTATCCGCATTACAAAGGTAAAATGCTGCCGTACCTATTTCAACGTCAGTTCAGCAGAAAAGCAACACCGTTAAGCTTTTAAAGGATGCACGTCTTTCCGTGGCCATCCCCCAAGTCACAACAAGTGTGCCCCCCACCTCTTTACGGCAGAAGTTGCCGAACGAATGTTCAAGGAGCTTCTGGAAGTGTGTCTGGCGTGATGGCTCTAGACAGCTGGGAGCATTTTGAACCGCAAGTTTGCTGGTGTTAAAGATTCTGCCATGATCGTCTGGAGTTATTCTACCATCCACCACGAACGGCCGAGCGCAGCTGAAGGTGCAACTTCCCGATGTGTCGTGATGCCACACTGTTTGCGTTAATCTTGGTATTTTACGGCACTCGTAGCCGTTTTTTGGATTATGTTCTTTGTCGTTCTTCGGTTCGGTCTTGGTTCATTTTGTCGCCACTGTATCAAAGTGATTCGAGGTGCACCCACTTCTCCTCTAAATGACGATGCGTCTAGTTTCGACTAAGCATTTGGTAAAATAGACTTTTGTGAGTTTAAAGAATACAACAAAATCAAGGAATAACTACGGTTACACGAGACTCCGGTTACGTGTAGGTCCGTCCGTATGCCTAGGGACAACTTCCTCAGCTTACTAGGTAACGTTTGATAGTTGCCCTAATTAAGTCTTTGAGACAGCCATTTGCAACAGATAGTACCGTATTCTCTTGTTCTCTATCCAGCAAGACTAGTTCGTGACGATCATTGCCTATGAACTGGTTCTGATGACGAATTTACAAGGCTGAGGAAGAAGCTCACACCATAAGTTCGCAACATATCTTCAATCGAAAGTTCAAACTCCTTGTAGTGACCAATGAGCTCCTTGCCGAGGGAAGCTGTGCATCAGCTGCTTGTGATACTGTAGCCAAAAATATGACATTTTCCCAAAGGAGACACAGAAACGGAGTTCCCCACATTATCAACGGTCCTTTCTTCGGCGCGACATGATCTACAGACCCTGTACATTAAACCCTCCGTAGTCTATAGACCACGTAGATGACTCCCATTCAGCACGCACACCTCGGACGACCTGGTACAACATCGAGATTCCAAATTAAAGAAATCTTTCCTAGAGTCTTGGTCCCGTTACCAAGCCAGGTATTCAAGACTGGTGAGCAGAGTAGGTCATCAGTTGCGTCGCTGACCCGAATACGATGATTATGACGATAGTATCTAGATGAGCTTGCAAGGCTGTAGTGAATGAACCAATTATATCCATTCCGTCGGAAATAGCGCTTCGAATCTTGAAAGAGCCTCGCCCAATGATGACATTGTCGCTGCGTATAGGTTTTGCATCAGACTTCCCCAGCAGACAGACTTTGATGAATTTTACCATTGGTGACTTGTAACAAAACAAAACTAAACCGTAGAGGCTGAGTCTAGCGCTCAGGGTCGTCGTATGCTCACCAAGAAGGTGATCAAGTCATCACCAGTACTCTGTGCATTGAGATTCGTCGTTATAGTGTGGAGGAACTTTGATGAAGCCAGGGCTCGGAAGGCAACAATTTCCCGTACTGTTCTCATCCTTCAAGATTTCCCATGTACACGTGCATTGATATTCCACATCCATTACCCAGCGAGCAGTTGAAAGCTTCATCTTCGTTCTACAGTAATGCGGCGGAGCGGCAGAAATCCTTCCCTGCCGATGCATCAATCACTAATAAGTAGACGAACTCCAAGGTGATGCCGCGGTCGATGCTTCATGTAGGTAGGGTTGATTAGTGATCACTACTATCACACAGGCTATGCCATCGTGCTCATCTCCGACAACGAAGTGAGAAAATGCATCCAGATGAAGAATCTAGACGGCCGGGGTCTCCAACAACAAGGTCTGGCTGGCCTGGTCGATTAACGTTTAAGCTGGCGATCTTAACGGAAGTGGGTCAATTCTCGTCCTCGTTCATTACCAAATATCTTTTCTTTCTTTTCTACCTAGGTTACCTAAGAAAACACCCGCAGCAAAAACCACTCGTCCTTCCTATTACAGCCAGACAAGATGCACCGGCACAAAAGTCCGATCCGCTCCGTCTTCCACCATCCGTATCGGGAATGCCGGCCTTCCCTCCCCGATTGAGTCACCCGGTCAGCTTACTCGGGGGCTACCCAGCTTGAGCGAGACCCGTCAAAGTGAATCCAAAGTCCCAAACCCAAGTAAAATAAAGCACCTCGACCGGCCCTCCCCGTCCATCATCCCCCCCTTTACCGCATCTTCACCCGTGCCAAGCCCTCCAAACCCCCCGCACCCGGTGTCCGTCAGCCATCCCATCGCCCGACAGCTCAGCGCCAAGCTGCTGAAAGCCATGGCATCCTCCACCACCTCCGCCGCACCGGCACCGATACCGGCAACGGTATCCCGTCCCGCCAAAGCCACCGTATCTCTCCGCCCCGCAACAGAAGCCGACGTCCCCGCCTTTGCATCCATCTCCGACGCAGCCTGCAAAAAGGACTCGCACACCCAGCTCAAAGCCTCCATCCGTGGCGACGACGACTTTCCAAAAGGCATGCAAGATGCGCTAAAAGCCTGGATCGCACACCCCAAAGTCGACGTCATTGTCGCTGAGGACGCGACGAGCGGTAGCCCCGTGGGCTGGGTCGGCTGGGTGAGGCGCGGATTCGCAGGCGACACTGACCTCCCCCTCGACGGACCGGATGAAGAGCCCCGGCCCGAGACATTCTTCACGGACTCTGAGGAGCAGAAGAAGACCAAGAAAATCGACGACCTCGGTGCCCTGACAAACGCATCAATGAACTACTGGGTCAAGAAATTCATGCCCGAGGGCTGTAAATGCAGGTTCCTGTGCACCTACGTCGTCCACCCGGATCACCAATCCCGCGGCATCGGCTCGGCTCTGATGAAGTGGGGCACCGACAAGGCGGATGTCGAGCCGGGTGTGTACTGCTGGGTTCAGTCGTCCATGGGCGGGCAGAAGGCGTTTGAGAGGCAGGGCTTCCGCGAGGTGGGCAGGTTGGAGGCTGAGCTGGATGAGTTCGCGGCGGGAGTGAAGCCCGGTGGGAAGTTCGCGGGTGTCACTGGGAGTGAGGAGTTTTGGGGGCGGTATTCGTGGATTTACATGAGGAGGGATGCGAGGGCATAAAAAGGTAAACTGACTTGAATAGGAAGAAGAAAGACGCTATCATGCGATGCATTATGCCAAAGACCCATATTGGTCTGGAAATGAACTACAACCAGCGCTGTGTAATCTCATCCCATAAGAACCCAGAGTCCCGCCTACAACCCAACAAGCTTACAAAACGTCATGAGACCCCACGCGCCAGCCAAGGGGTTCATCATATCCTGGACCATCATCGAGTCCGAAATCGCCTCGTTGAAGTCCTTCATCATCGGCACCTTGGGCTTCGAAGCCCAGAACTGTCGCATGTACTGATGTCCGTACGTCAGGCCCGCGGCGAGCATGATGGGGAAGCCGACGGTGAAGATGCCTAGGCCGCGGGGAACCACGAGGGAGAAGGCGATGCCACCAATGGCGGAGACGAGGCACTGTATGTTGCGGATTGTCAGTTGATCATGAGATTTTGGAAGAGTGAGTGAGTGAGAGTGAAAGAGCGAGAGTGAGGGACGGGAGGGAGATGTGCTGTGAGTGAGAGGCTGAACGTACGCCGACGAAGCCTGTTCCGACGGTGTATCTGACTTCCCATAGCTGCTTCTCTGCCGTCCTACTCCATTCCGCCGCCTTCTTGGCCTTGTCTTCGTACTTGAGCAACCTGGGGATCGAGTCCGCCGAGTGCACGAGGGCGAACGCACTGACGAGGGCGATGAGGATGCCCAGCATGTTTGTCGGGAACGCCATTTTCGAGTGTATTTGGGTGTTTTCTTTTCGAAATGATGAGATTCGAAGTGATTTGACGATGACTATCTCTTCTCTCCTTCCAATAATCTCTTTCTTTCCGTGACGATGAGCCGCAAAAGACTCGTTGGTGTTTATAAGAAGAAGGGTAGCTCGACAGCTCACATGCAGGAAGAAGTCGCTAGACCGCGGCAGTGACGTCATGGTTCGCAAAGCTACGACACGCTCGGCCAAGGTCCTCCGCGGGGCATGCGGTGAGCTTTACGACGGGACACGATTAAGTCATGGGACGGACAACGCAGGACAAACGCTCTGGCCTAATTTGGAATTCATTTCAGTCATTTCTTGCGAAACTCTGAGAACTGTTCAGCCATACATGGTAAGCAGGTATTCATGAGATAAAGCTCGTAAAACCCTCCCTATCGGCTATCTGAGGTTAGACGGCCCACGGTCTGGACCACGAGGTCGGATGATACACGTCCAGCCGTGCTCATCACATTTTCGAATAGGACATCGTTGAGTAGTCGGCACATCAGGTCATTGATCAACCACATTGCCGTATGGCTATGCATTGCACAGTCCACGGAGTCCCGACGTTGTCATTCGTACCAGTTGAGTTGCTCGATGAGCTGCCCCGCACCAATAGCTGACGCATCAAGCTGTCTCAACGCCCTCGCCATGCAATAAATCAAAAGATCGCCCTAAGCCCACCCTTGAGCTATAGACCGGAACAATATTGCTCCATGTGTCTCTCGCTATGGATACGTCGTCGACAGTGGCAGCAGCTCATCCACCATGGTGACAGTCCTGAGCTGAACGAGCTAGTAGTTCTCTAATTCACCATCAAGGCAAATTCTCGGCTCCTCCCTTACCTCTTCGGTCGCAAGTCCTTCACGTAGAAATCGAGCTTCTCGGAGTGGTAAACATGACCCGGCGGGTTCTTTGCTCCAGTGTATAGGTTATCAATGGAGTGCTGGTGAAAGGTTTCCGACGCCGTGCACTGCAGGATGTGAGGAAGTCCTGGCGGGTTTGTGAGGCGGAAGATGCCATATCTGGATGATGGGATTAGCGATGTTGTGGAAAAAGTATGTGCGACTTACGATGGAGAATGCCTTGGAGAACACACGATGGCGATACTCTCTGGCATCATAACCTGGTAACCAGCCTGCGTGTGTAGGTCACGCGAGCTCATGAAGCATGTTTGCGTGGGATGCGTATGAATCCAGCCCACTACCAACAGGTCCTCGTTGATGCAGTAATCCAGCATCGACGACTCGTTTTCGGTTTCGCACGTATCGGGTGTGCATTTCTGTTCGGGGATAAGAAGGCAGCTGATGAACAGCGCGTTATTAACAGGTCGTCCACAAAGGATACCGCACATTTCGAGGCCTCTGCGGGTGTTGTCTGACGCGATGTTGAGGAAGGTATCCCTGAGCTGTGTTGGGAGGAACACGGGTCGGATAGGGTCGCCATTCTCCAAATACGCTGCCGGCTTGAAAGCGAGCCGCTCTTTTGCCGCCGGTGGCATTACCTCCTCCTTGGCTGGCAACTCCGGAACGCCTCCTTGGAGCGCGTTGGCTGTTGACGGCGGCCTGTACGACGTCAATGGCTCCTTGCTCGGCCTTACAGGAGGTGCCGCATCGAGCTCCTGGCGCATCATCGTGAAGTCCTCCTTTGGCGGTTTCGGTGGTTGAGGGGGTGGCGGCGTATAAGTGCGCTGCGGTTCCAACGGCGATGCCTCCCATTCCAGCGCCCTTGGTCGTGATATGGACGGGTAGTTGTATGAGTAGCTGGGAGGAGCTCTTGGCGGGGGCACCTGGCGCTGGTAATTTGAAGCTTGCGCGTTGCTGAAGGTATCTCCGTCTGTTCCCCCATCGGTTCCGTCGAGTCGGCGCCGTGTGGCTTCGATCTGTCTCCTTATATCTTCCTCCTCTGCTGCGGCTGTCGCCGGGCTGCTGAACTGCTCCCAGTCCTCCCAGCGGCCGCCCTTGCGGCGCTCCTGCTCTTCTTCGGCGCTGACACCGGCCTGCCGCGTTGCTCTCCTTGCAGCATCTCGCCTCTTATAGTCTCGTTGCGCCAAAGAGACTGCAAGCTCCTGATTATCGGCGGCATCGAGAATCTTGGCGTTTCCGGATAAGGTCGGGTCTCGGGCAGCGAACTCGTTATAGCTTGTGGGTCTGGTGGTGAATTCCTCGTCTTCTCTCTGCTTTGACGCACTCATCGACTGCCATTCCTTGTAATCGCGGTCGATCTGCGGCTTCAATTCCTCCAGTAACCCAAATACCTCCTTATTCTGGCGATCGAACAGTGGCTTCGTGAGCGCCTTGTTTTCGGGCAACTTGGCGTCGGGATGTGTTTTCAAATGCGTAAGAACTAGGACCGAGTGTCGCCATAGCATCTGGTAGGCTTTTCGTATGTCGCGATCTTGAAGCGCAAAGGTTGCCTAGATCGCATTGTCATCAGCGGGTGCTGCGCAAGCGAACAAACATGCGAAATGGGGCACAAACCTCTTGAAATAGGGTATCTGCAGAACGCGCCCAGTACTTGAAGGGGATCGTAGTCCTGAAGTCAAAGTCCTCTGCTGCAAGGGTAATCTCCTTGATGCTCATGGGCCGCGCGGGCCTGGGACTCGAAGGGCCGTTCATCTTGGTGGTGTCGGAGGAGTTGGAGCTCTCCGGCTTTCGGGTGTATAGTGGTTCAAGCTCGGCAATGTCTCGTTATGTGGTCGCTGGTGGTGACGAACACCGTTCAGGGAGATGTTGGCATGTTTCTCAAAATGAAAGGCCAAGCGTGGCAGCCTTGAGGTAGCAAGCAGCCGACCGTTTGGTCAAAGACGTCTTGCGAGTTTCGTCCCAGGGACCGTATGACGAAGCGCTAGAGTAGCCACTCGTGGCTGAAGCCTGAAGCCTGAAGCACACCCAGCAGCACCCCGCCGTGGATGGGGGGGAAACCGACAAGGTCCGCACCAAATGGAGGGGCACGGGAGAGAGCTCGGGCCTCGTTCAAGAATGCATCACGTGGTCAGTGACAGAGTCACGTGACTAAAACTACACCGAAAATGGCTTACATCATCACGTTTACCGAGGCCGATGAATCAGAGCAGCCAGGTGAGGAAGAACAGTCATTGCGGGAGGATCCGGGCCATTGTCTCGGATCCACTCCCTGAATGTCACTGAGGCATGAGCTGGGAATCCGAGAGAAGAACAGAAATTCGAAGTTTTCCATGATCCATCGTATTGCCACGATGCAATGAAAAATTCAGGCATCAGGGCTTCATCGAGCTACACCACAAAGGACCTAGACGTCATGTCGCCCGTATTTCCGTTCGATCTACGACAGCTCCCTCGTTTGCCCGCCAACCCAACGGACACCGAAGAGCAAGGGGCCAGGCGCACGCCTCATTCCAAGGTCGGGAAATGTCGGAACGCGCCCAATTTTTTGTAATACTTCTCGCCAACCACTCAGCTTTACCACAAATAAGGTAATTATCCAGCACCTGGGAAGCCTGGCACCTGGGAAACCAAAGCAACCGAAGTGCGCCCAGGCGGGCCGGTGAAGCCGTTTCCTGTTTCCATCTGCATTGATCCTCTTGCGGCTCGAGTCTCAACATGGCACCATGCTCGACTGCTTCCACCGCCTGCTCGAACCGGGTCGCATGTTGCCTGACGTGCATGTTTTCCGACGCTCGAGTCGAATGAACCACTCGCCCCCCACGCTTTTTCCCTTCCGCTAGTCGCCGGTGAGCGAGGGAGACAAAGATAGATCTTTGGCGGTCTAGAGACTGTGTATTCAGGTTCCGGTTCCTTGTTACCCAATGTGCCTATGTACGGTTGTAGGTGGTCGTTTCCCATTGTCTCAAGTTGCGGCCGTGGCGGTGCCGAGTCGTCAGGTTATTAGCTATCGCATCTTGCCATCCAGCCCAAATCTGACGGCGAGATGGCTTGATGTTTTTGCGGGAATGTGGAGGAGATGACCATAACCCGTGCTCCTGTTTTTTCCCGCCTTGCTTTTTTGTTGTAATTCGCAAACTGTTGATGGGGGTCGCCGCCGGGCATCTCCCGCAAAGACTGGGGGCCCAATGTCGACTAGTCCTTGCCATGTGTTCGTCCGTCCGGCCATGGCAGATTCAGGGATGGCCACCATCTGAGCCATCCTGGACTTGGAGGAATCTCCCGATGAGGCCACAAGGCTACAATTCAGTCGAGATTAAAGGAGAAGTTTTCCGCCTTTGTTGATGTCGAGATCCCTTAGATTTGTTTGATTATCTTCATCCATCTTCGTCACAATACCAGTATACATTCATCTACTCCATCCACGAGCTCATAACCAAATCTTCGTGAGACTTCACACCCATCACAACCATGTCTTCCACCACTTGCAGAAGTAAGTCGCCCTACCCACCACAGAATCGCATCAGCAACTAACAACCCGCTAGAAAGCATCGACAGCACCATGTCACACTTCACCCTAAGCATGGGCAAGGCCTCCGTCCAAAACAACGTCTCCCTCTGGACAACCCTCTCCCAATGCTACGCCGAAATCGCAAAGACCTTCAACGTCCAAGACGCAGAAGGCATCCTCTCCACCCCAGACAGCATCTCCAAAGTCGTCCACGCAACCTTTGACCACGACGTCCACGGCCTTATCGAGCAGCACTCCTCCTCCATGGCCAGCTACCTCGATGACACGACAAAGGCGCACATGCTCGCCCAGGCCATCGCCGGCATGGTCGCCTTCTTCCAGAAGCTCGCCGCGCACCACCAGGGCCCCGTTACGCAGGCCAGCTTCGACCGCGAGGTCCGCCGCTTCGCCGAGTGCGAGCTCCGCTCCGCCATGATTCGGACCATTGAGGAGAGCCGCATCTTTGGACGCTGCTACACAACGAGCCAGATTGCCGACCTCATCATGGGCGCCGTCGAAGGCAAGGTCAACGACGCTGAGTTTACGTCTGAGGACGAGTACCAGAACGCCATTGGCTGGGCGACTGAGTTGCCTGCGCGCAACATGGGATTGCCATGGGGCTTTTCCATCATGGCTCTCAACTAGAGGGTAGGATGACGCAGATGATCATGACCGTTAAAATGAAACTTCTTGGGATCTCACGTGGCGAGGGTATCACCGCCGGGGTAGGGCGCATTAGCATGGCGTTTTTTGAAAGGAATCTTATCGGAGTATTGCTGGGTATAGTTCATAGTCCTAGTAGCTTTTTAATTGTATCACCACTCTCATCAGACCTTCATTTTGTTTGCTTTTTACTGATCTCGTTCGTCCACCGTTGCTGTCGCCCTCGTCCTCGCCCTCATCATGCCTTTTGTGCCTGCGCCGCAGCTTGTGCGCTGGTCTGGATCTGGATGATGTCGCCCTTCTTCTTCTCCAGCTTGCCCTGGGCATCCCTGATCAGACCTTCATGTCTCTCGCTGGTGAATGTTAGTAAGGAAATCCTGCTTTTCGGAAATCAACTGTGATGCACATACATCTCCTTCGTAATGAAGTCCAGACGGCCCTTGACTGTGCTCTCCGCCTCCACCTTGTCCTGCTTCAGCAACACGGGGCCGACCAGCTTGTAGATCTGCTCCCCATCCTTGAGCTTGTCGAATTCCTGGAAGTTATATCAGCCTTGTGGTCGTGAAAGTCGGATCCTGGAGTTCACTTACCTCCTTCACGCCGAGGTTCTCCTGCTTCTGAGCCTCCAGCTTTTGCCTCGACTGAACGGTAGTCTGAAGTTCTAATGAGACACGAGTAAATATTCCATTCCTTATCGCAGTATTTCGATAACGTACCCTGTTGCAGCGCCTGGTATTCCTCCGACAGCTTTTGCAGCTTTGCTTGCACCTCAGCCATGGTTGAGGTATGAGTATGAGTGTGAGGGGTTCACAAGAAATGAGTGTAAAAATTGCAAATCAGAGAGTTGGCCAGGGCCCAAAACCTCGGGAACAATGCCGCAGATCGGTCCAACGGTCAAGGTATGAGACGAGTTTGTGAATCAGACGCCTCCAAAATGTCAAGGCTCTGGGAAATAATTCGTTCTGTTTCGACGTTTGAGCGGTGGTCGGCAAGAGGATCCTTGGTACCTCGACTCAGCACTCGATGTAGTGGTGACAGACAAATCGGGATACCGTTTAGTCGAATATGGAGCAACCCACTTGTCGAATGTACAGGCCTCGGTGGGAAGTCAGTCTCGGCGGATTCGAGATACTTGCCAGCTTTCTGAACATCCGAGACTTTTCTTGATTGAGTTTGAGATTTGAAGATTGCATTCGTAACTTCTGAAGCATTCAAGTTGTCTGCTATGACATATTTGGTGCCAAAGACCGGTTCTTGAGGTCGCCGGCAGGTAATGCATGTAGACATTTGATGTGTCTAAACGAACATGTTCAAGTAACCCACACAAGTCCCCCACCCCCACCACCTGCCCAAGGCACCCCGATTAGCGCAGCGGTCCATCACGAACTGCCCAGGCAACGTCACAGAATCCACGCCCGCAAGTGCTTCCGCAAGGTTCCTCACCCGTCCAAACTTCCAACTCTCCACCCGTTTGCGCCAGGCATCGACGACCTGCTCGGGAGCTTATTGATTCTTCCATCCTGCGACGTCCAATCTCGAAGCGATTAGCCAAAGGCGCTGACGAACACGACGGCACTCGCAACGAGAGAGCTTTCCCCGCTCTTTCCACCTTGTCACGAATTCCACTTCTCCGTCGCCGCTTAATCACCGAGCTCCTCGAGGGACAACTTCAGCCCGCTGCCAACAATGTCGGGAATCACTGACTTCCTCGGCCGTGCCATTAGCACGGTCAAGCAGGCCATCGATGCCGACAACGCCGCCGAGTACGACAAGGCCTTCCAACTATACACAAAGTCGCTCGAGCTCTTCGTCCTCGCCGTGAAGTGGGAGAAGAACCCAAAGTCAAAGGAGCTCATCCGCCAGAAGACGGCCGAGTACATGGACCGCGCCGAGAAACTCAAAACATACCTCAACGAAGTAGAGAGTAAAAAGAGCGGCGGGGGCGGGAACAAACCCGGGGCCGTGGGCGTTAATGGCGGCGGCAAGGGTAAGGGAAGCGCTGATGACGGCGACGAGGACAACAAGAAGCTGCGCAACGCCCTCAGCGGCGCCATCCTGCAAGAACGGCCTAATGTGCGGTGGGACGACGTCGCCGGTCTCGAGGGCGCCAAGGACACGTTGAAGGAGGCCGTCGTGCTGCCCATCAAGTTCCCGTCACTGTTCCAGGGCAAGCGTCAGGCGTGGAAAGGTATTCTTCTCTACGGCCCGCCTGGAACGGGTAAGAGTTATCTAGCCAAGGCGGTCGCGACGGAGGCAAACAGCACATTCTTCAGCGTCAGCAGTTCCGATCTCGTAAGCAAGTGGATGGGAGAGAGTGAGAGGTCAGTTGATTGCCGATTCTGCACATACGAATGCAAACCCACAAGCAGTATTCTAATCCACACCAAAACAGGCTCGTCAAGGCACTTTTCAGCATGGCGAGAGAAAACAAGCCCTCGGTACTCTTTATTGACGAAATCGACGCCCTATGCGGTCCCCGCGGCGAAGGCGAGTCCGAGGCCTCAAGACGTATCAAGACAGAGCTCCTCGTGCAGATGGATGGTGTCGGAAACGACAGCAAGGGCATCCTGGTCCTGGGCGCGACCAATATCCCCTGGCAGCTCGACGCCGCCATCCGCAGACGTTTCCAGCGCCGCGTGCACATTGGTTTGCCCGACGTCAACGGCCGCGCACGCATGTTCAAGCTCGCCGTCGGCGACACGGAAACGCACCTCCAGGCGGACGACTATCGCGTCCTGGCAGAGCTGTCGGAGGGTTTCTCTGGTAGTGATATCGCCAACGTAGTCCAGCAGGCTTTGATGGGGCCCGTTCGCAAGATTATCCAAGCTACACACTTTAAGCCGGTATGTTGCCTTGCCATATGCTTGAGATGAAATGATGCTAACTGTATCCAGGTTGTTCACGATGGTCAGAAGAAGCTGACACCTTGCTCGCCTGGCGATCCCCAAGCCAAGGAGATGACGTACCACGACGTCGACTCGGAGGAGCTGATGGCACCCATCATCGAGCTCAAGGACTTCAAGCAGGCTCTGAGGGACTCGCATCCCACCGTTTCCGACGATGATGCCTCCAAGCAAATAGAGTGGACAAACGAGTTTGGTAGTGAGGGCGCATGAGCTGGGAACCTCCTTTTCTCAGGTATGGACGGAGTGGTGTTTACTGCAAAGAACAAAGACTCTGGAATACTATTTGCAAATGAGAACGAGAGAATGGAAAGAAACAGAAACTATTTGGGATGGTATGGGTGGTGTACCGGGCGGGGGCGGCTGTGGTCGAGAGTTGGGGGCGTCCTCTGGCGTTGAAACGGCCGGCATTTTTGGGTTGGGGGAAATATCAAACGTATTACTCTTTTTTTTCTTTTTCTTCTACTGTTCCCTTTCTTAGTGTCTACTGCATTGCAACCTCTACCTTATCCTTTCCCCCCTCTCTGACACAGCGTAAAATCTAAAAAGTTGGCCTACTATAAAAACGATAGGGATCTTTGGGGAGAGTTGTCAAAAGTCTGAGGCCCTGATCTGGAGTAACTGTGGGTCTCTCTATCTTGGTAGAGCTACACTATGGTGCGAGTCGAGGCAGGCCCATAGCCAATAGACAACACCAGTATGGTCTCACAGTAGGGTCACTCTTCACCTATGTTGACAACAAGACAGACAGCGAGAGAGAATTGCTCTGGGGGTATGGGTTCGGTTGGTTGTTCTTTCAACTGTACATACACACATATGTAGAATGATGCATTAACATTTTTTCAAAGCCCAAAAACTCCGTTCAAATAAGCCCGGTTTTTTCTCTCTCATTTCCCCCCCATAAAACTCCCAAGAAAAAAAAAGAACACAGAACAGGTTAAGAAAGCCACAAGTAGATAACAAGATTGAGAGAGAGAAGCCGGGAAATGCCCAAGGTAGTTGCCGCCAGACCTACGTTAAAAAAAGAGCAGAAGAGTTTTTGGAACAAGGTTGGGGAAGGGGGGTATGTGCAAAGAAAGGAGGAGGGTTGTACAAAAACAACTTTCAACCTTTTTCTTTACTCATCCTTGGACTTGGACTTCTTCTTCTTCTTCTTTTCGCCGTCAGCCTTTTCGGGCTCGGCGGCGCCGACCTCGGACTCGCGCTTGCGCTTCTTCTCCTTCTTTTCCTTCTTGTCCTTGGACTTTTCCTTCTTGTCCTTCTTCTCCTTCTTGACGTCCTCGGCGACGGCGTCGACCATTTCCGCGTCGTCGAGCGTGAGGTCGCCCTCGACTTGCTCCAGGACGGAGGCCTTTTAAGTTGTGTTAGCATGATTCAGGAACAGATTGGAGGAACATGTGGCTGTGAGTAACTTACCATGACGTCCGAGTTCTTGGCGGGCTTCTTGCCGGTGGCGTAGAACTCGAGACGGTCCTCGACCTGCTGGCGGAGGGCCTCACCGAACTTGGTGTTGGGGTTCTCGGTGTAGTTGTCGATACGGCTGGCAATGGAGCACTTGTTGGCGAGGTAGCGGGAGATGCGGCCCTTGTTCTTGACGGCGGCCTTGCCGATGAAGCTGCTGTGGTAGATGAGACCGTACTTGGGGGTGTTGCTCTTGGTCTTGAGGGCGCGGAAGAGGGCCTTTTCGGCGCCGAGGATCTGCAAGGTCGAGGCCGGGTATTTGGACAGGTTGGTCAGGGAGCCGGCGTGGGAGATGAGCTTGGCGGCGACAGGGGTGCCGATGAGGGTCTGCAGGTTGGGCGCGACAATGGACATCTTCTTGTCGAGGTAGTTTGCGGTCGAGCGGCGGGCCTCGGCCTGCGCGACGACGGCGGAAGCGAAGCCCTTTACGATCTCGAGGTCGGCGGGGGTGATGGAGAGACCCATGGAGACCTTTGCGGCGTCGATGATGGCCTGGGCCTTTTCGCCGTCCTCCTCGACGAGGGCGGCGATGTCGTGGAGGCGGTCGTCGGTGAGGGTGGCCTTGTCGCCGATGGCGAGGACGAGCTTGGCGTAGGTGAGGTTGTCCGACTCGATCTTGACCAGCTCGGGGAAGTGCCAGCCGTACCACTCGCGGACGCGCATGAAGAACTGGTTGACGCCCTTGTCCTGGAACTCGACGGTGGCGCTAGCCTGGATGACGTGGTTGTCGTTCTTGGTGGTGCTGAACTTGACCTTTGCGCGGGAGTAGGAGTGGCCCAGACCAAGGCCGGCGGCGGTCGAGTCGCCCGTCTGCAGGCCCTTGAGGAGGCGGTCGGCGTGCAGGCGGACGCCGCGGAGGAGGTCGCCGGCGACCTCGGAGGTCTCAGAGGTCTCACAGTCGATGCCGGAGAAGGAGCTCTTGATCACGGAGGCCAGGTTCTTCTCGGCCACGGCGATGGTGATTTTGCTCTTCTTGCCGCTCGTCTGGGGGAGGTTGAGCTCGAGGACGGACTTGAGGTGGTCGGACATGAGACCCTCGGAGATGTGGTTGATCTCGTCAAGTGCCTGCTTTCCGGTGCTGTGTGAGAGAGTATTGTCAGCAGGGTTGTTCTTATTCTGATTTCCTCTCCGTTTTGGTCTCCAATGCTGCCGTTCCGTGTCTGAGACGCGCTTCTGAGAACCCCTCTGCCGCGCAGCCTCCAGCCTCTAGCTGCCACCACCACCATAATCGCCAACAATTCGCGGAATTGGGGTAGTCCTACTCAAAGGGAGTGAAGTTGACCAGCTTCACCATCTTTCCAAACTTGGAAAGGTCGGCAATGGTCTCCTGAGCCTCCTTCTGGCGCAGGCCAATGCTGTCGGGCTGGTGCTCGATGTGGAACACACCGTAGCCCATGGGGGCCTCGTAGAGGAGGTAGTTGATCGCGGCCATTTTGGCAAACTGTCTCTCTCTCTCTCTCTCTCTTTGATCTTAATATGTTGATTGAAGTCGGGAGGGGACCGGACAATCAAGCCTCGCGGAAGTTATTGTGGGTGGGCAGAGGCGAGTCGACAGTGCTGGTCAAAAAAAGAGAGGTCGAAAAAAGTATCCAAGGTTCGGATTTTTTTTCTTCAATTTTTCCTTTCCCCCCACTGGTGTCAATTGGAAATTTTTCTGGAGCTCCAATGCTGACGCTCGGGCCAGTTTCTGGGTGGTGTGGGTGGTGGGAGGGTCACGTGGGCGACCTCCGGCATGAGACGACGCCGGCAGCCGATGGTGGGGCAGCCTCTGTGGCTGGGCTCCCGCTTGGTGTGGCTCAAGACATGATGCTGCTCAATGGCTAGACTTGGGACTAGGGGAGAGAGAGAGCAGCAGCAGAGTATCATCGCAGGAGAGCGCTATTATTTCATGGAACATGTCTGCTCACTTGAATCTACAAACACGTCACTATCTATGTCATGTCAGCTGTAGATATGTGTCTTGCATCAAGCATGGCGAGCAGCTAGACACTGGTGCTTCCGCAGCTGTTAGTTTCAGCATTGAGAAATGTGCGGACAGCTCAGCATAGCCAGGTTGAGACTGATTCAACTCAAGTAAAGTATTTAAGTGGTTTACTGAGAATCTCTCTTCAATTTGAATAGATGAACGCTGCAAACGGCTGTGTGGTTGTTGAGCAATGAATTTTAATGATGATTTGAAGATTGGTTGGATTCCAACATTTGAAAGGCAGTTTGGGTACACTTGATGGCAACTCAATCTTGATCCCAATCGTGCGATTCATTAGAACAACAATATCGTTCAAGTAAACCACTAAATAACTATATTACCTCAACCAACGTAAGCCCAGCTGTTCGTCCGGTACCTAGGGCAGACAATCTCGTCGAACGTAACAGCGCCTGCTTATCATCATGCCAATCACATGCCACCACCAAGAAGCACCTCAAGCACAATACACTACCAACTCTACCAAATCAAATCCACCACCAAAGAACCACATGACTAATTCTTGATTCGCCTCCACAGACAGACACTGTAAGCATCCTTCCCGAATCTGCAGACCAACTCCCGGAGTCCCCGAGGAAATTCCCACAGGCTTTTAGACCGGAGGTGGTATCGTTTCAATCCCGTCGCTTCCGGCATCTGGCGGAGGGTCGCGGGGCTGTTGGCCCAGAAAGTCAAACGTCCAATGACATCATGAAATCGGAGTAGCTTAGCGATTCTGCCTGGCTTACACCGCCGCTTGAGTGTGTTTAGTGGTTCGCAATTCACAAGTGTCACTCTGGATGCGATGGGGAAATTGGTGATCAATGTTTGTTGTCATTACACATTAGGCGTTATTAAAATGAAGAATATGATACATGTACAACAGTCCGAGCAAAAGGATGCTCGCCCAAAAAAAAGTGTACGCAGGTAGCTAGAACCATGTGACTTTGAACCCAAGGCCTCAAGCGGCGCGGCGACTCCTGGTTCGCGACGCGATGCCGTCTCCACTCGCCGCCTTGGCCACGCCATTCGCAACAGCCTGAGCTGCCTGTGCAGCCTCCCCGCCAGCAGCAAGGGGTGCAACGTCGACCTTGGATACCTCCTCAATGGTGTCCATGGGCTCGGCCTCAGACTCCTCCGCCTCGGACCGGTCGTCCTGCTCGACGCCCTGGAAGACGTAGCGGTATCCGATGCGCACGAGGAAGAAGAGCCAGAAGAGGTTCAGGGACTGCAGGAGACCGAGCAGGCTGAAGGTGATGACTTTGGAGAGGGTGCACTTGTACTGCTGCGTCTCCCAGTTGAGCTCGTAGGGGCCGACGGTGGAGAACTCGGTGAGGATGGACCAGAGGATCTTGAGGTTGATGAAGTGGCGGAGGTAGATCCACGAGGCCAGGGACAGGCAGTACCAGGGTCCGGTGATGGGGGCGTCAACGTAGTTGAAGGTCTTTGACATCTGAGTAGGGGGTTACTGATTAGCATATTTTCTCAAGTGGGTTTTGGACGCGTCTGCGAGCGGGAACTTACTGCCATGAAAAAGTCACTGATATCGTGGGTCAGGTAGACAGCGATACCCATGTAGGTGAAGTGAAACCGGTAGCTCAGGCCGATGAGGGCCAACGTCACGCAGTGGTGCGCCACGAGCTCGTAGTAATCCTTGCGCGGCTTCTCCAGACCGAGAAGCATGACCAGCGCCTGCTGCGCCCAGTAGGCCGCCTCGAACAGGTAGTAGAACTTGACGACGGCTTCGTGGGTCTTGTGGGGGAACGTCTCATACATGCCCGTGGTGTTGAAGTACCAGACCGGGGTGCGGCTCATGACGTACAATCCAAAGGGGCCGAGGACGCCAAAGTAGACGGCAGTGTAGGCCTGCTCCATGAAGCGCTGCTGCTTTCCGCGGGAACGGATTCCGAGGGACTTTGCCAGCGGGCGGAGGAGCTCCTGCATGATGAACTCGCGGGTGAAGGAGAGGACGGTGGCGTAGAAGCAGACAAAGGCGATATCCCAGAGACCCTTTCCATACTGCGCGGGCGCGTCGGAGTCAGCGCCGGCGGCGGCGGCATCGAGTCCTTGCTGAGGGATCTTGTAGGAGAGGAAGATGAAGTGGTGGATGATGTTTGACTCGGTAGGGTTGACGGCGTAGAGGGAGAGGAAGACGAGGACCATGACGAGGGGTGTGGTCCAGGTGTGCTTGACGGCGATGTGCTTGCAGCGGCGGAGGATGGCGCGGGCGCGGCTGCGCTTAGAGAGACGATCGAGCTGCTCCTGCTTCGAGGGCTGGCGGGCGTTGGCGTCGTGACCGTGGCCGTGGCCTCGCACGCTCGACTTTCTACGTCGGCGAGTCGCGATCTGGTCTTTGCCGGCCGAGGCCGGGGCGGTAGATTGAGCCATGGGGGATTCGGCGGCAGTCATTATCGCGAATTGAGAGGTGTTGAGCGGTCGAGGGTGTTGCGGTGACAACTGGTAAGCCTAAAGATGTTCGAGGTCGAAAAGGGGGAGATCTGCAGATGGCTTGCCCGAGCAGAGTCGACTTGGAGGAGGGGGGCTTCAGGGCAGAGACGGGATGTCGCGTGCACCTTTGGCGATTGAGACTGTACAAGAAACAAGACAAGAGCCGACCAAGACCTGTCGAGCATGCAGAAGTGAAGAAGTAGGAAAAGAGAAGTCGGGAGGAGGGCGGGAGGCCGGGAAAGCTTGGAGGAAAAGGTTTATACTTCGTAGCGAACGGCCGGGGCGGCGGTCGTCGGGGGATTTTTCTTGTGAAGCAATTTCCCCCGTGGCTTGCGCAGAGGCGGATTTTCGGATAGAGTGGGTAAGATCAATTTTACACTACCTTAATTCCAGACATGGGGGGGTTAATTCGCACCGGGACACCACTGGATCCCGCGTTAATCGAAGGAAGTGCTGGCAGTGACAGCCAGACGACGGGGAGGCAATTAAACGAATGGCCGCACCGGATGATACGCGGATGACCTGCAACTGGCACCTTAGGTAAGGCAGCCTTGCCCTTTTCCGTCCGTTTCTGCAGATCCACCCTGTTGGGATCTTCTGGGAAGCAGCGTCTTTTCCTTCACCCCCTATGCGCGAGGGCCAATAACCAGTGTTGCTGGGGAGAGGCAGAAGAGGAAGACTTTTCCTTGGTTCACCTCACCTAATTATCCACGGAATGACTACCAGGAAAGAGAAAAAAGAAACGAATTGGCTGTTCTTTCTGCACTGGTAGAGAATAGTTAGGCAGTGTCGACAATTGCTCAATTCGGAACGTGTAGGAGATCGGAGACTCGATGGAAACAATTCCCCGACACGCTGTCCGCGACAGGCTGGACGTGTCGGTACCCTACCTAAGGTTAGGTAGGTATGATGGTTATTCTCAGTCATCAGCACCAATTGCTTTAGGTCAGAGGGGACGATGGCTTCGACTTCCAACATGATGTTTTGCCATCGCCAGACATAGTAATCTTCTTGAAATGACCAGATAGACGACCATTGTCGAATTGACAGAAAAATAAAATAAAAGACCCTTGGCTAGGGTCCCATAATCATCGTCGGTGCTCGGGCTCTCAACACTTTTTTCATCCCATGTCGACCATCACTTTGGAGCCATCCCATGACACTGCAGGCGGTTCACCGTCTCCGACGTCCCGTTGGCAGCCAAGTCCCGTCCACCACAGCGCGGAAGTGCCGGTGCTCAACGGGGGAAGGGCAGGGAGGGGAACGGCCCAGACATGTGCTCTCCACATGCGAAAATCAAGAGGTGCCTGGGTCCATGCGCCTTTTACATAAGCTCGCTTGCCAAATATCCTTACATAATACGCGCTACAATGGGAGGCAACCCTCGGATACTTTGCACAAAGGCACTTCTATCTCGCAGATCACCCGCCTGCTCAAGGCGAAGCGAGAGTCCAACCAAAGGTACCTTGGAGGCACAAATGTAGGCTAGCCCGGCTGCCCAGCCACACGCTGTGGCTTTGTCAGAGTGACTTCCAGGGAAAGCCACACAGGAGGGGAGCCCAGCTGTGGGAGCTGACGACAACTCACGCCTCATCCAGCTCCAAGCTCCAGTAACAGCGCGCAGCATTGCGCCGCATATTGGGGTCAACCACCCGCGGTATCCATACAGAGCGCGGACAGGCACAGGCACAGGCACAGGCACAGCTCACAGAAGGGGGGGGGGGGGGGGGGGGGGGGGCCCAGGAGGGGCAGTGTTGCACTCGTATTTGTGACCTAAAGCCCATGGGATTTGTCCAACGCGGGGCCCATTCATTCCAAGTTCCCGGACAAGCTGCATCACCGTTGCCGCTACCCTTGAGCTACCTTGCTTTGTATGGACCAGACCTGACCTAACAGTGACAAACACCACCAGTCAGCAACAAGAACCGTCTGCTTCCCTCCAGCTGACCTGTCGTCTTTAAATATCCCATTTCCCACGGCCAACATCTTGGCAACGAACCTGAACCTGTCCTGTATGCATTTCGCGCGCTCGACGGCCCTCATCACCTCTGTCATAGTACTCTTTACCACCATTTTCGTGACGCACACCTACACGAACCTCTTTACACGCCTACCGATCCCCTTTTTCAAATCAAACACCACAGACGCAATGGGCGGCGGTCCAGTGCAAGGCTTCCGCTCGGTAGCCTATTTTGTCAATTGGTACGTTATCAGTTGTCTTCCCCTGCTCTGGAGAGCCTAGGGGCAGTATTCCCAGGCACAGATCGTAACTAACACCATCGGGCTCCCAGGGCAATCTACGCCCGTAAGCATCGTCCCCAAGACCTCCCCGTCGAGAACCTCACCCACATCCTCTACGCCTTTGCCAACGTCCGCTCCGACTCGGGCGAGGTTCACCTCACCGACGGCTGGGCCGACACAGACATCCACTGGGAGGGCGACAGCTGGAACGATGTCGGGACGAACCTCTACGGCTGCATGAAGCAGCTGAACCTGCTCAAGCGCCGCAACCGCAACCTCAAGATTCTCCTGTCCGTTGGCGGCTGGACTTACTCGTCCAACTTCAAGGCCCCGGCCAGCACGCCACAGGGCCGCGATACCTTTGCCCGCAGCTGCGTCGACCTCATCAAAAATCTGGGCTTTGACGGGTACGTTGAATAACCCCGCCTCCCATGCCCTACCTCCAAGACAGACCAACTAACCAAACCTGACTACAGCATCGACATTGACTGGGAATACCCCCAAACCCCCTCAGAAGCTTCCGACTTTGTCGCCCTCCTCCAGGCCGTCCGCTCCGCCATGGACCAGTACGCCTCGACGCTGCCAGAGTGGTACCACTTCGAACTAACAGTCGCCTGCCCCGCTGGCGCCCAAAACTACCAAAAGCTCAACCTCCCCGCCATGGACCCCCTCCTCGACTTCTGGAACCTCATGGCCTACGACTACGCCGGCTCCTGGGACTCCCTCGCCGGCCACCAGGCCAACCTGCAGCCCTGCCAGCGCAACCCACGCTCGACGCCCTTTAGCACCGCCGCCGCGCTGGCGCACTATACCTCGCACGGCGTCTCCCCGGACAAGATTGTTCTGGGGATGCCGCTGTACGGCCGCGCGTTTGAGAATACCGATGGCCCGGGCACGCCGTACTCTGGCGTCGGAGAGGGGAGCTGGGAGAATGGCGTGTTTGATTTCAAGGTGCTGCCGATGCCCGGCGCGCAGGAGTATCATGACGAGGAAACGGGGGCGAGTTACTCGTATGATGCGGGGAGGAGAAAGATGGTTACGTATGATACGGTGCACATGGCGAGGAAGAAAGCTGAGTATATCAGGGGATGGGGACTGGGAGGTGCCATGTGGTGGGAGAGCAGTGCCGATAAGCCTGGGCACGAGTCGTTGATTGGGAATGTTGTTCATACGTTTGGTGGTCCGCATGGGTTGTTGAGGCGGGATAATTGTCTGACGTATCCCGAGACGAAGTACGATAATTTGCGAAATGGGTTCGCGGGTTGAGGGAACAAAAGAGAAAACACAACACTATGTGATCAAAATTGTAAGCATCAACGCCAGTTACATGTCACGATCATGTCACAGGCAAGCAGGGAGACTCAGAAGTGAGAGAATGGTCATAGTGTCATGAAATTGCATCGTCATTGCCAGCCAGTGATGTGTACATCAACGCCCCCGTTTTGTGTGCGGCTTTCTGCCGACTAGAATGCTAACCCTGAGCCCATCCTCCCATAATTGTCGCTTTTTGTTTTCCGTAACCTCGCGCCCGCGAAACAAAAAAGGAAGTTTACTCCTTCTTGTCGAAGACGTAGGTGAGGTGGCAGCGGCCGCAGTACTGGCGGTCGTTCATGGCGGCCATGAAAACACCGGCACCGCACTGGAGACGAGTTAGTAAAGAGAAATCATGGGAAACAATTCAAAGTTGGGGGTAACAACGTACGGTGTCGGAGGGGCACTCGCGGCGAAGGCGCTCGATCTTGCCGTCAGAGTCGACCTTGTAGTACTTAAGGACAGCCAACTTGGTCTTCTTGCGCTTGTGCTTGATCTTCTTGGGGGTGGTGTAGACCTTCTTCTTGCGCTTCTTGGCCATACCACCACGCAGGCGCAGGACCAAGTGGAGAGTGGACTCCTTCTGGATGTTGTAGTCGGAGAGGGTGCGGCCGTCCTCGAGCTGCTTTCCGGCGAAGATCAGGCGCTGCTGGTCAGGGGGGATGCCCTCCTTGTCCTGGATCTTGGACTTGACATTGTCGATGGTGTCGGACGACTCCACCTCAAGGGTGATAGTCTTGCCCGTCAGGGTCTTGACGAAGATCTGCATGATTGCCTACTTGTCACGAAGTGTTAGAATTGGATGCCTTGAAAGATGTGGGTGGATAGCAAAGGTTGCTGTCCGTCTCCCTCGATGCTCCTCTTTTCCCACTTCGATCCGGCAGAGTTGGATGTCGATGGCTTTGGCTGGAAGCGGCGGCGATTGAGCTTTCGGCGAAGCAATTTTACAGGCTCGTCGGGCTCGCACACACGCCGCTCGACCCTGCCAAAGACTCAGACTCTTTCCATTGCGCCCTCTCGGTAATCTCGAAAGACGCTCTCGATTTCACGATTGCGCCTAGGGAGACTCGCTCGAGTGACGGGCAACAGCGGAAAAACAAGAGCCCACACTAACTCGAAAGACGAAATGCCGGAAAACGAAGGGGGAATAAGAGGTGTAACGGGCTCAAGGCCAACAAAGAGGGAGCAGAAGCATCTTCAGACGTACCTCGACAATATGTCTATTGCCTTCCTAAGCAGATCCTCAGATGGGTTCGAGTTGGGGATGAGTGAAAATTAAAAGGAAATGACTGCTGTCTGTCGCAGCGCACGGTAAATCCGTCCTGCGCAGGCGCTGGGTGGACCGGGTGGGGGGGTTTGCGAGACCTGGAAAATTAGCGAAGCCACGTGACCTTGACGAGTTTCAATTGGCTAACCATGTGGCCTAGAAATCGAATGTGTGGTGCGAAATGCGGTACGTACAACAGTCCGGAGGCGACTTGCCCGCGTAAAGTGCACCCTCGCCTAAAATTCCAGAGTGGGATTTTCCAAGAGGTGGGTCCACAAGCACCAGCTCTCTGTCGCTCCCTCCAGCCCTGGACCAGCCCTCACACGCACGCAGCCTCCACCCACCACCTCCCAGCACCTTTTTCCAAGGCACGTCAAAACCAATTCGCGCCCTGGTCGAAACCCACCAATTGCGATTTTTTGACTCAGCAAGCCAGAAAAGATCAAGTACGTCTCCTCGCAATTGATATACACCTCTTCTCTTCTCTTTTTCCTCTTCTTCACGGATCTACTAACACACAGTCAGACGTCGCCAAAATGGTCAAGAAGAGAAAGAACAAGTACGACGATACCCTCCTCCGCCCCATACACCGCGCTTCACCTGTGCCTCTACCCTCACGTCCCGGTCGTTGACATACGATACCTGGCAACCATGGACTCGCTTGATGTCGCCGGCGAACGAGGTTCTTGATGGACACAGGCGCAATGATACCCCTCAACGAACTCGATCGCTGACTTGGTTTCCCCTCCTTTAGCGGACGCAACAAGAAGGGCCGCGGCCACGTCAAGCCCATCCGCTGCAGCAACTGCTCGCGATGCACGCCCAAGGATAAGGCGATCAAGCGCTTCACCATCCGCAACATGGTCGAGTCTGCTGCCATCCGTATGCCTTCTATCCCTCTCCACAACACGGACATTAATGACTGACCATCATTAGGTGACATATCCGATGCCTCCGTCTTCGCGGAGTACACCGTACCCAAGATGTACCTGAAGCTGCAGTACTGTGTCTCTTGCGCCATTCACGGCAAGATTGTCCGGTACGTTCGTCTGCGGGAGCGACGACTGCAAACCGTCGGTCTGGTTCACACCACGACCGCGGCGCGCAGGCGCTACAGAAGAACCTTGGCGCTACTCGAAGCTCCCACATCCCCTGTGCCTTGCACCTCGGTGATGCGGTCCCTCCCTGCCAAGGGGAGGTCGATTGCCGACCTGACGGTTGCTCTCGGGCCCTGTGAAAGATCCCCCAATGCTGACTTACTCTCCCAGTGTCCGTTCCGTCGTGGGCCGCCGCAACCGTGCTCCCCCTCCCCGCGTCCGCTACAACAAGGATGGCAAGAAGATCGTCCCCAACACCCCCAAGGCCTAAAGAGTTTCTTCTCTACTTGGGTACGCGGTGTTTCAGGTGTTTGCAATGACGAGCAGTGGATGAAAAAGTTCTCCTTTCAGTCATGGTTTGGGAACCGGATTGGTCTTTATGATGACGTTCATCAATGGAAATCGGGCCATGGCCCTAGGCTAGCAAAGGAAATGCTTCATGACACTGTTTTCTCACTCCCTGCAATATGTGCCCCTCATGTTGAATGTTCGCTGTCTGATTCCATTTACATAACTCTACTCCCTAGTGAGCTCGAAGCCGACAAATCTCATGTCGGTCCCCCACCAGCTAGGCCTCACAACACCTCGAGACCCAATCTGCTCAGACACCACCGTCCTAAGCTTCCACTTACTCCCAGTCTGCTCCGACAACTCGGCCCACATCTTCTCCCAAGTCTTCAAGTTATGCCTCAACGCAGGCTTATTATGAATCCCCGCCAACTCAATCCCATCAGCATGACCAGCAGCATGTCCCACAATCATCACCCCAGGCTCCTTCTTCAACAACCGAATCACCCGTCTCAGCACAACCATCTGGTTCTCCCTCGTCCACAGATGTAGACATAGACCCAGGTGAGCGGTATCGAAGGTGCCCTCTATGGCGTCTAATCGCGCGTCCCCGTCGTCTAACATGTCCGCGTTGACGAAGCGTGTTTTGAGGCTGGCCCGGTCACGGAAGAGCTCGTATCCGGCGTCGATGTAGCCCTGCTCCAGCTCGATGGCCACGATCTTTGATGAGTCGATGCCGTCGTAGACGAGGCGCCGGAGGTCCTGGCCCACGCAGCAGGCGATGTCGAGGTGGCGTGCGTCCGGGTTGTCCTGCAGGCGGGCGAGGAGTTGCGGGTAGCCTGGGCGGTGGGAGAGGTTGAAGTCGAGGAAGTGGAATTCGCCGATGCAGGGGTAGGGGAAGACTTCCCAGATCTTGTCGCGCTGTGGATGGCAACATTGTGTGAGTATCAGTCGAAGCTGTGTTCAGTCTTCTCATGTGCTGTGGGAAGTGATCAAGGGACAGAAAGAAGGGAATGGGAGTGAAAGAAAAGACGTACCATGGCGACGACGTGATCTCTGACCTCGTCTGGCGGGATGCCGGCATACTCCTCGAGCATCTTGCGCGCCTCAGGGGAGATTTGAGCCTCGATGGAGTACCACGGAGCCGCCTTATTCCTATCCCCCACGACGATCTGGCTGTTTGCGACTTGCATTTCGTTCATAGCTTGAGCAGCAATAATATTGTAATCAAGAGATATTGCTTAGACACACAACCGCCTTCTGGCTCTACTCCTGTCAAGTCAGTCAGGCAGGCCCTTATAAGAACGCAGCCAAACATCCCAACGGCATTCTCGCAACTCAAAATCTCACGCAATTACTCACCCCAAAAAGCAAATTCGCCGAATTCGGCTCCGTCAACCTTCGACATTAGGACGACGATACTCGATGCCTGCTTACTGCCGCGTTTCACCGGCGCACCCGGATCGAGCTGGGCCTTTGCGAACTGGTGAACTTTGCTTTAACCCCTCCTTCCTGGTCGTCTGATGTCCTCCCCTCTATATGTAGTCTTTTTTACTTTCCCGAATTAACCTCGATTTCACATGGAAGGAGCTTCTTCATAATCATAAGAGCAGAGAAGAGAGGTAATCAATCAACTACCGAGAGCTTCCTACTAACTTAAAGCCGTCCAACTTACGTTGCCGCCTATTTTCCTGCCTGAAATAGAAATATCTCCCACCGGTCACCATGTCACCGGTAACTTGACCACCCCGACATCCTTGTTTAAGGGCGTGTAATCGATATCCGAAATCGGCACGGCAATTCTCAGACTGGGGAGCTTCTGGAAGAGCGTTGCTGTGAATGGACATGTTAGCTCCGGCGCCATCGGTTATGGTGGGAAAAAGACTCTGAAAGGGAAAGGTTTGATTCCTTCCATCCTGCCCGAGACTCGAGTCACACGTCGGGGAGAAGAAGCGCATAAGATGCAAAGCGTCAGAAAAGAAAACAGACAAACTCACCAAAAACAGCCTCGAGCTCCGCGCGTGCAAGCGGTTCGGCGATACACCTATGCGGTCCAAAGCCGAATCCCAGCGCGTGATTCGGGTCCGGCGTCCGGTGCATGTCAAAGACGTCTGGGTCGGGAAAGACGTCTTCGTCTCGGTTGCCGGATTGGTTTGAGGCAATGATGCCCTCGCCTGCCTTGATCGTCTACGTGATCGGTTAGAACATCCGGCGACGAAGTTCAATATTAACACACGGGAGAAGGAAATCGACCGGGAATCATTCCAGTGGACGAATGCTTACCTTGCCGCCGAGGATTATGTCCTCCTTGGCTACCCTTTTCATCGCCATGGCGGAGCCAGTGTGGTATCTACACAGCTCTTCGACGAACGATGAGGCGAGCGAGGGGTCGGCTTTGAGTTGGGCGAGCTGGGTAGGGTTTCGGAAGAGTTCGATGACGCCCTGAGGTGTTGGATGTTAGTCGACTCGCGGAGCCAAAGGCGTGGTCTGCTTCCAGAGTAGCAAATTCTCAAGATGCAAGACGAAAAGACGGGGTGGACAGAGGAGGCTCACCAAAGCAATCATATTCACCATTGTCGCGTTCCCGGCAACGAGCAGCAAGAAGGCGATTTGTACGGCGTCCGATTTCTCAATATGGCCGGGTCTGAGCTGTTCTACGACCAGTTTGCTGATGAGGTCGTCTTTGGGCTCGATGTTGCGCTGGTCGACTAGTTTTGCGAGGTAGTTGAGGAGTTCTCTGGGCAACGGGGTATCAGTTTTTACCGTCAACGAAGCATGTGAGTCGGAAAGGGGGGGAGGCGGGGAAACATCAAGTTGGACGTACTGGTTTGCAGACTGAGCTTGCAGTGCCGTACCGCTGCCGTTGGTTCGAATGGCGTTCTGCTGGGTGAGGTACTCGAGGTCCTCGAACGGGACACCGAGGATGGTGTAGATGATCTGAGTTTTCACCGTCAGCGGGACCCCCATACTGACCGCAAACTCATCTTCTTTTAATTTCTCTTCCAGTGGTGTAAATCAAAACACTCACATATGAAGGAACAGGCACGGCAAACTTGTCAATCAAGTCAACCGGCTCGTCGCACCCCTGCTCCACCATCCTCTCCAGGAGACCATTCACAGTCTTTTCGATATACGGCTTCATACTCGCAACATGATCCCGCAAAAAAAGCGGCTCAACCATGCCGCGCTGCTGCATATGCGCCGGCGCGTCCATGTCGACAAAGGTGGGCTTATTCGCGGCCGCTGCTTTCCCGCCGGCGCTGAGCTCGGGGAACCCGGCGCGGGTGCGCTCCTGTGCTGTGGTGTTAGCTTCCGCTTCGACGGTGCTTGTTATTCCATGATACAAGGGGACGTGGGGGGAGAGGCGGAGGGATGAGGTGGGTGGGATGCCGGGACGGTACCTTGGAGAGACGTGGATCCGTGGCGACGGCGCAGACGTCTTTGTACTTTGTCACTAGCCATGCGAGGGAGCCGTCGTAGAGCTTTACTTGCGAGACAGGCTCTGTTGCGCGGAGGCGGGCGTATTCTGCGGGCGGCTCGAGGCCTGAGGCGCGGTGGAAGGGGAAGTTTGGGGGCGTGGTTGTGGTCATTGTGTTCTGGATGGGACGGAGGCGGGAAGGGTATCGTCGGAGCTTGGTTGCTGTTGACGATAGACGAGAGAATGAGGCTGAGAACATGAGTAGTGTCTGGATTGTCTGTAGAGAAAGAGTACGGTAGTTAGTTTGTCAAAGAGATGGTGCCTCTTGTATTTATATCTGATTTCCCTAGGCCTTGTTTGCGTAGATCCATCATTCCAAAGTGTATTCCTTGTTTCTGTCTTCATCTTCAGTGAAGCAGTAAGCAAAACGGCCTCCACCATCCCGAACCTCTCCATCAGCGTCGTGTGCGATGAGCAGCATGGTCTGATCGCGAACGACACTCCCCGACGTCAGCCCAAAGCGTGTAATACGGACGACCCGGTTGGCCGACACATCGCAGGGTATGAGCAGGGTGCTGCATGCTAAGTCTACCTTGATGCCAACGTCACAATGTCCACGAGGGGGTAAAACATAGCTTGCAAGGGTTCGGAAACATGCGTCCGCAGGGCAGGGCAAGCGGGCAAACCAACTAAGCGGGATCGCGGCGGGGGTCCGCGGAGTTGTCGAATTCTCGGAACCTTGGCCCCACCACCGCAGCCCCGCCGAAGACCCGGAATCATCGGGCGTTGTGGGTCAGATGCTTCGACTGGCTAGTCATGAAGACTACCGTATTTGGGAAAAAACTCGGACGTTTGAGAGTACCGAGCTGCGAGGGAAGCAATCATCGTTCGTCATCTCGAGTCAGAAGATTTTTTTGGATATCCGCGGATTTTGTTCATCTTCTGGAGTTTCCTCTTAGGTACTTAGGTAGGTACCTTGGCCAAGTCCACCGTGTTTTGAGTCAGAGCAAGAGGGGATGGATGAGGTGTCTTTGCGATGAACTATGTGTATTTTTACCTGTATTGGTATTTCGGCATCCATCCCGCCGGCTCTTGGGTACGGAGCACAAAGTTAAATTGTTGTCGATAGGGCTGATGATCTAAGAATCGAATGACGATGGGCGGAACCGGGGTGAGCGATCAGCTCCAAGTGAGTCAATCTGTGCCTCCGACCAGCCCTCAAATGCACCCAAAGTCATTCACTTCGGACCCAAAATTCAGCAATCATTTTCTCTCCCTCTCCGCGGTGACAATGCCGGGCTTCAAGGGCTAGTAATCGAAAGCGTTCCACTTAGCAAACAAAACATTCCTACTCAATAGGAGACACAACACGTCAAGAACCCAAGGTTTCCCATTCTCTCTCTGTCTGCTCCCTTTTCTTTCTCCATTCTCTTCTTTGCCCATTTTTGTTTCGGGTTCAATTTACCGCGCGCAGACTTTATGAGGCGCATCAATCCAAGTCGAGAGGCGGTATTGGCCGGCCATGTAGTAAGGGGGCTGACGCGTATTTTGGTCGCGCCGGCCAAGTCACTGCTGGAGCCGTCATGTTCGTTGTCTTCATGATTGTGAAGGTCTTCGAAAGAAGTATTCATCCGTGCCTGATACTCTTGGAATCTCAGGCCCTCCAGGAAGCCTCCAGCAACATGGAACAATTACTGCTTGCATCTGTCGAGGCTACGCCCGACGAGGCCATGAAACCGAGCAGCACGTATGCGTAAGCCTTCAAGCGCGACTGCATAGAAGTGCCCATCTTCCGAAGTAATGGTGGAGAGCGTTATGGTGTTGCTCTGCAAGGCAAGATGGCGCATCTCGCCGACGACGAGTTGACAGGCGTACGTCAGGTTCAGATCGAAGGGCTGTCTGTCGGCCCACTTGAGCCTGCCACCGAGAAGACCGTCGGATTCATAGACGTAACCCCTGTCGACGATGACGTGGTGCTCATAGATGGGGTCGCGGACTTTGCGTGGGATAGAGAGCAGTTGTGAAGCGGAACGCCTTCGGCTGGGGTCATGGTTCGGGATAGCCATCTCATCCTTTCTCGCTCCAGTGACTTCCGTCAACTCTGTACAACTCGAAACTGTACAAAAGAAGATGTGAAAGAGAAAAAAAAAAACGATCTGAAAGAGTTATGATGGGTGTGTAAGTTGGTAGTTGAGAGAGACGTGTGATCGAAAGGGAGGATGGAAAGCTAAAGTAGATTGCTCTGGAGTCGGCGCACCTTGCAGCCCCCCTCAACTCCCACTCCTACCACGTCACTGCACATTTGTACTGCCTTGGAGATTTTTTTTTCAGAAAAACCTTTACTAGGATGAAAAAAACTAAAAAAGCTGCCTGCTGTGGCGATAGCAGTAAATTCCAAGTATCTTGTTATCGAAGAAAAGATTTGATGTAAGTCACAAGTACGAGAATACAGTCCGAATAAAACAGTGTAGTGCCCACCTAGCACTTGAATCAATATATGCCTTTTCAGACTTGCCTTGAAGAAAGGTTGACTGTTATGATGACTGTTTCCCATTGAGGTTCGCAACTGGCCTGTCGAGCCCTGTCAGCGGGCATGTCCCTCCAATCCTTCAGTGTGGGCGGCGGCGGAGTTGAGGAACAGTGGAGGAGGAGGGGAAGCACGATGTAGGTGCAGACTTACTATTGATGGCTTCGGCCGTGATGGCCGAAAAGCTTGATTATGAATCCCTTGAAAGACTCTTCTCTAGAGGCATAGAAGCCTTCAAGTCTATAAAGCATTGTCAGCAGTCTGGTTTCTGCCTGGGGGCTCAAAGGGAGGACGAAGTTACTGAGCTGTGAATCCTTGCCAAGACATCAAATCCATCACCACCCACGATGCCGACCTTAAAAGAAGACCTAGTAACTAACGCCAGAATCATTGCCGCCTAAGCAAAAAAAAAAAAAAAAGAGAAAGAAAAGAAAAGAAAAGAAAACAAAACGCGTCAGCAATCTAATAGAGTCCAGGTCGACGTGGGAACTCACCGTCGGTCACGATCCGCGAAGCGTAGTAACGCGGCCGCAAAGCATAACATCCTCACCGCCAACGAGACGGGGACCGTGTCTGTAGGAGAAGAAAGAAAACCCGATTAGTGTGCGTTCTCCTTGGATGCTTGACGTTCCGCTGTAGACGATGGGGCACTGCTTACCGTCAACATGGCGCCTTGTCTTCCTCCTACAGCTCGAGGATCAATGCTTCAAACAGCATCGGAGCTCTATCCGAAAGCTCGCTCGAGTGCTCCGGCACATCCACCACCATCTACGCGATGGCAAGACTGTCAGCATCCATGAACAAGAGTGAGTTGCCCACCTCCAGACACTGCTAGGCGCACGAGGTTAGCCGAAATGGTTGATGGCCCAGCGGGAAGCTTGGGCGGCGCCGTCGGTGAGTAGACCCTCCCAGGGGTACAGATACTATCGCGGGTTCGCTTGCCACCCCATTCTGTCCTTGAGAAGTAGTACTGATCTTTCCTCTTGCAAGTTTGGGCATGTGTAAAACAAGTGACCTGCGGTGTGTTCACCTGTGCCATAGGGGAACACATCTTGGCCACGATGTCGGTGGCGCTGCGAAGCAAAGTCAGGAAAACGGTGACAAATTGTGTTGTGGAATGTAAACGGGGATGGGAAATGTACCCTTTTTCCAAGACAAGTATGAATTTGAGTCCGATGTGAGCCAGTCCGGGACTGGATGAAAATGCTTCTCTGAGCATGGGGTAAGGGTCCTTGTGGATGTTGAGACTTCTTCTTCCTGCCCCCCATTTTTCCCTTTGACCGCAACCCCGGAGAGCGATAGAAGTCTGTTGCGAGACTTTGGCGTTGCTTGGAATAAATCTCGCCAGAGCTCTGCACCAAACCGCGTCGCCTGGTGACCGACATACTTCGTGACCGCAATTCCTCGGTTATGGGGATCAAATTCCCTCCACTCGGGACGCCTGAGTTTACTGGTCGTTGTCGTGAGGTCATACTCAGCCCCTACTTCGCTGGCCACAACCCTCGCATGGCTGTATGCTACTGAGCAAGGTTGCTTCTCAAACCTCTCGGGCTTGTTGCGCGAATAAAAATGTTGGCGCTGGCCCTCCATCAAGCCCGCATCGTTCTCTGTCGAGTGGCATGGGGCACGATGACACAGGTCGTGAGCCTTTGGAGATGAACTGTAATAAGCTCAAGGTTCAACTCCCTTCTGAAGAACAGCTCCAGGTTGGTCGAAACTGTAGGCTCCGCACCGCATCCCAAGACATTGTGTCTGGAGCGAGTGAAGCCGGTCGACGAGAAGCTTGCGTGAGACGATACCTTCATTGTGTGATTATCGCTAGAGAGGAACTTTGCCGCACAGCTGTAGGAGATGATGGGGCCTCACGCCGGTGAGAGGTACGGGTTCCTCATCTGATCAAGTCCTGGCCCCCCCACATTGACTGGTGAAGCCGGCGCATGCGAGTTCATCTTCGCTTCGACCTTGCGCTCAATCTGATTGAGTGATGCGAGAGAAGGGCTTGGTTGAGAAACTTACGTTGTTGGTGTGATCGGCCCACGTCAGCTTGTAATCCACTTGAATGCCCAGACCACGAAGGCCGCCGCCCTCTTCTTTCGCTTTTGTCGAATTTTCCTCGACCAAGCTCTCCTCTGTCGAGTTGAGAATGTTGGGAATCCCATCAAAAGGCTCGCCTCGATCACTGGGCTTCCAGAAGTGCATGACGCTGTACTTGGCCGGACTTCACCTGACGAGAAGCCCACTGAACAGCACCGAGCGTGGTAACTCTTAGGTGTTTGAGGCGCTGTGGACCCCTACGACGCTAGCGCTGCCACGCGCGGGTCCTCCCGTCTGCGCCATCCTTGCAGCCCACGTGGCTGTCCTGCCGCATCGAGCCCTGTTTTACAGAGGCCGGGGTATTTAATTGGTGGGAGCTGCGCACTGCTGGAGGTAGCCAGTACTTGGCTATCTGGTCTAGGGAACGACAGCCTCATAGAATTACACAGAAGGGGTGATGATTCGAAAAGAAAAACTCAAAATAATCGTTAGTCGAAGGGGAAAGTGGTCGGGAAGCCTGAGTGGTTGATGGCCTCACGTTCCGCGGCCGTGGCAACCTTTGCTGAAGAGGAAAGAGCTCAGAGTAAAAGGTTCGAGCTAGACTCTGCCTTTCCATCCCACGCATTCTGGTGTGCAACAAGAGCGGTTCGCGCCAGCTTCCAGCCCAAGCTGCAAGTAACAACAGGCTCGAGAGATTCAAGGGTGTACGGAGTGATGCAAAATATTTACATTTCGTTGGTTGAAGTACACAGGCCATGTAAGTAGCCCGCAAGGTAAATACACAGAATAAAAGTAGAACATTGATGCAATGCGACCGAGCGAGGTCAAGCCAACGTGCACTGCTTGCCCACCCAGCCCACCATCCCTCCAGAAACTACGCCCACGTCCAACCACACCACGAGATCCCTCTCAGGAATGCACCCGGGACGCAATTGACCCGGTTGACGCATGCCTCCAACTCGAGTGCACACCCCATCTACAAGCACTGAGAGTACCACTCGTTGGTCTTGGTGCAAGACGATCCGGAAGCACAAGCAGTGGGCCCGGAGTATCCACTCCCGCCGCACTGGCTCCACTTCGCCGCCGTCGCCGCCTCGGATCCGGACTCCTCCGCAGCCGCCGCACTAGGCTCGGGAGCAGCCGAAGCGCACGTCGCAACAGGGACATTATCATCGACAGAGGAAGATGACGCAGGCGTAGGGGTAGGAGTGGGGGTAGGAGTAGGAGTAGGGGTAGGCGTCGGGACAGGAGTCTCAGCAACCTCCTCCTCCTTGACAATCGGCGCAGCAGACGCAGTAGCAGTAGCAGTAGCAGAAGGCGTAGCCGAGCTCGAAGCAGCACCAGAAGCAACAGCCCCGGATCCAGTCTTGGCCCACCCGCGCTTCTGCGAGAGCTCATACCACCAGTTACGGTACATCCACCCATCAAAATCCGTAATCTCCATCGCAGACCCAGCCAGCATGATAAACTTGCTCTGTCCCGTCGGCTCCCAGTCGTAGAAATCATCCAGACCAAAAGAATGCCCCATTTCGTGCAGCAAGATGTGAATATTCTCGGAGTCGAGGTTGTTCAGCATATACTCCCTTCCCACCTGCTGACCCCACGAATACCCGAACCCGCCCTCGAGCCCGTCGGTGAGCTGCAGCGAGCTGTCAAAGTGGCTGGCCTCGCCGCCCTTGCACCCGCTGTAGTCGCCGTCGAGGTGCGCTTCGCGGTTGCAAGCCGGGTCGCACGCGGGGATGCCGTCGGGGTCCTTGAAGGCCGTGTGAACGTCCAGGCCGTCGGTGGAACCCTCGAGGAGGGCGGTGTTGTTGGTGGCGTAGCCGACAATGTTGACGTCGATGTTGGCGTAGGGGAAGCCGTCGTAGCCGTAGAGCCACTTGAACCACTTTTGGTACTGCGCCGCGTAGGTCGAGGCGAGCTTGGTGCGTTGGGCGGCCGTGATGGAGGCGGTCGAGTCCCAGCGGACGCAGATGTTGATGGAGCTTTGCTGGTGTTAGTTGAAATTTTGCGCAATTTGGGGGCTGTTCAGGGAAGCGGAGGTCCCGTTGTATAAACCTCGCACGAAGCTGGAAGAAATGTAACTCACCCGTTGTTCGCCATAATCTGATCCCATCCCCAGTTCTTGTTCCCCTCAATGGCACCGTCATACGTCTTCTCATAGTGCGCCCACACCTCCTTCAAAGCGCCCGAGAGCTCCGAGGGCGGGTTCCAGCCCGTCTGGCGCTTTGTGGGGCGGTTACGGGCGCGGATCTGCGGGGCGACGGCGGCGTTGCGGGCGGCGGGGGAGGTCCCCTCGAGCATCTTCCAGACGGAGCCGTCGAGGTCGGATTTGGCCGAGGTGGAGCTCAGCGCCAGGGCCGAGGTGGCGGCGAAGGCGACCGCCGCGGCGGTGGATGCGATGGATGGCATTCTTACGTTTCGGTGAAGTTGATAGTTGTTGGTGGGACAAAGGAACGTTTGGTACTAGGTAGTGTGAGAGAGTGACTTTGAATGAGTGTTGATATGAAAAACGAATGTGAGGTTGGAAAGCCTGAATGGGAATTTTCAGAACATGAACCAGCCAAGTTCTGCAATGCACACACAGCGAACGAACGAGGTTTGAGAAAGAATGAAGATGAAGAAGAGAGAGGTGGCAAGTTAGCAACGAACCAAAGTCAATCACAGGATATATGTACCGTAGCCGGACCATCCCTCCTAATCTGTCTGCGCGGGAGACAAGGGGGTGGGATGGCCTAGCCGAGAGATGCCAAATTCACCCTTTCCCACCTCTGTTTTCGCTCACAGCTCGTAGTCTCCACAGGCATCGATCACGTCCATAGTAGGAAGTTCTTCCAACCTAGTTGTTCTTACTCAACTGCGTCGATCAGTGAGATTCAATGCAAGAGCGAGTCCGCTTGGTCAATTTCATCGTCAAGTTAGGTATCCGCAGTTGGAATTACTTCCTCTCCAAGACAACTGTTCCATCGTGGCAACTCATAGTCTCTGACAAGTCTCTTGACTCTCTCCCCAGCCGCATCCCACTCGCTTCAAATGTCGCTAGCTCTGCCTTGGCTAACTCAACAGGGACCATATTTGCGGGTGTGGGGGCCGGGATGGGAGCATGTATGGATTGGTCAACGACGTTAAGACAGATTACAGGACCGTTGCGCGCGGTTGCGGCTAACCGCTTTTCACAACTTCCCTCTCAATCCACTCAACTTTCGGACATTCCTGGATCCTGAGGACTCTGTACTTGTAAGCTGTCAGCAGGATGTTCCAACATTGATCCCAGTAGATGCACGCGTCGGAGATAGATTCGCGCCAAGGCGCTAAGGAGGCGCATGTTGCCAAAGTGGTCTGGTGTTTCTCCCAAAGGACCCCGACTCAACGGTCCAGAGCTCCCCTTGCAATCAACCTCCACTCGCACTTTGGGACTGGCGTGAAAGGTGTAAACAGTCCACGGACCAAGAAGGGAAGAGCTCGCCTAGTGGATTTCGGCGGAGGAGACGACCTTTATTGGGTAACGGTCCGCCAGAGACCTCGACGCGTACTTTTGTCATTCTTTTGTGTTTACTCTTTCGTCTCGTGTCCTGCGTCGTCTTTCTTATGGACTATGTACAACAAGCCTAATGGTTTTGGAACTCACTATTTGGGATGTGAAGTTCTGCAATGCTCTGCCAAACTAATTACACACTCTTCAATTTCAATATCCAGGTCTCCAGCGCAGCCACGGGACCCACGGATCCGCAACTCCGGCTGTCCGGCCCCTTGGCGCGTTGGCATTCTCGCAACGATCCGTACGAACACGCGCATCCATGATCCATCAAATAGAGAGCAAATGGGTGACAGGCAGACGGGCGCAATCTCTCCCACAAAGCGATGCAATCAACATCAATTAAGACTTACTTTCTTTGACTCTTCTCCATGTCTCAAGGTCTCCCCTCGCCATGATTCACGAATCACGAATGCGAAAAAACTGGCGGTTCCAACCCTTGCTCCTAAACTATGTACAAAGCCCCAAGGTCCCAAAGTCCCGAAGTGCCTACGTAGTAGACAACCCCGTAGTGAATCAGACACAGATGTGCTAGCTCCTTTGTACCGGTGGGATGGTACACTCCATCTCACTGGCGCGAAAACCAAACATCGGAAATCGAAATCGAACCAGAGTTGCAAGACTCTTGGCAAGTGTTCGCTATTAATGATCCCGGGGTTCAGGGATGCCGGTGGGCGGGCGGGCGGCGATCATCGCTCCCCCTAAGCAACCCGGCCGGATTCCGCCTCTCATTAAATCGCCTCGACTCGTTGTTTTCCCCTACTGGAGTGAATCTTTTCTAAGGCCTAGGATTGTGGCATTTGATGTTGCATTTGGTTGCAGTGTCGACGGATACACCGACCACATACTACAACGGCGGGAAAAGACGTTGTTGCGGAAATAAACAACTTTTTAAGCTTAGGTTTAGCTCAACGACCTAAGAGAAAGAGAGTTTTGGTTTTTTCTGGTCCATTTCTTACGTATGCTTAAGTAAGCGCGTGCACTGTTTGAATGCAAGCCGAAAACCACCAAAAGCCTAATGCTTGATGCGAATGCAAAGTCTTCCCTAAACTCCACCCAGATAATTACACTAGAGTCGGAATAGATCCGCTCAAGCAGCAAAAGAAGGCAGAAAAAGAAAGGGAGAAAATTAGGAACGAGAGAGAAGAGAAAACGCCGAGTTGAACGAGTCAACCCCCAAACGCAGCAAATCTGCCCAAATCTCAACTATCAACCCCCCCCCCCCCACAATCCGCAAATCTCAATCTTCACGATCCTGCCCACCACCTCAACCTCAAGCCACAACCTCTCTCCCTCTCTCTCCGTGTAAGTGCCCAAGCAACCCTCACCCTCAATCCTTAACAAGCCAAACACAAACAACAGGCTTCCCCCCAGGAACCCCACTCCGTTCCCCATCCCACCCAACCTCCTTGACCGTCTTCTTCATCATATCCTTATCATCCCCCGAAAAGCACAACCCTTTATACCACCGCCCATTCCCCGCCTGCACAATCTCAAAGCACTTGTTCTTCTTCGGATTCGCGTTCGTCGCCCCGAACCCCTTTAGCACTTCTGCGAGGGTCGTGTTCACGGGAACGTGAAAGGCAGAGAACTGGATCCGCGCGTTGTTGGGGAGTTGCCACGGCGGTGTGCTCGTCCGAAACACGTGGATCTTGGTATGCGCCGCGGGGAAAAAGTAGTTATACCCCGGTTCGCAGCCCGTTCCGCCTGTAGAGTTGGAGAGGTGCGCTGCTGGGTTGCGCGGGTCGAGGGCTGGTAGACCGGTTGCTGTGCGCGGGGTGTATGTTGCTTGGCCGCCTGGTTGGAGGGGATATGAGCCGGGGGCGTAGTAGCCTCCCTGTTGCTGCTGGACGCCGCCGCCGGGCCAGGCGTAGGCTGTTGAGCCCGGGTAGGGCTGGTAGGATGTGGTCGCCGCGGGGTAGTATCCGTAGTAGTAGCTCCCGTAGGGCGGGGCCGGTGCGCCGTAGCCGGTGTGCGGGATGTAGGGCTCGCCCCAGCGCGGGAGGGGCGCGCCGGTTTGAGGGCCCCAGGGGGGGCGGCGGCCTTCCATGTCTGGACCGTTGACGGGGTTGGACATTGTTGGTGTGTGTGTATGGAAGTGGAGCGAGGTAGGATCAGATGTGGTGGTTGTGATTCGGTTGCCAGGTGTTTACCCAGTTTCCGAGGCCGTGGTTGAATTCCGTGATCCAAGTGCCGGGGATGGGGCCTGCGTGTGAAGGGCCCCAGAGGTGGTGCGAGTGTGTTTGGTATTCGTAGGTCGGGACGTGTGATGGTTGATGGTATGCGCTGCTGGTCTGAGCGAGGTTGAGGCTGCGAGAAAATCTGTCGTTCAAGTCTTGGCTGGTGTTTGAATCTGTAGATGCCAAGAAGAAGGAAAGTCAGCAAAATGGGAACGTTGACGGGATTATATATATCCTGCCTAAACATCTGAAATCTCAGGTTGACTGGTAGTGAATAACCACCACCCATGAGGACAGTACACAGTGACTCACCCGAATCCGATAGCTCGGCAAACTGCCCCTCTTCGTCGTCGTGTCTCTGATCACCGCCGCGCGTGTCACGCTGGAAGGCAAAGATCTCGGTGCTCCAGACAATGCTGTTGTGCTGGTCGTAAAAGGTGCCGACAATAAGGTAACCCCAGAACGGCGGGTCGCGCGAGCAGTGCCAGTACTGCGCGATGATGAGCTTGGTTGCTGGGTAGGGCAGGTACTCTGGCTCCTCCTCCTCGACGTCGCGAGACTGATGAGACGCCACGGTGACTAGAGGCTGTGTGTAATTGAAAGGACGAGGTTGACTGCTCGAGTGCTAGGTACCCGAGGTATACTGAGCTTGAAGGCCGTGTGCGTGGATGAATGCGGATGTTGACGAGGAAGAGTTTGGTCAGTCATTTTGGTCTAGATTTATATGGCATTGAGCAGTAGTGTGAATCAGTGACTTGAAGCTTGCGGGGAATGGTCAAAACCATGTGTCACTGTCAATGATTGATCAGAAAACTATCAGCGACTTGATAGTGATGCGCGGCAAACAACTCCTGAGTTTTATTTTCCGCCCATCAGAGTTGGGATGAGCTTGTGGTGTGTTCGCACACGACGGTGAATCATTGCCACGGCGAAATGTAAGGGGCGAATTGATGATGACCTTTACAGCTCTCTGCGCCAAGCTCGTTTGCAAAGTAGTCACATGAACATGAAGGGGGAATTGCAAAGTCTTGAGTGATGATGATATATTTGGTGGTTGTGGCTAACTGTGGCGGACTGTGGCTGAAGCAATTGAGATCTCTGGCTACTTATGTAAGCAATGCCAACAGGCCTCGGATTCTCATGCTTGTTTGCTCCTCTGTCTCACAAGCCTTACTTGTGTTCAAGGGCCCAAAGAAAACCAAAGTACGAATTATGTGCGCAGTCGACGCGGAACCAGTATTTCCACCATGTTCTTGACTTGTGTTGTTGGCCATCATCCAACATGTCATCTGATCATGGTCGGGGAAAGTCGACATGGTTGTCTCCACTAGATCATTTCGCTAGGCCCTCGTAATTTGGTGTCTTCGGCCACTTTGCGTTACTTGACTTAAGATGCCGTGAACGAGGCTGCTGATACTGGCGAACATGACGTTTGCTGTGGACAAGGGAGGAGCCCCCAACGTCTTCGGTTGTGGGATAGTGCTGCAGCTTCCGTACGGGTGGTGCCGCGCAGAGGTTTGGCGTTGTGGGGCGCCGTGAATGATCCATCTGCCGTTCTCAAAAGTTCTGAGCTCCGAGATTCCCGTCATCGATGAGTCCCGTCGAGGTCTGAGCCTATGTCGACTGAGAAACCTGCAAAGTCCCGTGAGCTGGTGACTCGGAACAGGTAAAAGGCTGAGCGCGTCCAAATCCTAGACAGCCTCAGTCCTCAACCTCGACATCCTCCTCAACAACCCGCACCGCGCCGCCCTTGATGCTAGCCGCCCCCTTGACAGAGTTCTTGAGCTGCTCAACCTCCTGCCTCACCATCTTGCGCCGCTCCACCTCAGTAACAAGCCCCTTGAGGTACACCTCAGCCTGTACGGTAGCGCTGTACGACATGGCCGTCCAGCTCCACACGTTCCTCCTCTCAGCATCGGCGCCAGCGGCAAGCAGCGTCCTCAGCACAAGCAAGTTCCCATTACTGCTCGCGAAATGCAGCGCCGTATTACCGTCCAGATCCGCCCTCTGCACGGCGGCGCGCGCGCCCTCGGGGACGTACGTCAGCAGGATCTGCAGCACGGTATCGTGCCCGCCGCGGCTCGCTTCCATGATGGCGTCGCGCCAGCGTATGTCGCGCCGGAGGATGACGTGCGGGGTTCGTTCGCAGAGGAAGTGGACGACGTCGGTGTGGCCTGCGGCGGCGGCGAGCATGAGGGCTGTTTGGTGGTGCTCGTTGAGGGCTGGATCCGGGTGTTCGTGGCCGTGGTCGACGAGGACTTTGGCGATGGGGAGGTGGCCTAGGGAGGCGGCGAGGTGGAGGTTCGAGTTGGAGAGGGCTTCGGGGGAGGGGTCTGGGTTGTGGAGGAGGCGGGGGTGGGATTTGAGGATTCGCTTGACGAGAAGGGGGTCGTTTGCTGTAATGGCGCGTCGGACGCGGAGGGAGGGTTCGATCCTGGAGGGGGAGAGATTAGCTGGAGTTGTCCACGCGTGGGTGTTGCGAAGGAGGGGGGTATGGGGAGAGCTTGCATGATGGGCGTGGATGAGGTCGGTCGGAATGGATTTAACGAGTGTGGTTTGGTCGAGCGATTGAAGAGGTCGATGGCAGCATCGCTGATGGTGATGCTCTTTTTTGCTGCTGAAGCTATCTCCAAAAGAGAGGCGGCCGACGTGAGGTGGTGGGAGCTGGTGATGACGGAGACGAGAAAATGGGTGGCAGGTGAACAGGCAGGAAAGAATGAAGTGACAGCACGGCAGACGGCAAGTTGGGACGAGATTGCCAATAGGGGGCGGCTGATGACAGGCCACTGCCCGGATTTAGTGCACGGCGCCTGGAAGGTCCCTGTCACGAGCTCTGGGAACAGGGAGGAAGACAGGGATGCTTCAGGGGTGGGGGGGAAGCATTTAGGCGACACGCCGTCACCCGTGGACCACGGGGGGAGCACCGGCGGGGAAGAAGCGGGGCAACCGGCGTCACTGCCGCTGGTGCCGACGGGAGCTCACCTTGATGCCCTCGCCGGTCTTTCGGCTTGTTTCCGTCTGTTCGCTTTCCCATCATCGTAACAACTTCAGTGCTTTTTTGCTGTTTGTGTTTTTTCGTAATAAAGAATCTCTGAGGGCTAGGGAAAGCCTGTAGTCTGCAATTGAGTTTGGGCACATGGACACCGGCATGCATGATTCGATGCGTCTGATGTTGATGATCTGATGTATCCTGGGATCCCGTCTACGTGCGCAGCCAAGTGGTATTTAGTCATCATGCTGATGATATTCCACAAGGACGCAGCTCAATACATGTCATGAATTTGCGCAAGTAAACCAAGAAACCTGCTAGACATTACAACTCGCACCCACCGATGACCAGCTGATACTCAAGAACTCATTTGACTGATTCTACTCTACGGAAGACCCGTTGTATAACTCTATCCTCCAACGCCGAGCAGTATGCATCCGTCACTCATTTACAACCTAAGAAACATATGGCTTCCCGAAAGGCTGCAACTCCAACCCCTCGATATCAATATACCCAAACTTGCTCCCATCCTCATTCTTCCCCATCTCCTCCATCCACGTCCCCAAAGACTTCATAAAAACATCCTTGTACTTCTCCTGGCTCACATCCAACGGCTCCCGATCCCGTCCGATAAGCCTCATCTGCGTACCGGCCAACATATTCGTCAGCCCAAAATCCTGCTCGCCCAACAGCGTCTCAATCGCAGCCGACACCTCCCCAGCAATAATCTTGCGCGGCAAATCGACCTCGTTACACGCAGGTCTCGCCAACCCGATTCCGTGCACCGTATTCAGCGCCTCTACCATGGCAGGCACAGTCCTCAACCCGCCCGTAACGTAGGCCTTGGTCTTGGTTAGCTGCGGGATAATCTTCTCGGCGAAATCCAAAAAGAAGGCCTCGCGCTTCTTGGTCGATTCGCGCTTGTGCTCAAAGGCGAGAGACTGGTACGTTCCTCCCGAGAGCTCAACGAAATCGAAGCCGTGGGCCTCGAGCGCGGAGCAGAGGTCCCGGCAGTCTTCGGTCGAGAAGCCTTCATCTTGGAACTCGACGCTGTTGACCTTGATGCCGATGCTAAAGGTCGGGTCGGGGACGCGGGCGCGGATGGCGTCGGCGATTTCGAGGATAATGCGCGCGCGGTTGGTGAGAGAGCCGCCGTACTGATCGGTGCGCTTGTTTGTTGTGGGCGAGAGGAATTGCGCGAGGAGGTAGCCGCTATGTTTTGTCAGTCATTGCTCGATGTGGCTCAAAGTATGAGTAGATGGTGAGAAACTCACTGTGCGCCGTGAAGCTGGACTCCGTCGAAGCCAGCCTTGTACACATACTCAGCCGCATGCGCAAACCCTCCAATCACCTTTTCAAAATCCTCCTTCTCCATCGCCCTAGGCTTCGCGAACCGCATACCCATCACATCCCCCTCAAGCTGCACATCGCTCGCCGAGATCGGGGAAGGGTTAATCTTCTGCTCGACTTGTCTGCCCGGGTGACTAAGCTGCGCGTGCAACAGACTGCCATGCGCCTTGGCTCCCTCGGCAATCTTGCGGAACCCTTCGAAGCGCTCGCCCTCAAAGGGCGCGCCGAGCGGAATAATCGGGTTGCCCGCGGCCTCGAGCTGGTCGTAGTCGAGCATGACATTGCCGGACAGCAGGACGCCAAAGTCGCCCTCGCCCCAGCGGCGGTAGAGGTTGATGAGCTCCGGGCTGGGAACGCCGCGGTTGGAGGGGGTTTTGGGGTCCCAGGAGGAGAGGCGCTCCGTCATTGCGCCCTTGAGGAAGCGATTCTTTGCGACTTTGCCTGAGAAGGCGAATTTGAGGGGTTCGGCGAGAGGTTTAGGGTCCACGGCCTCGGCGGCGTATCTTGAGGGTGCCATCTTGGGTGGGTTGTGTCTGGGTGGTGGTGGTGGTGTTTTTAGAAAGTTGTAGAAGTCTAGTGCTGGAAGGATGAACGTGTCTGTGGGTGACTTTGTTCCTGATGCTCCAAGGTTATCTTTGAGTTTGAGGTGAGGAGGGATGAGGCTTTTTGTAATGTCTCAATGAACCGCATGTCCACTTGTTTTAACACCTTGTTTATTCAGCTTTAACAGCGGAGCCCAAACTGACGTCCACCGGTCTGAAACCCGCGCAAACATTTGCTTTGTAATTCGGACCTGGTTTTCTTTCCCATCCCCCGCCACGCCACCTGATGGGACGATGAACAATGGTTCTTCTCCACTCGGCATTCGGAGTCTCTACAATAGATGACTGTCGTCATTCCAGATCTTTTGAAGAATGTAACCTACAAGAGTCTACGAGAGCTGGAGGGATTCAACATCTGCATGCCAGATGCAAGTACCGACCACAATACACCAATCAAATCCTGCTCACCGCCGGTGAGTGAGTCAATGACCAAAGCCCCTGAATCCAACAGGAAGCTTCTTGGCTTCCTTCTCTCTTCTTTCATCCAAACTTTCAAGGTCCCTCGGCTCGGCTCCTCCAAGCTTCGGCCAGCAGTCCGTTCGAGTTGCCCCTCAGAGACGGCCCAGAAATGCACTAGGGGTCGTGTGCGTCATGGTGGGGTACTAACGCAGGGGTTTCCCGCGTCATGAATGGTCCAATTCTTCTAACATTACGGTACTACTCCTGCACGTGCAGTGTATACCACAGATTTTTACTACAGATTCACAGAGCGATTTGTGCCGTTTCGGAGCTTTGGTGCTGGTGCTCCCTCTAGTGTAGGCCTCTATTCATAAGATCTTCGTAACCCCCCGTGCCCTCCACCGCCAAGCTTTGAGCCAGATTTCTAATCTGACGACAGGGGAAAGGCGGGGGATCAAATGTCCGTACACTAAAATTCTCCGTGGAATTGGCGGATCGGGTGAACCACCTTTCCGGTCGGCTCCACTGAGTCAAGTTTGGTGCGTGAGGAATCAGGTGCTTAATAAGGGACCACATCCACGGCGTTCGAGGATGGTTGCACTCAAAATTTGGCCACACTTCTGGTGACCTCATTCGGTCTAGAACCTACATCTAGGCTTTTGTTACTCCTTAGGGCGTTGTACCTCTTGGCGATTTTGTTATGGACAAGATGATAAGATGGAGGCTCAAATCCCATTGTGAGTCGTCCGCGTTCTCGTTCTCGTTCTCATTCTCATTATCGCTTACCTAAGGTACGTAGAGTGCGGGATATGACTTCCGCCTGTGTAACCAAACGTAGTTCGTGTGCATCGTCCCAACTACGCACCTCGTATCAGATACTCATCTCTGCATTTCGGTCCGGCCCGTCAACTTCTGTCCGGGTTCCTGCCGGAATCAATCTTAATCCCACCGGGCGAAACCCATCTCGTACTAGGAACATCGAAAGATCATCTCGGTCATATACGCTAATCTGGTCCGTCGGCTTGTTGTACCTCCGCAATGCGAGGCCCCGGAGCCCGGCCGGTGGAGGGACGGGTGGAAAAACTATCGTGGGCCTCGAGGGAGGCAAAAGATTGCGTCGAGGGGGAATCGAACCCCCGGCTCCCCGACGCTGCTTGATGGCAACGGAGAATTTTACCACTAAACCATCGACGCTGACAATGATTGGATTTGTATGAGATGTTGAGGATCCGCTGATGCTCAAGTTGGGCTGCTGGAGGTGTGGTTGGCCACGATGTGGTGAATCTGGCGAGTGTGGATCGTAGTGGGGAGGACAGTTGGCCTCCTTGCAATAGCTGAACGGCATTCTCTCTCCTGCGAGCTCTGCGACTGAAACGTACCTCCAGAGATTTCTTTGTTGTTAGGCGTCTTTGAATTGCCTTTTCCTACCGCTTGACAGTGAAAGGGTTGTGGTTGCGAGATAAGGAAGGATCACGGCCGACTCGGCCCCCAACGGACGACCCACAACCTTGAATTCAACCACGAAGCTGACGTAACCTAAGTACTCGTCTAAGTTTCGCAAGTGAAACTGACGGGAAGAATGTAGATAGGACGTTGGTCACAGGTATACGTGAGATCTCCATTCTTGGGCATGGAGCTGAAACACCCAAAGCGTTATTTACCGTGTAACCGTAGTGTACCCCTCCCCTGTCTTTTGTGTTTGTTTACGTTCATGTCTACACACTGTTGAACTCCTTTTACGGACTAGACCTCCTAGGGAGAGCTCGGCTGCCTGAACGCAACTAAACTACAGATCAGGTACATAATCTGAAATTGAGTTACTTTCGTGAATAAGATCAGGTTGTGCTCTACCTATGGGAATGTCACCATTTGCTATGGGCAAGCGGTTGTCGCCTTACTCCCCTCAAGGCAAAGGCTTCCGGTAGTTATAAGTGCAACTAAGGTCGAATTCAGAGGACAAGTTGCGGTTACGTACAACGTGTAAAAAGGTAGCAAACGTCGGCAGACGGACCATTGTCCAATTGGCAGGCGTGCTGTCAGCCCACCGGACGGCTGCAAGCCGTCATGTTTGATCAAGCTGCGGCCAATCTCGTCCAATGAACCTGGCACATTATGGAAATGAAACTGGACTCGGGCTAGTCTCGCCAGGTTATCAGCGGGAATCAAATGCCCTCGACAACTAGTTTGGCAGTTACTAAGATTGTCAAAGCTAACTAGTCTTCGAGTCCAAAAGATTCTGAAACCAATCGAAAATCACCTGATTGTGCTGCTTAAAAGCCCCAATCCCACAATGCTCGCCAATCCCATCCTCCTCCGTAAAGTGATGCAAGTAAGCCCGCTCCCCCAACGCCTTCGCAAGAACAGCAGCCTGGCCCTTGAAGAATAAATCATTCTGCGCATCACCCACAAAAACAGGCGTCCGGATCTGATCCACCACGGGCTCCATGCGATAATCCAGCGACAACGTCACAAAGTCGTACGCGGACTCGGTGTTGAACGCCCACATACCGTGCCCGAGACCCCAGCGCAGCGGCGCGGGCACGCCGGGCTGGAGGAACCGCTTCGTGTACTCGTCAAAGGCCGCCTTGTCGCCCGAGTCGTAGATGGCCATGGCTTCAGTGCCTAGGGTGGCGTTCACGACGGCAGGCCAGTCCCAGACGCCGTCGACGGCGAAGATGGCGGCGAGGCGGTGTTCAAAGGCGGCTGCGCGGGGTGCGAGGTAGCCCCCGAAGGAGAATCCGAGGAGGCCGATTGAGGTAGGTTCGACTACTTCGGGTTTCTCGAGGAGCCAGTCTACGATGGGGGTGATTACCC